TATCTTCATCGTAAATTATTCAAAAACAGTATCAACATGACGTATTATTGACAAATTGTGGTATTTGTAGCGGGTAAATGGATAGCTTAGTTTAATTAATTATCACGAATGAAACTAGGTAGCAGAAGCCTTGATCTATATTGTATTCTTTTTTGTTAACCTTAGCTTGAATAGGTTCATTTATGTCAACGCGGCATTAGTTTTATAGGACATTGATGCACTTAAAGGCAATGAATGACACGGGTAACCTGTTTTGTGGGACATTGATTCAATGGTCAATGTCTGATAAGCAAGGATGTAGTGCTAGGGGGATGCCGAAAATTGCCAAATTTCTACCTTTGCTATTGTTTTTCGCAACATTTTGTGCAAAAGCCCCCCCTTGGTATTTTGATAGCACTAAACCACTGCTGATAAGGTTGTCTAACTAGGATCAATAACTGGAGAAATTAAGTAAATACTGTTTTGTCAAATTTCTGCTTTAAGACATACTCACATAATATATTTGCCCACATAACAACACCAGCTTAAATTATCTATATTTCAATGATTTGATAATTTACAGAACTTAACTTGCTTGACAATCTAGCGAATTTTGCCCTATCAGTAGTTAAAAAAGATTTTTAAATTAGCTTTTACATTTTAAAGGGCATGTAGACGGAAACAACAGAACATTAATGCTGGATACAGTGCAAAAGGCTTATCAATGCAGCTGAAAAATATGAAAATTTAATACTGAGCTCCAATGAGATTTATCGTTCCGTGACTTTCCTTGGGTTGTACAATGTTAAGCCCTTGGGTTGTAAAATAATTGTAAACAAAGAATTTGAATATGAGAAACTCTCAGGTGGTATATAAGGTGTAAAATACCATTGTTCGTGAAAAAAATTACATTTACTCGAACTTGACATACAGTTGACATCCGCTATCTCGACTGCCCGCTATCTCGAACATTGGCTATTTCGAACCAATTTTTGTTTCCCTTGGTTTTGCTATTGTGTTACGTATAGAAAAACCGTTCGCTATCTTGACTGCTCGCTATTTCAAATATTTGTTATGTCGAACCGTTTTCTGTTTCCCCTCAACGAAAAGTGTTCGCTATCTCGAACTTTTTTGTTTTTTGTTATGATGACAGTTAACAGATTAGAAAGATAGTGTTATAATACAATTTAAATGTTCAAATCAATGGATAAAGGGGTAATCCGAAGTTTAGAGGCAAAGTACCGAACAGTTTTTGGTGCAGAAATACATCAGAGCAATTGATCAACAAAAGTCTCTACCAAAAATTAGCATTTTGAATGCAATGGACATATTAGCCGCATCGTGGTCTATGGTATCTGAAACGACAATCGTTAACTGCTTTGCCAAAGCTGGCATTTTCTTCGAAAATCAGCATCAGGCAGCATCAGATGAAGATGACCCTTTTAAAGACTTGGTGGAAGAATTGACGAAACTGCAAAATAGAGATCAAGAAATTGCTCCAGCCAACACAAGTGCAGAGGATTTTATTGACTGCGACGACCAAGTCTTAGCAAGAGCAGCATTGCCAACTGAAGATGAAATCATAGCTGAGCTAATTGGTGAAGAAGTTGTTAAAGTTGAGGACAGCCAAGAAGACAGCCAAGAGGACAGCCAAGAAAGCAACGACAACCCTTTGACAAAGCCAACAACGGACGAAATAAGTGATGCGATGGAGGTAATATCAAGATATTGCCTATTCTCAGAGAATGGAGAAGTGCTCCGTGAGCATTTCGTTAAAATGAATGGTGTTATAGAGAAGGAACTGGTTAGAAAGAGAAAACAAATGACATTAGATGCTTATTTTTCTTAATGATTTAGTTTGACTTGTAATTTTGTATTAGTGACTACATACACCTCATTGCTGCCTGTTAAACCTTCGAAATTTGAAAAAATTGGATTTTCTGGGGTCATCCAATAACTCGAATATTCGCTATCTCGAACAATTTTTTATTTTTCTTCAGAGTTCGAGATAGCAGATGTCAACTGTAATACTGGGGAAAAATACAGATTGCTTGGTCTATTTTCATGGAATTTTCTTATTCTGGGTATTTGAATATTTCATGAGGTATTATGCTTAGAATATTATTGACAGATTGTGGTATTTGTAGCGGGTAAATGGATAGCTTAGTTTAATTAATTACCACGAATGAAACTAGATAGCAAACATCCTTGATCTATATTGTATTCTTTTTTGTTAACCTTAGCTTGAATAGGTTCATTTATGTCAACGCGGCATTGGTTTTATAAGACAATGATGCACTTGAAGGCAATGAATGACACGGGTCACCGGTTTTGTGGGACATTGATTCAATGGTCAATGTCTGATAAGCAAGGATGTAGTGCTAGGGGGATGCCGAAAATTGCCAAATTTTTACCTTTGCTATTGTTTTTCGCAACATTTTGTGCAAGAGCCCCCCCCCCCCTTGTTATTTTGATAGCACTAAACCACTGCTGATAAGGTTGTCTAGCTAGGATCAATAACTGGAGAAATTAAGTAAATACTGTTTTGTCAAATTTCTGCTTTAAGACATACTCACATAATATATTTGCTCACATAACAAAACCATCTTAAATTATCAATATTTCGATGATTTACAGAACTTAACTTGCTTGACAATCAAGCGAATTTTGCCCTATCAGTAGTTAAAAAAGATTTTTAAATTAGCTTTTACATTTTAAAGGGCATGTAGACGGAAACAACAGAACATTAATGCTGGATACAGTGCAAAAGGCTTATCAATGCAGCTGAAAAATATGAAAATTTAATACTGAGCTCCAATGAGATTTATCGTTCCGTGACTTTCCTTGGGTTGTACAATGTTAAGCCCTTGGGTTGTAAAATAATTGTAAACAAAGAATTTGAATATGAGAAACGCTTAGATGGTATATAAGGTGTAAAATACAGTTTTTTTGCGGTACAGAACACACTAAAAGCTTTTTCGTCTGACACTCCTCGGAGCATAAAACGTCAGAATAAGGGTCCGAAAGAACCGATGAAGAATATATACCCAGTTGTGGATCGAAATAGGCCAATGAGAAAAACGTAAGCACAAGACTGGTATAGTTGAATGACCATTCAGTGCTGCGTGCCTAAAGAAAAATTACCACTGGAGTCCAAGAGAGAAAACAAACTCCTTCTGTCTACACAATGGTGGCTTTTTCGTTTTTATGTAGATCGACTCCAAAACTGCCCAAGATGGAAGGACGACCAGGCTCTGCCAATTATCCGAAACATGTCGTCATTAAAGAGTTTTGCACAATCTGGATTGTCTAAAAGATGTTGACCGATGGCAGAATCACTTGTTTTAACAGTGTTTCTAGACCTACAAGATCCAGGTGGCTGTTCTCTTTGAGGGGCAGTTTTGTTTCTTATGTTGGAAAGAACATGTTGTTTTATCCTATCCCCCAATCTTTGGGTTGTGCGTCCTACGTAGCCAGAATCACACTGGCCCGTAAATTCATAAATGACGGAACCTTTTTTGGTTGGTAGGAACGCAATCCTTTTGAATGGATGGAAGGGCTCTCCTAGTGCTGTAAACAATGCGAGGATTGACAGCAAAGAAACATTTAGTTATGTCTTGCCTTCCTGGTATTAGACGATAATGGAATTTTGGTGCCACATCCTTCAGGTCACTGGAGAACGTTGAAAACGCCCATTTTAAAAATTCGGTTTTTAACTTTAAGATAAAGAAGAAATAAAGTAAATAAAGTAAAATCTTTGCGTTATTTGATTACACCTGACAACAAGAAAAGCTGTAAGAAAAGAAGCCAAAGTTCTACTTGATTCGTTTTGCAAACTGTCCATTTGTGATTCGTTTACCAAATGACTTTGATAAAAGCAAACATTTTAGAACATGCTTAAGCTTTTCGTCTGACACTCTTCAGAGTATAAAACATCTGAACATAGATCGAAAACTCTACGCTAGGAAATATATATACCCAGTTGTTGATCGAAATAGGCCAATGAGAAACGCGAACTTTTGACTGTCGTTACCAATGGAGTCCTCGGGTGTAAACCAACTCCTTCTGACTACACAATAGCGGATTTTTCATGTTTCATGTTTGGGTTTATGTAGACAGTTTTCGAATCTATGAAGGCTGAAAGGCTCAAGACTTACGATAAAAAACAATAAATAAAAGGTTTAATTATATTGCTAGATATAAGATAAAGATGTATGATTCTACCAATATTGTCAAGTTAATTATCAAAAATAGTACAATGGAAAGAAAACTCTCAATGGTCGAATATATGTGACTTTAATTTTAAACTTCTTTGAAAGCTCCAATCGAGATCGATGCTCTAGGAGTGATAATTTTCTTTATTTCATTGTTTAGTCGGTTCTTCAATTAATGTCAGGTAAAAGATCTTCAGCATCGGTTGAAAAATTTTGTTGGTATTTCAGTGTTCTTGCGTTTGGAACGCAGCAACATTGCAAAAGAGGTCTGGCAAACTTGCATAAGGTGAATTTATGCTACTCTTAGAGATGCCTAATAAATGGGAACTCCCGCCTATTTCATTTTCAAATATTTTCTGACCCTCTCTTCCATAAGGGCTTCCTTCCTCTTCTTATAAATTTTTTGGTCATTGTTGACCGAAAATGAAATTTTTGTTGTAAATCCTCCAGTTTCAAGGTTTGTTTCCAAAAGTTCCCTATCATGTTATGCTAGTAAAACGTTTTTTCTCTGTTTCAATTTTGTTGCATACAGGGGTTCTGTTTCGGTTTCAGTCTAAACTTTTTAACCCCCCCCCCCAAGTAACTAAGTATTTTTTGAGACTCCGACCCCCCTGCTTTTGCCGACTTTCCCTGTTTATTGGGCACTTAGGACATCATTCTGGTTGATTTTGTCAGTGTAAAATTTTGGATAAAAAAGCAATTAACCTTAGTGACCGGATATGCCACCAGTTAGATATTATAAAATTAATGCAGTCAATAAATTATAAAGAATCAGACAATTGTTTCAGAAAATTCAATCTGCAATATGAAAAGTGGAAAGCTACCAGCAATACATGGTTTTTGTAAATACAATGTTTCATTCACTTTAAACAGTGTGTCAGTCTTGCCCGGGGCTCAGTCGAATTAGACTCTCTGCAAGTAGTAGCAAACTTGTTACCTTGTAAACGATGCAGTGGATGATGACGTTGTTTGAAATCCAGCCATCGTGTGCTCTGTTACTAACAGCCTTCATTTTGAGATATCAGTACGTCACAACCGAAGACTCCCATGTATCAAACGCCAATTACATCCGTCACTTCAGCGGAAAATGTCTTCGGTATAATCAAGCTCGGGGAAGGCTTGAATATGACCAGCTTTGCACTGAGAGATTTGAATGGAAAGAGGGAGTGCGTCTCGTGCATGTGCGCACAAAAAAATGTCTGACTGTCAATGGGACAAGTGATGGGAGTTTCTTGTCGTTGTCACACCAATGCAATGATACCAGTGGCATGTTCCAATACGACGAAAGAGCTCGTGCGATCATACACCTCTTCACCGGAAAATGCTTGCATCCAGAAAATGGAATCGCCGACATCACCATCGGCACACCAGTTGTGTTAAAAACAGGCTGCAGCCAAAACGCCAGCAAATTTTACTTCAGAAAGAAAGCCTACTACATCATTCGGCATTACGGTGGACTATGTTTGCTCTACATAGATGCATATGAGGTTATTAAGCTAAGAAATGAGATCGCATGTGATCGTTTTGAGTACATTGATGGTAAACATTTGAGACATGTTAGAACAGGAAAATGCGTCATTTATTCAAGCTCGAACATCCGACTGACTGACGACTGCAGCTCGCCAGCGACAGAATACGAAACGAATCAGAATTTACAGTTGCGAAATGGTGAACAATGTGTGCAACCATCTTCTGGATTACCGAATCCTCCTGTTCGCGATTTGCTTTTGCTGACGCAGTGTAGCCACGAGAACAAGTTTAAGTTCAATTTCTACGACGATAAAGGTACATGAAAAATATATTCTATTCTAAAGATTTAACAACCTATAAACACCATGAATCCCTAAGATCAAGATGCAACAAAATTCTTCCCCTTAAGTAAACTAGCCCTACAGTGATAGGTGCCAAAAATATTGTCACTGGGTCACCTTCCAATACATCCTTCACCCCCTTTACCTAAATGCCACCGTCGTGTTTCTATGACAACGGATGAACCAATTTTGACGCACGATAACGAACCCTTTGTTCGCAATCCACAACGACGAAACGTAGTTTTGCGGCAAAGTCACATGACGAGAATGCAGCGCAATCACGTACTCGACTTATTTTTTTTTTTTTTTTATATATAAAGCCTTGGCCAAACTGGGCAACATTGTTGCCCGGCAAAGTTGCTCGAAATTTTGTTAATTTTTTCGTCGCCGAAACATGGTGGCCAAACTGGGCAACATTGTCGTGCAGCATCTTTTGATGATGTTGTCAAAACAGCGTCCAAATATGATCTGATATGATCACTCACATATGATCAAAACAGCGTCCAAATATGATCACTCTATGGTCGAGCACGCTGGTAGCATTTGGCTGATTTGTTTTTTCAAAGAGCTTGCATTTGGACTTGTTTGAGACGAGACTTTTTATTCTTCCTAAACTATTCTTCTACTCCATGGTTTTCTTCCCATTCGGTACAATCAACTTGAAAGCTTAAATTTTGACAGGCCATTTTATTTGAATCGAGTAGAGCATACTGTTTTGCAATACATCACTGTGCAAGTTGGTTTTTCAGATGGGAAATTAAAGTGAATTGTTGCCCGACAATGTGGCCAAACTGGACAACATAGAGCTGAGCAACAAATGTTACCGAAAAATGTTTGAGCATGTTCAAACATTCGAGCAACAAATTTCTTGATGAATTTGTCGGCCGACACGGTGGCCAAACTGGACAACATTTGAGCAACATTAGGAATTTGAGGATGTTGCCCGACAATGTTGCCCAGTTTGGCCAAGGCTTAAGGCTTGTAGGCCGAAATGGCCCATCGCCATTTCGATTCAGAATTATAACGACTTATAACGACGGCGCACAGTGGCGCAACCCACGTAGGTTGGGGGTAGATCAACCCCTAAGGCTCCTCAAGCTTAATAAAGTGCACGATACAGGGTTGTTTGCATTAGTTGGTGTGAAAAGTGATTTGGCAAACAAATGTTTCCCAGCTAACCTGTTACATAAAGACACCGAGTTAGGCGCTAGATGTCCAACTCGGGTCATGCTGCGTACAGCCGAGTGAGGCAAATTTGTTTACTTCCGCCATTTCAAATAGTGGCAAAAAGCGAGCTGCAATAGGGTTCAGTATGGAAAATTGCTTGTTTTAATGAATGATTTTCGCGTGGCCAGGCCTCATTAATCTACGCGAGCGCGCGAGCGGCGCTCGCAGGCACAAAAGTTCATTCTCAGCAATTTCTGCAGGCACATTTCTGAATCGATTTTATCTACCTTTATTGTATTACAGTTATGCTTTCTTTAAACATCTTTCTTGGTATTGAAATTGAACGGTCAAATAGAATATAAAAGGTAAAAGTTGTAAGTCTTTATTACCAAAATGAGGCAAGGTCCTTACTCGAAAGGCGCCATTTGATTCTCAAAATCAAATTGGCTATTTGTCTCTTTTCCTCTCTTATCTCTTGGTGGAAGAGATCGCTTGCAATTATTGTATTGCTTTTTTCAGAGTATTGAGTTATGACTTGTAAAACTCATTCGTGCATAGTAGGCTGAAGAAAGCACACTACCTTCAAGTTAAAGTCTTCAAGCTTTTGAATCTGGTAGCTATCGATTTCTGACGTACTTGAGCAAAATTTCATTGTACACCTCCAAACAATTCATCAAAAACAAAAATTTTCAACAATTTGTGACAACCAAACAAGCTGCAATTTCTTCAATATTTGGAGAAAAAGCATTTTCATATTGAATTAATCAAATCTTACAAGCATGAAAGACCCAAAGCTCAAAACGGAGTATCCTTATAAAAAAATACTTTTTATAATAAGATATTTCAACGAAAGTAATTGGGAATCTTTCATGGCTATCTTTCATAACTTCGAAGTGAGGAAAGACCCAGTGTAATGTCGAAATTCTTGCAACCTTTGCCAACGAAGCGAAAGCAAAATCCTATAATTCACAAACCTTGAAAGAAGATGTAAACAAAACTGCTCCATTTAATGTAAAGCGTTCAAGATATTGGAAAGCGTTTTGCTGAAGATGTCTTTATTTGAGAAAATCGATAACAGCGATAGGGCTACTTGACAACCCAAAACAACTCGTACAGATAAAAACTGGATTATTATGTACATACTATAGTGCTAGTAGCATTCATTGTGTCATTTGTTAAGTTTTATGTGTAGTTCATGATGATATTGATATGGCATCTGCTTTTGACAAACGTCAGCTGGTGTAACAGTACTGAGCATAACAGGGAGGTTCTCCATTTATCAATCTGACTATAAATTGCATCCTATTTTACATGCAGGCTCGCAGGCACATGCACATTAATACTCAGCTTTGCGCTCGCAGGCACAAAATATTATTAATGAGCTCTGATCGTGGCTAACAACTATTTCAGTGCCTTTTCTGATGCAACTCCTTAGAGGAAATATAAATCAACAACACATAACAAATTTTGGGGTTTTTAAACAGAATTTTAAAGAATATGGCTCTTTAAGTTTATGCAGTTACGGGGGGAATATAGCAGTGGCCTGTCGTGTTTTTATGAATTGAAAAAGTATGTGCTTACAGTTTTTATCTTTATATAAATTAAAAATAACTTTTTGAGTCTATTATCTAATAATATATACCATTTTAAATATATAATTCTTGAATTTTGCTGTCTGCCGTTTAGAACCTAATATGGCGGAAGTAAACAAATTTGCCTCAAAGCGTACTTGTGAGTTAGACATGCTAGCCCCTTCGGCGCTTCTCTATCATTGAGAGACAAGTAGTTTTCATCTATAACGAGACCCTTTTTTATTAAAGAAAAATGTGCGAAGTCTAAAAGTATAGAACGTCTGTTTCAAACTCCACAATGTTAGATATATTTTTTGGATAAAATTCTCTCAAAAAGAAAACTTAATGCTAGAGCATCCAAGAGTGTAGAAAAGAATTATTGAGCAGTATATTCGAATAGAATGAAAGTAGCTTTTTCATTCAGCAAATCCTGATAAAGCATTGAAGGCATCTCACGTCCAGCTGATGAATATCAGACTGTCCCGTTCAATTGACTGAAAAACTTACATCCGTCTGAAAAGAAAAACTTGATAACAATGTCGAAGAAAGAGGACGACAGAGGGAGGGTATCTATAATAACGACATGTTTCAGTCTATTGGCAGAGCCCGGTCGTCTTTCCATCGAGCAGTTTTGGAATCGATCTACATACAAACGAAAAAACCGCCATTGTCAGTGGCGGGGTGGCTATGTTTTCCCTGGGGTGGCCAAGTCGATTTTTGCGCCCTATCTATATATCGTGGTTATATAAAAGCATGTGTTTCTAGAAGGGAAATCGATTTTTGCAATTTGAATCCGAAATTTTATAAATAAGTTTTGATTAAGAATGCGAATATGAATGGAACAGTTATGTAATCCTAACATTTGACCTTCTCGATCGTGGTTCGGTAAAATATCAAGCTATATTGAATTGACTTATTTTCGAGAGTCGGCCTATTCTCGAGGAAATACGGTAGGCAAATCATAAAATACTAATCAAAAGAAATTTTATTCAATTACACACTGATGTTTCATACAGGCTACTCGTTTAATTATATCCAGAAAACCAGCTTCAGAGTAAAATAACGTAGAGCAAATTTTTGTTTCGGACTCCTTAGTTTTTTAACTAAAGGCAACCTTAGTCCATTTCGCCAATGCTTATGGGCAATTTTATCAGCCTACTGTCATCGCATATATGATGTATGATATACAAACATGTTTCAAATTTGCCATTCTTTAGTGGTTATTAAATAGTAGTTCTTTCAAAAACTTGAAAGTTTCAAGCATTGAATCGCACTATTGAATCGGACAGAGGCGGGACACAAAATTGAATCTGGGGCTAAGGCAGTGGCGTACCCAGGGCTGCAGTTGTGGGGGTCTGGGGCACAGCCCTAAGAATTTTTTTGACCACGCCCTTCAAACACTCGCAAATGCGGGGAAACGCCCTTTTTGCGAAATTTCCCCCTATCATTTGATTCATGTTAGCTACGGTAAATAGCGAAGTATTTTACAATTGTTATTGACACAGGCATACAGTATACTACACACCCCATGAGTTTTACATCGTTTTTGGACAAATCTCGAGGAGCATATTTTAAAAAAGTGGGGGGGTCCGTACCCCCCTATTCCCCCCCTGGGTACGCCACTGGGCTAAGGGTCAAGTTTAGTGACAAAGGAGGACCCACCATGGTTGGGTCCAACGCGAAAGAAAATTTTTGAAATCAAGCCTTCTAGAATGGTAAAAAATGCTTCTCGCAGACTAAAATTTAACAAATTACTACACCGCTCAGAATACACAGTTCGACCATGCTCAGAAAAACATTTTTTTTTTATTTTTAGAAAAAATTTGGGAGGGGAGGATTCGTGTGTTGGATAAAGAAAGAAAGGGTGACCTTTGGTTCACATCGATGTTAATAACAAGAAGCTGTTGTATTGATTGCCAGGGTGCATTCCATGTACTTTGGCCCGAAGATCTTTGACGTACACTCAGGCTTTTTGGCGTTGCGAGTACAAATTAATAGAACAATTTTTTGGCATACGTAAAATCTTCGATGGTTGGCGTGCTAAACATGAAGCCACGTACATAGTTAACACGAAAACATATGACACAAATGTTGATTGGGTCATTGTAGAATCGCATGTTTTATTAGACTGTTCACAGCAAGTTACAGCGAAGTGTTCTACCCGTGCACGATCATTTTTGATGTTCCTAGCCAAATATTACAAGCAAAATATTTTGGCGCCCCCTTACCTCCATTTGCGCATCTATTCAGGGGGGGGGGGTCATGGCCCCCTGGTCCCACCTGCCACCACGCCACTGGCCATTGTGTAGAAAGAAGGAGTTCGTTTTCTCTCTTGGACTCCAGAGGAAAATTTTCTTTAGGCACGCGGCACTGATTGGACAACTTCACCGGTCTTGTGCTTGCGTTTTTCTGATTGGCCTATTTCGATCCACAACTGGGTATATATTTTCCATAATGTCCTTTCGGAACCTTTTTCTGACGTTTTATGCTCTGAGGAGTATCAGACAAAAAAGCTTTTATGTTAAAAAAGGTTTGCTTTTTTCAAAGCCATTTGCAAAACTAGTTGTTTAAGCCAAGGTTCGACATTCAACAATTTTTATGATTTTTATATTGATTTTGCATCAGTGCATGCCCGGAAAATTTTTCTTGGAATTTCTTGCTTGAAACCCTACTTCGGATTCACCCCATCAAAGCGATATTTACGCCCTAAAAATTCCAACTTGAAGTAAATGTGAACCAATTATGCACTCAAGAATTTATGCATACCGGAAATTGATGTTTCCTGGGATTTTATCGCTTGGGACCAAAACCATTCAATTCTAACACGAAAGATTATAGCGACCGCTTTTTACAACCATTGGATACAGATATCTGCAATTATCGAACCCTTTGCAGTAATTATTGGTGTTTGTTGTTATTATTAGTTGTAACAGCAAGTGTCTTGTCATCTGCATCAGTTGCAGTGATAGATAATGTGTTGTCATCAGCACAATTCCTTAGTGATCAATTATCAAGATAGTAAAATATCTTTTACGAAAATGTTAAATAGTAGAGGGCCAAGTATCGATTCTTGTGGTACTCCTTGTCCAAACCTACCCTATGTGCTGAAGTGTGAGTTAACTTTGACATTTTGTGTTTTTGTCGGTGAGATAAACTTGCGTTAGCAAGATAAAACTTTGTTTTACTCTGTAAGAATGCAGTTTCTGAGAAATTGTTATTTCTAAATCATCTGGAGCTTTACTAAAGAATCATGGCTTCAGTTTTTTCCAAAGGTTTTTAGAATCAAGGATTCGGTCTTTGCAGACCTTTGTGAAGTAATAAGATTTTACACGCTGTCTATTATTCGTACAGTGATTTCGCTGTTTCCTAAACTTCGCCAAGCTTTCTTTTGCTCTACATTTATCGTAGGTATTTTTTAGTCTGGTTCGTAGTATGACAGCTTTTTGATGAAATTTGTTAAGGAGCTTATTCTCGATTAATAATGCTGCCAAAATGACCTACAAAGCAATCGAATGCTCTATCTCCATTTTGTATGTATTTACAGAGGTAGATGGGTGCTAACAGTAAATCCTCGAATTTGCTAAAATCTTAATAAGTATAATCTCAAGTTGGCCGCACACGACAGACTTTCGTCTGTGAGAGACGAAGATTTTGCCTTCACAGGGGGCGCACATGACAAATTTTCGTCTTTGAAGCACAGACAGGAAATTGCTTGTCGGGAAGTTGCAAGAGAACATCTTCATGTGATCGAAACTTAGTCGCTTATTGGCCACTCAATCTGTCTTTTGAATCCGCACACGGCAGACTTTTGTCTTTGTTTTTCAAAGACCATCTTCAAAAATTAAACATGTTTGATTTCAAAGACTGCCTTTGAAAGACAAAAATCTTTGTCTCTGACAAGCGCATACGGCAGATTTCCGTCTTTGAAATGCTAAAGACGAAAATCTTCGTCTTTCAAAGACAAAAGTCTGCCGTGTGCGCTGGGCTTTAGGGTGTTGCTTTGGCTGCCAAGATTTCAGTTGTATTCAAAATAATCTATGAAAGTCACTTAAACAAGTTTCAAATGTTATACTGAAAAGGAAGCTTGTGGTTGGTTGAAATTATTCAAGTGTCAAAATGACCCTAACTAAGTTCGCTGCTTCGAATCGATCACACGTCGATCTGAAAATTAAATCGTAGAGCTTCATGACTAAAAGAATACCTGGGAAAGTATTTTCCTTCCACTAATTCATGACTGCATTAAAGATCATTTTGTTCTCTTCATTTAGATACACTCCAAGTTGTAATCAAATCAGAAAGCTGTGATGACATTCCATCTGGGACCTCTTGCTCACAATGCAAGGGTCTTGTGTTCGTGAACGGAGGACAATACAGCCCCAATTCTCCAGGGATAAACGTGGTTCTCTTTGATTACAGAAGTGGTTTGTTTGAAGAGAAAACCAGCTACCGAATTTATGGCCATCCAGACCAAAGAGTGCAGCTAACAAGTTTCTTGAATAATCTTCCCGATGGAAAAATCCTTTTCTTATCAGCAAAGGATTCAGTTTACATCGATAACGATCTTGCAGTTGCATTGCAAAAGATTGGTGTATCTGCAACATTTGCCATTGATTCTCCTCCTACATCAAAAATGTCTTTGGCATTCGTGGGCTTCACAGGGCAGGAGAGAAAAATTTGGGAGAAATCCATCAATAACCTTGGAGGCTCAGGAGGCTCGCCTCTTCAAGTTACCATCAATACTTTTGTTGACCGTGATGGGGTAAATGATTGCTCAGATGAGCTGGGAATACGAGTGAAAAGAATCCCACAAGCAAGGTTTTTCGCAACGTCAGTGTTGAAAAGTGATGTTGACTTTCAGCCTTATGCTGCCAGCTTGCACCATAAAACCCAGTGGTGTTCCAAAACCTATAGCACAGTATCGAAAGAGTATTTGCAGGTGGATCTTGGAGTAGTAAAACTGGTCAGTGGTATCGCAATGCAAGGCCATTCATCAAGTTCTGATCGCGTCACAGAATTCCAAATACAATACAGCGAGAATGGTGTTTCATGGCAGTTTTATAAGGATCTTCAGAATTTAGAGCAAAAATTTAATGGAACAAGAACAACAAGACAAGCAACTGTAGATACAAAAGTTAGCTGGTTCCTCAACACAAGGGCGAGATTCGTTAGAATTATTGGAACAGCCAGGAAGTCGTCTTATTGGAAAAGTTGCTTCCGATTTGAACTATTTGGCTGTTCAATAGCAAGGAGCTTCTTAAGCGTTGAATGGACACCAGACTCCAGCAGCTATATTAATGATTCTTATAAGGGATCGATATCAACTTTTGGTACAGTTCAAGAGAATGTAACAGTAGGGATATCAGCATCTGGCGATAACCAAAGTTTGGCAACAAATATTGGTCAAATCCACTTGCTCAAGCTGAACGCATCTACCATTGTTGATAATGGAACGCTGCTGGAAGACACCGATGATAACACAATGGTTAAAGATAACATTAGGCAAATAAACAGTGCGGCAGTTGTACAGTTCGACATCAAGGAACAGAATTATCATGCATTTGATATTGACTTTGCTGGGAATGTAAGTCCGTTGGAGGCATTTTAGAAATGAAATCTGTGTTTATGCCGAGGGGCATATCACTCCAGGAAATCTCGTACACCTTTGGCGAAATTCCTTTTGTTTTCAAGAAAAGCCCGCCAAAAATCCCTATAAATCCTGTTGTTCTAGAAAATCTCATACAGAGTGAGACATCCACTGTTTCCCAGATAGAGTCAGACACCCCTCGGTTAATGCGACGAACATAGTCATAGTTAATGCTGGATGCCGTACAGGGCCTTTTTAACATACTAACTAGGGGTGCAATCCAGAGGTGGCGCCAGAAATCTTCCAACAGAGGGGCTGGAGCTTCCGACAGGGGGGCTAAAATGACTAAAATAAGCAGTTTTCGTACGTTATTTTGTCAAATTTGCTCCAACAATAACCTAAAATTTCCTCCAATGAGGGGGGGCTAGATGCTTCCGACGGAGGGGCTGTAGCCCCCCCTAGCCCTCCCCTGGCGCCACCACTGGTGCAATTGCCCCTGCAGCCCCAGTGACTTTCAATTGTTTAAAATTATACGCTATTATCTTCCAAAAGGCTTTTGCAAATCGACTGAATTTACCACGTAAGCACAGGCTCTATCTTTGGTTTTAACATCTCTGAACAAGGCCAAAACAACAGTAATCCATTAGCAAAATCCATGTCTTTCACTGGCCAAATCTCAGCCAATTTTGAACAGATTCAAGTGATTTTGTTTATTTAGAAGTATTTTGTGATATTATTTTACGTTATGGGGTCAGAATTCTAAAATTCTAAAAAAAGATTTTCTTATAACATCACTTTGCCACTCTATAAACGCCCAGTCAAATAGTCTGAGCACTGAATCGAAAATTAACAGCATGCAAATGCTCTTGTCCCGCAGATACTGGATGATGGCCTTCCGACTGGTTATCGATATCTCACCATAACATCCGAAACTGGTGATGCAATTGCTGTCCATTCAGCGCCGTTTTTCGTAAGCAGATGGCAACGAGACCAAAGCATCCTCCAATTGAACGCCACGCATGAAAACGAGGAATGGTATACTCACAACAGTTTGCTAACTCTGAACCTTACGTTGTCACATTTGGCCGCACAGAGTCACGCAAATGCTTATGGAGTCAATATTATGATTTACTACAATAGCGAATTTCTCCAGTTCAAATCAATAGAGCTTATGAAAACAAGTGCCTTTACTCTGCCCATGTCTAGAAATGTAACAAGGCCCGGCCTAATCTTGATTCAAAATGATGCAGTTTGGTTACAGAACGACCAATTTTTGTCCATAAAATTTCAAGTAAGTATCCCAAAAGGTTTATCGAGGGGTGAAGACTGCAATGGAAATATACTTATCGAATTTTCGTACCACAACAACCTGGCAAAATTAAGCGGAACCGTGAATACCACTTTGGAACGGCCTGTCCCTTTTAAATGCAAAGTTAACCAAGCCAAAAACATCAAGGTAAAGTCTGTTCGTTTGCCGTCTCCTGAATTCAGCATGGTTTATGATGATATAAATCAGGATTTCTTCTTCTGCTTGCAAAAGAAGATATACATGACAAGAAATGCACCTACTTGCTTTTTACAGCAAAAAGACAAGACTTCCTGGGGAATAATTCCCTTCATGTCGACAGTGGAGGCCGTTGACGTTGAAAAGCGAATTCTTTATGGGCTTGACAGGGTGGGGAAATCATATGCCATATCTGTTTTTCCATATGCTGTAATGGATCAGATTGAGGATTCTGTTTGGACAGCAGTAATAGATCAACCACAAACAAGAATATCAGTGAAGGCCAACACTTTGGGTTTATTGCCTTCCAGCCCAGAAAACCCTATGATTATCTCCATATCTGGCAAAGCATCATGGGCAGCGACAAAGCGCGGTATTCTAAAAGAGGCCAATGGGATATGGCAGCGAGTGACAAATTTTGTCTTGTGAGTGATAACTCTTTCAAGCAACGGACTATTCTACGCTAAGTACTCAAATATTAGCCAAAAGAAGCTTTGGTATTTTAAAACTCTCTTTGCCGTTATTTATTTCATAATAGAGAAACCATTATTATTTAAACTCAACAAATGAATCAAAAAATGAAAAATACCTTATTCCGACTTTATTTCTTTGGACATTATCCGACGTTTATACTCTGACGAGTGTCGGACGAAACGTATTTTAGTGCGACATACCGTAAATCGTCGAATTGCCCCCCCCCCCCCCTCGAATAAGCCCTCACCCTAGAACTAAAAATTATCAATAAGCCCCTCCCTGGAATAAGCCCCCACTGCTACTGTCAATTCTCGAATTGACCCCTCCATTTGATGATTTTTGTCATCTGAGGTTGCCTATGGCGTTTTATTGAATTACCACAACAAATTCATATTTTTGGTAAGAATTAATTAAATGCACAAAAAGAAATTCCCAGTAAAATAAAAGAGGTCTTTTAATAATGTCTTCTTAATGTCTACAATAATTTTATAAGCCAGCCCCCCTCGTATAAGCCCCCCTCGAATAAGCCCCCATCCAAAAATATAAAAAATAAATAAGCCCCCAGGGGGGCTAATTCGAGGATTTACGGTATTACCGCTTTTTCGTGCTATTTTCAAATACTCCATTGAAATGACTGCACACACGACAAGGCTAAACACCAGTTGGCTAGCTCAGTTTACCGAGACACATTTTGTCACAAGAATGCATTTACTTTAATTTATTTGATTTATTGCATTAATTAACGTATGTGCTTTTATTTTTTTCAATGGCCGATTCTGCAATTGCAAAGTAAGTTACGCAGTTATCAAGGACAATGAAAGTTATCATGAATATATGGCTTTACTTGAGAAAATAAGCTAATTATGGTAGGGCTTTTACAACGTATGAAAAGGGCGCAATTGCTCCTCTAGCCCTAATGATGATTCCCTAAGTAAAAAACTAGACAATCGTCCTCACTTGATAAATACAAAGACTCGATACCTCGGAGCTTTGGTCTCCGAAATATCTAGAATTTATTTCACCCAACACGTTGTAAAATAGGCCTTCTGTATGTGATCATGCTTAAGATTGATGTATCATGTTACTTCCTATTTTGCTGTAATGTATGGCTTTTTACACTGTTGACAGGAGTGGGATACTCTGTGTTGTCTCAGTTGAACAACGATATAAAAATATCTGCATAATTTGTATCTAGAATTCATTTCAGCCAACACATGTTGTAAGATAGGCCTTCTGTATGTGATCATGCTTAAAATTGATGTATCTTGTAACTTCTATTTTGCTGTAATGTATGGCTTTTTACACTGTTGACAGGAGTGGGATACTCTGTGTTGTCTCAGTTGAACAACGATATAAAAATATCTGCATAATTTGTATCTAGAATTCATTTCAGCCAACACATGTTGTAAGATAGGCCTTCTGTATGTGATCATGCTTAAAATTGATGTATCATGTTACTTCCTATTTTGCTGTAATGTATGGCTTTTTACACTGTTGACAGGAGTGGGATACTCTGTGTTGTCTCAGTTGAACAACGATATAAAAATATCTGCATAATTTGTATCTAGAATTCATTTCAGCCAACACATGTTGTAAGATAGGCCTTCTGTATGTGATCATGCTTAAAATTGATGTATCTTGTAACTTCTATTTTGCTGTAATACATGGGTTGTAACACTGATTTCATTCTGGATACTAAATGTTGTCTCCTCTGAACAACGATGTAAAAATATCTGTATAAGTTGTATGACTAGTTCAGTATGCTATCCCAGCTTTAAAGTTCTATTCTCTTTGAACTGGTCCTACGACAACATTGTCAACTTAACACGCCCCATGTGGCACAAGCCATGCTTTCAAGAGAAAAGTAAAGCATTCATGAGAACGAGCAACTGTGTTTCCATAAGACTCTGTTTGGTCCGTCTCACTATTAAACTTCCTCTCTAATAAGCTCCCTATTTGAAGCAAAGTCCATATTTTTATTAAGCCCCGCCCCCCCCCATTATAGATTAAAGACTGATGTTAAACTTCATGGCTAAAGTCATGCTTTCTAAAGTCAAAACCTAATTGCAATTTTCTGCCCTCATTTTCCTAACCCCTTTTGAGCTGAAACAATGCATTTAGGTGTTCCTGGTACATCCAGTCCATCTTCAAGCATACTCGGGCCAACTGGTATGACAAATTAACCTTCGGGCTGAGGAAATTTTGAAAGCAAAAATCAAAGCACGATTGGCAAATGACTAGATTCTTTGTATTCTTAAGATCGTGAAGACATTTGATGTCGTAACATCATGGAGTTTTGAAATCTGCGATGGGATTAATTGCCTCTTCAATTTATTGAAATACTTTACCAAATTAAATACGCCCTCTGAGTACCTATGAAATCAGTTTGATTGCTCTCTGTGCATGCTATTCTGGACTGTTCGCTTCTGAATACGCCAGTTTGTTTAAACGCAACAAATCGATTTTTCAATGAAGATTTTTAAAATAACAATCTATCTGTTGTCAATTTCAAACATTGATAACTAAAAATTGAATGTCTTAATCTGTCAACCTCGTGCACTAAATTACCCCCTCACACAATTCTCTACACTTCCTCTATCTACAATCAAAAAGGTTGGAACCCCTCCTAAAAATCGATATTTATTCCCCATCTTGCCTAGAAACAACTTGCAAAAGAACTTAATTTCAGAGGTGACACCAGAAATCTTCCGACAGAGGGGTTGAAACTTCCGACAGGGGGGCTAAAAGGACTAAAATATGCAGTTTTCTTACATTATTTTGTCAAATTTGCTCCGACAATAACCTGAAATTTCCTCCGATGGGGGGGCTAGGTGCTTCCGACGGAGGGGCTGTAGCCCCTCCTAGCCCTCCCATGGCACCATCACTGCTTAATTTGTCAACCATTTTCCAGCAACGTTAGGCTTAAGCAAATGCGACTGACTGAAAGTCAGCCACAATACAATGGTGGATTACTCGAATCACGAGGCAACAAAAGATTACCTAACTCTGACTTTTACGGATATTGATTAACTGGATTTTTATGGAAAAAGGATTCTGATATCTATGACTGACTCAACAAGACATATTTTCATTGATATGAATAACGATTTGCTGATATATAGACTAATATTACAGGAAAACAGAGGAAACAAGATGGTGATCACCAATCACAGTATCCCTTTTATCTGCTCCATGTGGAAAGTTGCAGCTAATGGCGGCGCCACAGGGGGCATTGGGGGGGGGGGCTGGAGGGATACATCCTTCCCAGCTCTCGGCAAGATCTATTTAGCATTTCGTTTAAATTCGATGAGAAAATCTTTGGAGTGAGGTAATATTTTGGTAAAGTATCCTTTGTGATGTAAGTCCAACATATTGAAACTGCCTTTATGTAACCAAAGCTCAAAATGGGCGCTCCCTGTTGGCAAAAGGGCGATTTCTCACAGTTAAAAATGCGTGGCCAAAATTTATATTGTACATCCTTTTGACCACTGGGTCCAGTTTGTAATAGAAGCAGGAGTCAAAGGCCTAAGGGTGCATTAAAGAGAAGGCAAAGATACAAAGGGGGAAGTGGTTGGGACAGAAGTACATCGTTTCTGCACCTAAATCATAAAAGTCTCCCGTGCGCATGATAGAGAGCTTTCAATTGTTTGGATAAGGATCGAAACGATTGAGAGCAATAAAGGTATTTGCCGGAATAAGTGGGGAAAAATGCAGCCTGCGTATATTATTATATTCCTAAACATCCCTGTGATCTGTTATTACAATTTTTTACAATTACTATTCTGACGAAAAAGAAGATTTTCTGTGCATTATTCAAAGTTAAAGAATTTCTTGAAAGATTCTATTATGAGTTAAGTTCAGAATTGGATTCTTCGGGTGTCTTTTCTGTGGCTGTTGAAGGAGTTTCCTTGCTTTCAACTTCGTTCCGCTTTATTTCCTCGCTTCCATCCTCGTTTTTATCATTCGTTAACTGTTCCGCGTTATTGGCGTTTGATTTGTCAGCCAATGCATTTCTGGTCTGTATTTCAACCTCATCCCTGTTCACGTATTTCTTAGCAAAGGACCCATCCCTATAAATTTTAGGATCTTGCTTCTTCATATTCACATAGCTTGCTAGATCTTCGTGTCTCCCCAACGGTACAACGAAGACAGAAATATCGTCATACGAGGCTGCCTCGTTGTTTCTAGTTCTCCATCCACGTTCACTTAAAGTGCCCCGAGCCTCGTCTACAAGGGCCTGTGCAGCAACAATGTACCTTGAGGTAGGAAAATTTCTGTTATCATCAGATGTGTGAGATACAACGGGAATGTCTTCTTTCATATAGTTCCAAATCTGAAGGGGTACTACACAACCATATCGGAAAAATCCCAGAATGAAACCTTTTCTATAAACACCAACATTTGAAGAATAATTGCATCATCAAGTTGATGTTGAGTTTCCACATCATTGTTTCATATGAAAGAGTATCCCAGTAGTTTCCTAGAGCTCGTCTCCATTATGGGTGGACTTGTTGTGTAGGATTATCGGCCATCAAGCCACGATGACACGATACTTACATGGCACAATCAACAGGGAAAGAAAGATTTTACACTTCGAAGCCTTAAGGTTTTTTTAATAGTTTTCAACCTTATTTTCCAGCTCAAAAAGTTGACATTGTCAAATAAGAGGTGAGAGGGCAAAGATCCCATGGTACTTCCTCAACTGGCAGCAAACATGAATTGATTAACTTCCCAAGGCATGGAACGTACCTTATATCTGAAACATATACTAATCAAAGGTAAAGTGAATATACTAGCCAGTGAGGCGTGTATCCACCCTTGATTCTTGGTTATCGAAACCTTTCAAAATGATAACAATGTACAAATACAATGCGAATAAGCATCCTAGAACTTAATAACAACAAATCATACCTTCTAGGCTCAGTAAGCGGCTGTTGCTCAAATTTCTCTTTCAAGATTTTGATTACCTGAAAAAAACACTTAAAATGCTTCACTGAATTCGACTAAAACCGGATTCGCTAAACCAATTTGTTTCTGAAGTAAGAGCAATAATTCTGCGAAAATTGATGGAACAAATTCGAACACAAAAGATTTCACAGATTTTAAAAGTTATCCCCCTCCCTCCATTACATTGATGTTTGTTATCAATGGTGCATGGTTGTCAGTGAAAATCTAACTTGTACTGGAAACGTACATACTTCTTAAGAAATAGACAAAGACACTTCTTATGAAGGAATCAGCATTTTAGGGAGAGGGGGGAAGAATTTAGCGACAGCGTTGAAAATTTATGGAGGTAGTTGAATCATGGGGTTCTCAAGTTTTGTACGCGAATATCGTCCTGTTGCAACTATTTTTGGCAATACGTAAACACGGAAAAACTCTTCTAACTTAACAAAGGGTTTGCAAGAAGGAAGTTTGAAAGTCTGGGACAACAGAGACAATGGTTCTATAAAGGAGCATTGGTAGAAAAAACGAAAAGAATTAACAAAAAAGAGAGGAAAAAAGGAATTGAACTAGTTCGAAGTTCTGTGCTGTACAAAAGTTCTTGAAAAGCTCAGCCCCCTTTGTCAAAATTAGGAGAGATTTTCAGGGAAGGGGGCTCGTTCCCCCCTTTAACAGCCTGGATATGTCTGGTTGGCGAATTCTTGAACCCTTTTTTATGCTATCATTTTTCTGACAATCAACAACTTCCTATCAATCATTTTGAGCCCGTTAAAAGCTTGAATATTATTAAATATGTCCAAGTATATAGGGTGTGGTCACGGTTGTTGTCATGATTGTGGTCTTGGGTGTGGCTTCCATAAGTTCACTACATTACAGTCCTCCTTACTAACTTTTTAGGACAGCCCCCCTGCCTTTCACAAAGCAAGTCTCAATACCAACCTCTTCGCTGTTAAATCTTTCCCATAATCCATCGGACGCCATAACCAATACGTCATTTCCGCTAAAATTGTTTCCCTTCAAATCATAAACTTTCACCTGTTGGGATACAAAGTCACTGTCACAAACTTATTACATATGTCTCGAATATTAAGATTGAAAAACATTTTTCCCCTTCGGTTTTATCTTTCCAAATCCCTCGCCAATTCAAATATTGCTATTGGCAGTTTCAAATCAACAAAAAAGAAAACAAAATTCACGGCTACGGTGAACCACATGCTTGGTTACTAAAACGTGGACTATCAAATAGTTTCAGTCTATAGGCGGGGTCGAAAATCCAGACCAGCTGCGGATGTCTGTCACAAGAATAAAACTACGGAGATAACTTCTGATAGTAATTTTACAGCTTACTCATTTCACCACAAGATGATTGCTAAAAGAAAGTTATTTAAAATAAAAAAATAGGAGTTGACAAATTTTGGAATTCTCAAATGTCATTGCTGACCAAATCAAGTAAATATAAGCGAAATAAGAATCAGCTTGGTGTGTAGCAATTCCTTAAAAGCCAACGGGATAAAGCCACGAAATACATTCACGTCTGAAAATTTTCACCAAATTTCACAAATCATTCTACAAACCACATCGACAGTTACCTCTGGATTTGCCGTCATAAATGGCTTGATCTTCAACCCAGCACAATACGGAAACTCAATATCATGGTCTCCAAACCCCCGTGTCACGCTTATTGTATCGAGTAATTTTGCCCTCTTTCCTTCTCCGCTCACAAGCTGTGGCTTTATGTCACTCCTGTCCACGACTTTCAACCCCCTGAAAAAATTCAGTATTTATATATGACAAAGTTTGCATGCACAAAAATGCTCGACTGACTAATGAACAAACTTCTTGTGCCAGGGGCATGCTAGGCATGATAAGATAGACTTAACCAATGAGGATCAGTGATGTGATTTTGCACGTGATCACTTACTGATCCTTTGTGTTATTGTCCTGTGACGGCTCAAACAAAAAATAAAGAGCACATAATAATTGATTAACAACTCAAAGCATGGAATAAACAAAGAAAAAGCAGCATTTTTGGCAAAATATTATTTACAATCAGCAGCTGCTGTATCAGGTCTTAACACCTGATGTATTTTTAAACAAGTTAGTCTTGTTTCCTTAAGGGCTGACAAATTTCAAACATAATTTTCTTTCAAATAAGGTTTAATTTTGAATCAGTAAAAAATTGCCAGTAAGAAAACAATGCTGTGCGTTCTACTGTTTCGTTGCCAAAGTTTTTCAGTCGGTTATCTTAAGGAAAGGTCTATAGCAACGCCCTAGCAAGGGAAAAGAGGGAGGGAATTAGAAGAGAGGGAGGTAAGACAAAGCTGGTTTATTTTGGCTTTGAAGAAAGAAAGGTTATAAGAGTCTTGGAAGCAGAAAGAGGAAAGAGCATGACAAAGCTTTGAAAAATCTGGGAGACGCAACGTGAATATCAGCTCAAAGAATAAACCAAGAGAAACATGAATGCACTCTACAAAAACAAGTACACCAAGCACATACCATCCACTCATATGTCGATCCCTGTACAACTGTTTGGTTCCAAGGTGCTTTCTTCGAGGTCTGTGCTGGAACTGCAGTCGTGTAAACTCATCTCCCAAGAGGGCCGGCCTCATATAGGCCTTTGAAATGAGGAAAAGGCATTTAAATGTCTTGTATTCATGAAAGAGAGGTCTTAAAATGACAGATTAAATGATTGGGTCATTTTATATAAAATCAACACTCTCAAAAACCTTGTATTCTCAGGTATTGATGCAAATGGGTGCACCAGTTAAAGGGGCCTGTGCAACCAGCAGCCTTTGCGCGCTCGCATTTGTTCTGTTTTTCTAACTGTGATCTTCTATGCATGACAAAAATGGCGAGGAGAATTCGATGGGAAATCTTTGGTATTAATGTAGCGCTTCAGATCGCTTTGGATGGCATTTATTTGGTTTCATTTTGCGCGCAGCTTGTGCTAACAGCTTTCCACCATTTTCATGGACCACGAAAATAGCCGCCTTCCCAGCTTACGCCCGCAAAGGCTACTGGTTGCCCACGCTACTTTAAGGTCAAGGCCACTGACAAACCCTTAAAAATTAATTGACATTTTAGCTCAATTCCAGAGCTACAAGCATTTGAAACTTTTTAGGACCACAACCATTTCAGCATTTCAAGAAATATTAGAGCTGCTAATAATAACTACTGCTCTTCTCCTCCTATAAAGCTGGGTGATTGCCAAGTGTAAAGGGCATAATGAGTTCAGGTTAAAGATGATTCAACTGGCTCTATAAAATCTACTAAAGTACTTCAATCTGCAATAACCTTCATGTTTTTATTTTCTCTTTTGACCAAAAGTATCTCCATCCCCAAATAATCTTTCTTTTACTTTCCCCAACTTATAAACTAATGCAGCCCAAAAGTTCAGGATTGTGGTCATGGAATTCTAAGAGTAATGGCCAAGTCTGACCAACAGTGATTTCAAAGTGTGTTGATGTGAGTCAGGATGACCCTTTCTGCAAATGCTACATCTCTTAATTCAAATGTTAGACGAATAAAAAAAAGGTGATTAATTTGAAAAACCAAAAGCTAAAACAAACCAGATTTTGTATTCTTTGTCTTTCTGTTTCTGGTGTATGATCAAATGACATTTGGTGAGCCTGGAAGTCTCTGCAGATGACAGCCCTTTGCAGAAAATAAAAACAGCAAATTTATATGGGACTTTCAAAGATAGAAAGGTGTACTGAGGGAGTGAGAGAAGGAGATGTTGAGAAGTCAAGAACGAAGGAAAGAAAGAAAGAAGAAAAGAGGGGAAGAAAGGAAGAAAAAGTAAATAAATAAATAAATAATAGGGAGAGAGATTGAGTCATGTTTAATCAAAGACCTTTGTGAGCAGATAATATCCCTTCTTTAAAAATACACACAAGTCTATTATTGCTGAGGAAACAACCCTTCGCAGATTTCAGCTATGGGTCACTGGCTGACAATGCTTTAAAATTAAAGACCAATATGTATCTGCAGATGACTTTTATGAAAATGAGGCTTTATTTAAAAAGCCTTCTGGAAATCAAGTGATACGACATAGAGTTTTGAAAATCCTGTGTTTCTTAAATGAGGCCAAAAGAAAATGAATGTCGTACCTACAATCACCAGCATTTGCAACAAAAAGTTTACCCAATGTAAACAGAGCAACTAATGCAGTGCAGCCACCATCAATATAGTAATCCAGTTTTTCACTCTTTATCCTTTCATCCTTAAGAATAAATGAGGATAAATAATTTAATATTTTTCGATGAACCAAACAATGTCTTTAAAAAGTAAAAGTGAAAATGTTTTGAATGGTCAAGTAGCACATTCCAAAAAAAATATAGCTTAAACAGTTGAGAGGTAGCAAATCTTCTGCAACACATTCTAAGTTTCATCTCAATTTGTCTGAAGGTCAGTTGGTTCCTAGAAGAATGGTAGAAAGTGAATGGGCTGAAGTTACAGTTTCATCGTTTATCAAATTCAAAAGAGACTATGTATAGCAGATAACTGATTTAAAATGATTCATTAAAAATGCCAAAATTAAAAAAAACTGAAAAAGACGATAAAACAAATTGTGGCACAAATTCTTACAAATTCAACAAATGCTTGCTCCAGAGCACCAGCAACCAGTTTCTCTGCATTCACATCTTGAATAAGGCCATGGTTTAAATAATTCTTGGCCAACTCCTCCTTATCAAGAATCAGCATGTGAGCAATCTCATTCAATTTTTCCTGGATGTGCTCGCGAAGCAGTGCACTAGCCATAAGCCCAGCTCCTATTCCAGCATGCCCGTCAAATATTCCAAAATATACACAGGGAATGGAATACTAATAAAATGGAAATATGAATATATATATAATTAACTGACATATCAAAAAGATTTAATTGCAACTGTATTGAATGATTAATTCAAGAAGTAAATGAAACAACCCTTTCCACAACGACGTTTTAGTCAAGACTACATAATAGTGTAAAGTGAATATGAAAAATAAGTTAATTTTCTTAATCTGTAATAAGAAAACATACAGCCTGTGAAATTTATCCCTGTGTAAGTTTGTAAAGACAGCTATAAAACAATATAATTACATCACAAAGAGCAAGTTACCAAGAAATTACACCACGCCAACATTGTCTTGCCAAACTTAGACAATAAGCAAAATTGTTTGTGCAAAGAACTAAGGGTTGTGTCCACAAAAAAGTATTTGGAAATATATGATACTCATGGAGGCCTCATGTCAAATATCTGTAAGATGCAGACAGAAAACGTTTTCTGAGAAAAATCACACTTGCAGTCTATTATTATTTACAGTCTGCCTATCTGTGAACACAAGCTTTCCCATTGTAATTACCAAATTAATGCACCTTTTTAAAGCCTAAGTATGTAAAAAAATTGGCTGCAATCAACAATGTGCCAAAATAGGTTAAATATTATTTTGAACTTGACTTATTCGGCACCTTTAGTTATGACGAAGTAATCAGTAAGTTTGATGACACATCATTGCTAAGAAGACTTCTCATGCACTGAAAATCACAATTCATTTCTTCATTTTCTTAAGATGCTGATTGTAGTGACTATGATTATCCAAAAATTGGATACGGATGTTTTCTGTTCTTTTACAGACTTAGATCTTGGGAAGCGAAGCTTGATAATAAACAGAATAGCCAGCACGACGAAAAAAGTGACATCTTTATGTTTTGACATAAATCATTGTAACCAGCTTCAAAGGCATTCGACACAGGTAACAATATGGCTTACAGCCACTTGACCCCACATGGTTGACTAATCAAATTGCGCACAGAGAAAAACATGTGAACGGTTTCCGCCTTTCTGCAAATCGACGAAACCCTAGAGTGGTTTCATGCTGGCTATTCTGTTCTTACAGTCTTATTGGAACCAGTAATAGAGGGAATGTGCAAGTAGATCTGGTGATACAAAAGATACATATTGTTTTCCATGTCTTTCTGCATTTTAAAAACCAGTGCATACATTTGATCATGTCATTGTTTTTACTGTTAATCATTTGCAGGAACATTTGCAAGCTCATCCGCACCCCCCCCCAGAATCCCTACCCACTGTGCCCCTACTGAAGAAGGTCCTTTTTATACATGAGGATGTATTGCAAAAGGCTTTTTAAGCCATCCATATTTTTTACCAAGAGAAGCTTAATCAAACATTATTCTGTTGTACTTTTGCTTTGACAATCATTTCAGTAGTAATAATTTATTACAAACTCTCACCAAAGTTTGTATGTTTTTACAACACACAAGAAAACTCAATTCAACATTGTCCAGTCTTTCATTTTTTCACAATGTAAACTAAGGAGAGCCATAGCTCTTGCCTCCATCTAGTCTCTCCTCGAATGCTCGAGGGAGGCTACAGATTGTTCTCATAAATTGCTCTAAAAGTAAATTGCTCTCATTGAAATAATGTTTTTCTTCTCACCTTTTCAAGCTCCTTTGGTGAATCCCAAAACTCTTCAGCAACTTTAATGAAAAATGACTCAACAACACTTTGATCTTCATTACGCTTATGGGTCTTTCCAGCATTGATGGTTCTAAATTTCAAAAAAGCTTCAATTATTAAATGCAATGATATACTGTTGCTTTCTAGATTTTTTATGATTTTCAAAGACCACAATTTCACAAAAAATAAATCTTAAGTGAGCTAGGTTATGATAGTTGCTGTTAAAGGATGCCTCTTTCTTGGCCAGACACTTTTTGGTCCATATTTTTTTAGCTGAAGTAAAACCAAATTAGCATTTGCTTCTTTTCTACCAGTTTCAGATTATTAGCAGGCATTGAGATTTCAAGGGATCATTCCCTGTGTAAAATGCCAATGAGACAAAGTGAAACAATAGGATGAGAAAATAATTTATCATGGGTGGTGCCAGGTGGGGGGCCCAGCCCCCCTCCCCCCCCCACTTTCCTGCAAAAAGTGTTTTTGAGAGAAGAAAAAGAATAGAAAAAAATAGAAATAGAAGAAAAGAATGGTGAAATAAATCCTTTTTTACAGTATTGCTTTATTCAAAAGGAATAAGCTGCGGTCTATGGTGCCCCATAAAGTAATGAATTCCATTTTAAGACTGGAATTAATCAAACATAAAAAACCATGCCTTAAAATAGCAAAACTCTTGCAGAAAAGCACTGCAAGGAATATTCTGAAATGTATTTTAAGCTAACCTAGGGGGCATGGTTGCAAAAATTTTCTCCTAGCATTGCTCTCAAGGAAGCCTCCTCTTTAGATGTACCTAAGGACCCTACAACCTATTGCCGGCCTTCCAATATACTGCTACACATAACGAGTGCCCAATAAAATCATAGGCATAAAATATCATGAAGCATTTCAGTACAATTTTTGAAAGTTTGTTTTTTAGTCTAATAACCTTATTAACCTCAGCCCCCTCACTTTGATTTTCTTGCCCCCCCCCCTTATCCCTGGCATATTTGAGTTTTTTAGAACCAGGATTCAAACTCTCTAGAGGTTGCCATTAGCTGTGGCTGCTATGGTGACAAGGAAAAAAACTAGCATTTATCAGATATGAGTTAAATTGAGTAACATAGTTATGAAATTTTGTATGAATGCTGCTTATGGAGTAGTAAAGATTTGGAGACAACTAAAGAATACCATTTGGATACAATATCTGAAATGCCGATGCTCCTTCGCTTTGATTGCTTTATGGCATGGCCTATAAGAAATGCCTATCTAGCCAAGTTTCTGTTTTTAACTTGCTTCTTGTATAAAGTTGGAAATTTTCATTTGAGGTGGATTATGATTAAAAATTCCAAAGACTGATGTCCAAATTGTCTTATTTGTGACTGCAAATAAGATTATATACATATTGAAGGGGGCTGTGCCCTTGCTTCCCACTTCTCCTTCAATAAGCTCCAAAAAATTTGAACCTTAAGCCATTCTCTAATACCACATATAAGCCCACAAATAAAAACCTTTAACAATCCATAGTATGGCTTTGAAAAAAGACTTGTTTGCAGGACAATCATAATTTTTCATACATGAGCACCACTCTTTACAATACTGATCAAAGTTCTAGAAGTTCAGTCAGTGAATAACACCAGATATTTTCGTTAAACTATAAATTTTGAGAAAGACTGTCTTGGTCAACGTATTCAAACTGCAGAAACTCTAAATACTTACTCTGCATAGCCTGCGTCCATAGCCAGACATTTTTTTGGTCTCATTACAGGCCTGATTTCGTGATCGGCTGCAGCCATTGTTGCTTCCATGTCAAGCTCAAGAAAGTCAGGTCTTTTGTACGTGTATTTTGTTGGTAATTTGAATTTGGTATACGATGCCAGGCCGGGAGCTGAGCGATGTGGCTGGTCAAGGAATGCGGCAATAGCGCTGCCAGACCATTTCTTAAAAGCGCTGAAACTTGATGCAAACGCCATGGCGGAAAAATAACTGAAATATGCACCCTGATCAATCAATCTCCAAAACTAAATATAAACAAATATTTTTATATCGTAACTGTTTCTCAGCTGCAACGATAAAAAGGTATTAATTGTCAAGGATACTGCCCAACCTGCCTTGTGCAAATACTTTAAAAAAACGGCCTAAAAAATTACAGCTGCAGAATTTATATACGGAACCAAACTGAGGAACAAAAATGCGTCAGATAAAACCAAGTCCCGAGCACAGCGAATGCCTTTTTCATCAACAATTGCTTCCTTCCAGTTCCTTCTTCTGATAATCTAACCTCCAGCTAATCTTTTCCAAGTAAAAATGCAATTCATTGGTTGATTTTTCACATTCTCAAACTGCCCTGAGATTCCGAAACTTGTTCAGTCAAGAAACGTAGCGCTGAATGAGCTCGTATTACAATGCATGACTTTTTTATTCAAAGTAAAGAAACATAGTTTTCCCTTCGACTGGCATTTTCAACTTTCCAAATGAGCGTCTTCCTTCTAGTCCACGTCCGTCCTATCGACCTCGTTTTCAACCGCTGCTTGCTCAAAAAGATAACAAAAGAAAAAGATGAAAACGGAAAAACAGTATCGAGGAAGGAGATAGCCAAAGCAATAGAGTGACGTCAGAGAAAACTATTTTTAGAACCTTTGAATTTTGAACATACAACGTAAAAGAATCTCAAAATATGCAAAATTGGTTCAGTGATTCGAAAACCGGGAGAGATATGCCCAGTCGTCTTTGTTTGTTCCACAATGCTACCCCCTTGTCCATAAAAGGGAGGGAGCTCTGTGTCGCCTTCCCCCCCTTTCCATTAACATTTTTGTATAAAAATATTTCTTTTTGTTGGAGATGAATCCAGTCGTCAAATAAAAATGCATAGAAAATAAAAACTTAAAACACTGCTGATATTGTAAGTTTCAAAATACATTTAAAGAACACATTTTGTTATGGAAACTGCAAAACCGAAGGATAAACGTTTTGAATCGTTTTTAATCAGTGGGTATTTGGCAGCGTTTCTGAGAGAAACTATCTAGACGTAAATATCCTATATACCAATCTGAACCTGAACAAACAAATAACAATTTTGCAAGTGTGAAAGATATCAGAAAAGAGAACTCAAATGTCACTGGCATCTGGCGGCAACAAATATTGAAGAGACTAGCCTAATTTTACAAGACTTATGCTCATCTTGTCAAATAGCAAGAACGTTTTTGCGTTTTCAAAGAAAATTTTGGTAAGTATTCAGCAGAGGGACTTCCTATGGAGCGAAACACGGGCATCGACAATCTTTTGATAGGAAATGGAATTTGGATGAAAATCTCCCAGAATGCTTCAGGAGTTATGCTTCAGGCTTCGTTCAATACGATGGAATGTACAATAGGAAATAACAGAAAATTCGCAAATATCACACGGAAATGCGTACCGTTGGACCCCAAGCCCTCCACATCGCAATAGACTTTCTATTTGGCAATTGACATCTTCTTTTATCATACTGTTATACAGCTTTAACTTGAGAACTTGAGCTTCTGCAAATATTTTTATACTAACTCCACCCCCCTCACCCTAGCAATATCTTTGTGGTTGGCTACCAACCTGGCCATCGTCAAAAAGCATTCTTGCAGATCAAGGTAAAAACAAAAAAACAGCCTGATTTTGAAATATAAATATATGTAGACACCTTATCAACCCTCTAAGTACCATTTTCAATCTAAATAAATTTTAAGACGCAACAAGATTCAGCCGTTTTCAATCCAAAACTATTAAACTTCCAACCATCATGTGATCTATGAATGCAGAAAGACCACGGTAATTCACCAACCGGGCAAGTAGCCTGAAGGAAAATAAGTTGATGCAAATGAGAAGACACATTATGCGGAATTTTGATTGCTGAATTTAGAGCTTCCTTTCTAATTAGCAACTTTATTTCCACCTTTAGGGCAGCTTGATTCGACACCATTCGCCCGAATGATGCGAAGATGTTTGTCCGGATTCTCGATAAGAACTTTCCGAAGCAATAAAAACTGCTATCTGCGAAAAACATTATCCAAGCTTCCAAGATTCCAAGCTTCCAAGTTGTTGGGGAGAACGGCCTTGCAGCTTACCAAACTTGCAACAAACGTTACTGAACTACCGTTGTCTTTTCGACTTTTCAGATTCCCAGCCTCCTCGAAAATGGATTGTACAAAGAATAGAAGGTAAATGTGTTTTAATTTCAAATAGGCAAAAACTGATTAGGTTTTGTTGGCCCAAGCAAAAAATGTCCCTAAAGGTTCAGATACCAATGGAGTTCCAAAGTGATGACGTCACAAAAATGAAATACCTCTAAATGTGCAAAACCAACTAAAGGCATTACGAATTGACTTAGATATGGTCACATTAGCACAGGCTTTTGTCCCATCAAACCTCTGTAATTTGATCTTGGTTCATAACTTTATGAAATCTTTTATCGGCCATATCTTGTCCTAATTTCAACATATCTAACTGATTTTGCATTTAGAGAGGTATTTTTTACCTTTCTTTCAGATAATGTGTCAAATTAAGAAATTTTTAAAAACAGATTTTTGACGATGTCATATTTATTCACTCTATTAGATGTAGCTAAAAACCTAAATAAAGAAAACTGTAACAACTTGAGATCTAAAAAGAAACTTGATATCCCTACGACACACAGAAAGCGACGGCGTATTAAATCTGTTGAAACATTTTGAATAATTATCATATCATGAGAAAATTCAAAGATTCAGGACAAACTCTAGCAACACGTAAAATAAACAATAAAATACTTAAGAATTTGAAACTCCAGCAAATTTTTGAAAATATTTTATACGCTAATGTCCTCCAATTTTTGAAAATAATGCTAACCACATTTTAAGGTATTCATGTCAGTTTTAAAGAAAAATTTCTCAAATCTTTTTGCGATCCATTGGAATTTTGAGGTTTCTGGCAAACGATACAGAGATTTTAATCAATAAATCGCAATTGTGAGTCGTGACTCTTGAACCTTGAGAGATTTCTTGGCAAATATCTCGTAACAGAATTATAGAAAGGAATCTGATTGGTGGAAATAAACCTGCCAGCCACAAAGTGACCAATCAATTAAGGAGATGTGGTTACACCAGTCACGTGGATTCTTAAGTGTCACGACTCAGAGTCACATGATCATACGCAGACGAGGCTTTCCTTGTCTACAGCAGAGGCCAGATATCTTAGGCTAAAACTAACGGACAACAAATATTGGTTCACAATTTCGAAGAAAATAAATACGGAAGTCAACACACGCCTGTCCATTTGACCAGCTTGAAAACACCCCAGCTAATTGCCGCAACGAGAAAGGCTCTAAAAGTGTATTTGAAAATCTTTGAACTCGCAGATGGCTTGGGAACCCTAAAAAATAAAACATGGCAAACAAGAACTTGTGATAAAAACTTCTATTTATCAATATTGTAATTTTTTAACAAACCCCTTAATGCTGGGCCTGCACCACAGGGGGGCAGGGGGCCCCGCTAAATAAAAGTACACATTTTCTTAATATTTTTTTACTAAATAAAAGATCCAAATCAGCTCAGACCATTCATATAGATTAGCCTGTAGATAACAACAAACACATTGTTGAACCAAAGTCCACAAGTAAAACAGTAGTGGAGGTTGAGGGGACATTTTCTTTACATTGCTAGCCCTTCCAGTTTAGGATCAGTGGCGCGGGCCCTGTCAACGAAAATAACAGCTACATACATTTAAAACATATATAACATATATATTACAAAGACAGAAAAAAGTATTATAATTAACAAAGATTCTAATCAATTACAATTTTTATTCGAAGAGGTAATACATAAAATCTTTATCATTACTTCCTCATGGGCTATAAAGAATTACGACTCTTTAAAAATACTTTGCCTTGTTTAATGGAAGGACTGGAAACTTTAACGTCATCTTAGTATTTACTGGAAGCAGGAATAATAGCGATGGGAAGTCTTATAAAGTTCATAAAGAAAAAGTTATAAGTTTGAAAAATCGACCGAACTCTTTATGTAAATGGAAAATCTCAATCAAGAAGCTTCTATGGCACAACTTGATTGTCCCACAATGAGCCAAATTCTCGAAGTCTCATTTAAAGCTTTTAGTTCTGTTATTGATTCTATTAACCCCTTGTCAAACTAGGATGAAAAAATAAAGGCACTGTTGCAGGATAAAGTATTTTGACAATGTTCAAATAATAAAAAATTTAATCCAGTATTATGATGTAAGTCGTTAAAGGCATAGAGAGTTGTACTCGAATAAGCCCCCCCCCTCCTTCGAATAAGTCCCCCCGTCGAATAAGCCTCCCCTTTGAATAAGCCCCTACCTTTGAAAAAGCCCTCCCTTGAATAAGCCCACACTATAAATTTATTCTTGTAAAATTATCCCTCGTCCCCCATGAACTGAGTGAGGTACTGCCTCGACAGCAATAGGTCCCAATATATCTGCATTTTAACTTTACTGACCAGCCACAGAAAGTGGAAAAAAATTTACCCTGGTTATTTTGTTTTGGCTACTGCTGAATAAGCTCCCTCTTCGAATAAGTCCCCCCTTCGAATAAGCCCCCCCACTCGAATAAGCCCCTACCCCCAAAATGTGTCTTGCAAAATAAGCACCTGGAGGCTTATTCAAGGATTTACAATAGTAGTTAGTTAGTTCTCAAAGACATGTTGGCAAGAGTCACGAGAGCTATGTTGTGGGAATATGTATCTATGTGTTCGATCCAGTGTTACATGAGGTAGACTTTGCCTATGTACAGAAGACCCCGGGTATAGTCACATCAAACGTTGCTTGAAATTCTGAGACAGGAAGCGGAGTGTGATTGTGAATGGAGCAAAATTGGTTAGTTTTGCGTACTTGGGTCTTAATTTCATGTCACTGAAAACGGTTAAGAGGAATGACTATAAACGGAGTCAACTGTATACCCAGAGGCTATCTGCGAGCGCAAAGACAATGACTTACTTTAGTAAATCCACCATATCGACGTGTTTACCGAAATTCTCTTTGATGCCATTTAAGTGGCCGAGTCCTACGACCCCAACGACTACAGCCGGTTCGTGTCCACATATTGCTGAAATGAAAAAATTTAAATATAAGATTGGAAGGAAAATGTCCCATTGAAGGTTTCTCAGCTAAAGACTCTTCATTTTTAATTACTAGAGGGATATTACCTTTTTTGAAATGGTTGAAATTTTTAGGCATTACATTTAAATATAATAAACAATAAAAAATAAATATGACAGACAGCTATCACTTTGCGAACTGACAATAAAGATTTGGATGGAACTGAGAAAAATGCAATTTACTGATTTATTGAAAGCCTTTTCCCGTAAACATTATGAAAAATAAAAATGTATTTCTTATACTGTGGCAATTGTAGCGACACCGCTATTTACAACATTTCAGATCACAAAATTGCCGATCATGCAGGAGATGGAAAAGTCGATGCAATCATCAAATAAAAAGCTGAAAGCTTTGTAAATAGTTACAGAAACAAACTTTAACAAACTTTTCGACTTCTTGTTAAATGTGTACAATAAAGCTTTACGGTAAGGGGAAAAACCTCGCAAGAACTTGCAAGGTTGGTGTGTAATTCGTAATAATTCGAAATTTGTGAAAGCACGCCTGCCATTTGAGTAGCCATGGATGGTTTTGGGCAATGATAATGCAAAATGATATAGGGGACAAGGGGCAATAAAAATGAAAATTTCATTATCTTAAACAAGAAAAAAACATGAGCGATCTCCTACCTCCAGTCTCGTCAACAATAGGCACAGGTCTTGCTGCCTTGCGCAGTGTGTGAGCCATGTATAGATCCCTCTCATTCACAAACACTTTTGTCAGCATCGGATAATCCCCTGTCATTTCTTTTAAAATTTCTGCTAGCATGTCTTTTTGCTTGAATTTTTCGATGTCCTCTTTGCTAAAAAACAATGTTTTTCACATCACACGCCAAAATTCTTTATCCACATTTTCAAACTATGAAAACAAGAGGACAAGAAATCTAACTAGCTGTTAGTGGGGATACAATACATCCCTGCAAAGAGGACCCGTTTTCAAGAGTCAGACAAGGGTCAGATTGTTCTTTGTCGTATTTCAAAAAATGCATATGGTTATTCAAAATCAAAGATTCTTATTTCAAAGGATATTTTTCATGCATTTGGGAGAGAAACGAACCAAAGAATTTTATAAAAAAAATACTTCAATTCAATTTTTTCTTTAAGACACAAAGTTATATAAAGATAAAGTATACAGTTAATTTCTAAGTGGACTATCATCAGAAATGATCCTTGGTCATTGTGAAAAGTGCCATTCATAATAGGGAACCCTATGCATTCCTCAGCCTGAGAACGGTTCTTAAATACAAAATGCTTTATAAAACAAAGGCAGCCTGTGAGTTCTTTGATTTCACAAGAATGTTGTGTCTTCGTCTTTCAAATCAAACTGTCCTTTATCATCATAAATTTGCGCTTCTTTATCAATTTATTTCATATGTGAACATAATAGAAAAGAAATACTATATATTTTTGACGATTTTCGGGCGCATTTTTAAGTGCTGCTTTGTAAAAAGCTTTTTTGTTAAGCTTTAAAACTTGCAAAACTTGTAAAATGAATGTCACGAGCACTAGAACTTTGTAAAATCGACGTTTGCAGACAAAGATACTGGTTCTTTATCCAAATTATACACCAAAAATTTAGTACAATGAATTACAATTACAATTTAGTACAAACAATTAAGATCCCCATTTAAAACAATTTCAAAGAAGATCCAGAAAAACAGGCTCGCAGCATGCCTTTGTAGTTGCTTAATATAAAATTTGGATGCTGCTTTACAATGACTGAAGCTCTACGCAGTCAATCAAAGTTCCTTATGCATAAAAGATAATTTCTCCAGATTTTTTCAAAGCTTTCAAAAGCCAGCTTACCTTATAGGGTCTCGAGACGTGAGCAAACACCAACCCATTTTCAATTTTTGCCAGAACGATAAAGCAGCCATTGCTCTACTGAGTGTGATCTGGAAAAACAAAACAAAATGATGAAAACAAAAATTACACGTGATCTATCAGCATATTTTAATGCCTATACCAAGAAACCCTTTACTAAATGCTATTTTCAATCCTGCTTTTAAAAAGGGTTGGTGCCATCCTCATACGACCTTTAGTCCATATAAAGGCAAAATCTCTGCTGATGCTGTTTTAATTGTACATTTTTGTTCAACGTTTTAACTACATAATCATTTGGGCTAATAAAAATCTATCAATCAACAAAAAGTGGAAGGGGGGCATCACCCCCTTTGTACATTTCATTTGACACTGCTCCAACTGGTCCCTTCTACCCTGTCTGCAATCCTTCTTTCGCTAATTTGTGTGCTTATCTTAGGCCACATCTTTCTACGCTGTCTTTGTTAATATCGAGATTACAATTTAACCATCGCTTTTTCACTGGCTTTTTCAAAGGTAGTGCAAAGCGTTAATGCCAAAGCTTGAAAAGGCACTGCCGTCAATAAACGATGAATCTTATGCATACTTGCAGATTAATTTTGAAATTGGTTTGCTGGCTAAGTTAACCTCCCTCTCCTCAATCTTTACATCAAGGCAACATGAGCTCTAGATCTGTCCACAATACACCATTTCAAATGAAAACAAAAGGGCCAGGTCGAATAAAACTTTTTTAAGTATCTAACCAAAAGCTGTCGAAGAATGTAAGAATAAATGCGTTTTAGAGTTCAAATGTTTAAAATTCAGAATACTTGTTTGAATTTTTTTAGTTTCATTAAAATTAATATTCTGAATCTTAAACTTTGTAAACTACATCCAATAATACATTCTTAGACAATTTTTAACTTTGCTGCTATGTTTCTGAAAATGACCATCTAACAGGAAACTTTCAACGTGAAGAAACAGCATACAAAAAATATTTTGCAGTTTTAGCTTGAACATGGCGCGAAACATAACAAAACAGCGGCATAAACGAAGTAAATGGTACAGGCATGGAGTATCAATCACTAAAGCGCATTATAAAAACAGGTGTTGTAATAAATATTAAAGTTTCCTTGAAACACGTGCTTCCTACCTGAACAGGGCGGTCACCAAGTAAGACTTGACAACCTGGAATCTTCTTGGCCTAAATAAATAAAAGTAAAAAGTTAAAAAAGGTTTCGATTAAAAGGAAGATAACCAAATAAACATTTGATACCGCAAACCGTGCCGTCGGAAGGAAATTCATATTGGGGGGAGGGGGGTCCCTCCATTGTATTCCTTCTCATTCAGTACATTGTTATAAAGGAAATATACTACAGTTTGACAATTATTGGGGGGCTTCGACATCAAGCGGGCACGGAAAAATGGAAATATAACATACTAATAAAAAGTACTTTTCATCCTCAAAGAATAAACATCGGATAATGAAAGGTAAGCATAAATAAGTTGCAGATCGAAAGTAGCGAGAAAGGAAGAATGGCGTGTTCCATTGACACCTTTTATTCACCTTGCCAAAGATTAAAATGCTGACAAAAAAGAAAAGGTGTAGCAACAAGGAACAAATCAAACGTCGCATTCTTCTTGTAACGTTATTTTTGACCCTTAATTGGACAGGGGTGCCGCTGAGAGGGGATCGGGGTGGCTCAGCCTCCCTTGATGGAATTTGGAGAGATTTTGAGATGACACAGCCACCTTTTAACAGGTCAGTATATTTTTATTTGGGCGAATTTCTTACTTGGCAAACAGAATTAACCCTTTAGCATGCTATCAATTCCATGAATGGGCAACTTCTATCAGCCAGTTAGTGTCGGTGAATGGTTTGAATGACTTCATAATCTCTAATATAAAACCAGGTATATTGAATATGACCGTGGGTGTGGTCTTGGGCAGTTCAGTGGTAGACATTTGGGGGGGTGAGGGGGGCGACCGCCCCCCCCAATACTTTAGAGGACGATGGTCTTTTGTTCTAAAACAATGGGAAATGTGACCTCATCTTATTAAAACAAGGGAGGTGTTTAATGGAAGGCTGCCATTTGAAAGAGGCAATGTGGTACTTAAGACAGGTCAAAAAATATATGAGCTGACAGAAACGTGTCTCGGTGAAATTGTGATAAAAATTTGCAAGACAGCATTGAGATATCTGAAAAACTTTGCTTACCTCTTTGACTGCCCTTCTGAATTCTCCACCAGGTGCCATTCCAAGCTGTTTTGTCAGGTGGGCAGACATGCTCAATAGAAGGAGCTGCATTACTCCTCCAACAAATCCACTCTAGAAAAAATTAACCACAATACAAAAGAAAAAAAAAGAGAAAATTAACCACAATACAATAGGCAGCTGTATTAGCTTCAGTTTCAATTCAGCACTGAAATGCTTCAATCAATTAAAATAAACATTATGAAAAATAACATGATATGTGTCACTTAGGATAAACAGACAAGCTGGCAAATAGAGCTTTAAAGTCAAGTATCCCTAGTTTTATCAATTGATAGATATCTATGATAACAATAACTGAAGATAAATTATCAATGTGAGGTGTACAAAGAGGAGTAAAGGTGGAAGGAAAATGAGCCCTAGCAAGAACAGTGAGGGGTATAACACGTGTCAACCACTAAAGAACAATTCAAGAACATAAAAAACAACTTCTAAGGTTGCTGGTGTGTACACTGAAAAGATCTTTAAAAAAGAATCCAGCTGCACTTTGATTTGTTATTCTTCCTGTTTCTAACATTCATTGATCAGGAAATAGAAACAGACAAAACATTCTATAGGACTTGCAGCTGTTTAATTTCCATGCAGTTGAATGAGTTAGCAACAGACTTTCATTTATAGACACTTCTTACGAACTTTGATATAAATGAAGTATTTAATGCTTTGCAGAACTCAAATTCAATATCCATCAGAATGAATGTCAACGCAAACCCAACCTTCAAAATGCCACTGACATGAAAAATAAAAAAACTTAATAAAATCAATTTATTACATTTTATTTTCGAGTTGACTGTGCTGAATTATTTCCTGCAAATCTTTTTGTTAACATCATTTTTTCAAGCTCCAAATTACTGGTTTTTGTTCAAATAAAAAAACATGGCCAAAAGTTCTAGAACTTGTGATGCATTCAAAAAAAAATAAACTTATGGCCCTGAAAAAATATTTGCAGGTATAGAATCAGTGATGTTTGCTTCCTAAGAAGAAACCTTTGGCAAAATTTTGACTTTTCATGTCAGTGGCACTTTGACTAAATTTGAACTTTGATGCGCATGCATTTGACTTAAGAAAACAGAAGTAACATATGTTTGATCTCTATAGCAGATATAAGCTTACTCAATACAAATTAAATATAATCCGTTTTGTGTTTGTGGCTACCTAGCATCTGAAGGTAGTTGTAGGACACTGAGAAGCAATGCTTATCGAGAAGTGTCCTGGTCCTTCCTCTCGATCCGACCACACCTCGTGATTCGAACACCTGAAATTACAGGAACTGGTGACTGTCCTCAATCTAGGTGAAAGTTTGGTCATGTCAAGGACTCAAAAACCCAGACCCTTGGAACTGTAGCCCATATCCTAACTACTGTGACCCTAAGATCCCCACACCTTGCATTAAAACATGAAACAAATACCAACAAGTAACAAATTTTGATTGTCACAATCACCTCTTTAATTGCCATTTTCAGTTTTGCCATGCTGATGTCTTTTGCTTCCCTCAACAATGTCTCCTCATCATACTGGATTATACTAACTCTTCCCCCACACAGCTCAACCATAACAACATCTGGACAGACTGTCTGTATAGTCTAAAATATTGCAGGAAAACACAGTAAAGATTCTCTATAAAAACTAAATATACTAAGTTTTATGCTTAGTTACCATATTTCAGACCTTTACTTTGCAAAAATTATTGAAAGTGGAACAATTTTCAGGTTTCTTGTAAGAGCAAGAAATTTGTGCTGCTTAGTAAGAAAAGAAGACCTACAATCCCTGCCAAATTCAGCAATCCCCGCCAAATTCAGTAATCCCTCTAATCATCTTTCTCTAGAAACAATGTTCATTACTATAGAAAAAAGAAAGAGGCTATGAGGTATATTTTTTCTTATGGCTTGTATGATATCATTCTATACATTCAACATTGCTTTTGAGGAAAAGGGGGAGAAAAGCATAGCACAAAATGTTGGGTGTCCCCTTTAAATGATGTCAATGGAAGTAAAAAACATATTAAGTTTTACAGTTTTGAAGCCTTATTAGAAGATAATGGGCCTTTGATAATGGACACTACAAAAACCAGATGATTCTTTTTCATCAAACTTTCATTTCATTTATGTTGCCTTATAAAAACAACTTTGGTGCAAATGAAATATCCTTGGATTCACTGTACATTAACACATGGTTAATATTTCTATATCATTGTTTCCAATTTCAATCCTTATTGAAAGATCTTAATCAAATAAAAATTAATCTGATTGCACTTAGAACAAAATAATTAAGCATTTTACCTGGCTAACGTCTTCTTGACTTGCCATACTGAAATGTGCAGTTCCCACAACATATATCTTACATCCATCATCTGTTTCAATTTTAACAACATTATCCGATAACTCAAAGTCAGTGTGTGTAGATCTTTCCATTATGCGCGCAGAGTGAGCCATGGACATTTCCATGCAGTTTTGGCACCTGCAAGGTCCACCATCCTGATGTACCATTGCTTCTGCTTCCTCAATGTCATGTCCTATGATTAAAAGAATTGTCCTATCAACAACTATACTTGACAACTAAACTCTAAACCTGGTATTTATAGCAAGGGCAGATTTTGTAACAATAGGTTCTTTGGTTTGTTTACATTTTGTCGACTAGCCAATCAGAGAGCTCTATTTCTATGGCGTCATCTGATGGTAATGGCGGATGGAGGGGTTTGCTGTGGAGAAAACCACACCCTCGTTTTTTCTTCGCGACGAAAATATACTTTAGCAAAAACTCGACATTTTTTGCACCCGTACAGAACGATAAATTTCACATATAATTTTATTGGCACTAAGCTCTGCGTTTTCTGCTCTTTGCGTGATCGCTCGCTATTGACATCCCTTTTTGCACGTCCTCAATTGTTCGACGATCGATTGCACTTTCGCACAAAAACAAATTCAAAAAACGTAATAGTTTGCATCTGTACAACATTGTTTGACAATATAACTGGAAAATAAGGTAAATTGTACAAGGAAAATGAAAGTGTTAAAAAACAACGTTTTGAGCATCGCCATTTGTCAAGTTATAGAACGAATTTGGATTGACAAAACGACTTTTGAAAAATACATGAGGGTCCACCTGATAATTTATAGGACAAACGATAATGTTTTTGAGAAACCCTTCCAAGATAAACCAAGACATTAAAGTGTTGCCAACCTTCTTTATTTTGTCTGTTATTAGCTTTTGTTAAAATATGAAACCTTTGCACTACAAGCTTTATACAAACAAACCAATGTCAAATCAACGAAGAGCAGTAATGTCAGATGGTTAGAATTCAATTACAAATTGGCCAATGAAACATTATAATTTTTTTATAAACTCGTTCTCGAGACACAGAAACTTTTGAAAAACAACGTGTTTACTTTCAGTTGGGAAGATTATTTGCATGGAGATGCCAACAATCAATTAAAAATCATGCATAACATTTAGTAACACTTTACCAGACCATAAACGTTCTTGAAAAGCAGGCATTTTATTCACTGCAAGCTGCTTTCTTTACCGCTGCAAGTCTTGCTGAATCGATAGGTACGAGTGTATATCGGTAATTCTTTATCTTTCTTCTTACAATATTTATCGACAGATTTTAAAAGTTATAACTTTCAATTTCAATTTACAACTTTCTGTAAACATTTTGTGCAATTTTATGTGATGAAGCAAATCAGTTTCGATGCAAACTGGTTAGGGCAGAACGTTCGACCATTTGTGTCGCGAGAGTTCTTGCTCTTTTTGAACGTGACCAAAATTTTATGCTTCTTGTTTTTAAATTATTTTGCAATTGTCTAAATCAGAAGCTTTTTGCATTCAGTTATACGAACAATTAAATGATAGCTTTTCTTCGATCATTGTGATAAAACATTATTTCTAGACACTGCTAATGTGTCAACGCATTTGTTTCTGATGCTACCATCCTGAGGAAAGACCCTCAAAAAGTTTGCTTACACACCTATAATAAGATAAATTTTTTGACGAATAAATAGTTCAACGCCAAAAAAACACAGGAAAAATTTGAGAAGATTAATAGAAAGGTATTTATGAGAATTGTCTTTGAAATTATTTAAAAAATCTTTAAAAACAGATTTCTGGCAATATTGAAAACGTTCCGAATACATTCGAGTGGGGAGTGCAATGTATAGTCCAACCAATGAGAATTTTAAATGACCATCGAATAGCGGTGGGACATTGTGTCTTATCTGCCATCTTCGTATACCATGTTGATTGCGAGTTTGTTTAGTGACTGTTTTTTATTCGCTTTTCACTCTCCGCCCGGCCAAAATTATGGCTAGACCCCTCCCCCGAAGGGCTAGCGCTACATATCCACCCAAATAGTTATTTTAGGTTGAAAAATGATTTAAAAAACACTGTAAGACCCTTTTTGAAATATTCCTTACATCTGCTAGCAGTGCAATTGAAGTCCACTCGTGTTTTTGATAGAGGAGCGTGATTTGTTTGGTTTAGGGCCGAGTCGTCGCAGGGTCGTTGAGGCGTCGAGGACGTGCAAAAAGGGATGTCAATAGCGAGCGATCACGCAAAGAGCAGAAAACGCAGAGCTTAGTGCCAATAAAATTATATGTAAAATTTATCGTTCTGTACGGGTGCAAAAAATGTTGAGTTTTTGCTAAAGTATATTTTCGTCGCGAAGAAAAAACGAGGGTGTGGTTTTCTCCACAGCAAACCCCTCCATCCGCCATTACCATCAGATGACGCCATAGAAATAGAGCTCTCTGATTGGCTAGTCGACAAAATGTAAACAAACCAAAGAACCTATTGTTACAAAATCTGCCCTTGCTGGTATTTATTGGATACAAAAGCATTTTTCTACTTAAACTTTATGCATTGAAATGAATACTCAGCCAAGAAAATACTTGGAAGTGTAGAAAAAAAATCATCTTTTCATAACTAATTATAAAAATATCACAAAAATATTTGAATCAACAGCTCAATTATTTCTTTGTCTTAATAAATTAAAACAATTTAATATAAGTAAAATTAAAGGATAATAACCATTTAACAAGCTACAGGATTTTTAACAATGAATACAGAAAGGTAATTTTTAGGTTCTTACATGAACCTCTATTCATTTCAACCCCTTCCCCCTCTTATTCTTGTTTTTCAAACAATAATGAAAAGCAGGCATAACATAAACTGTTCTGTAATTTAAATGAAGACAACGAGTTCATGCTTTATTTAGGGTGTATATCGAATATTAATTGTTCTTGAAAATTTTTCAAATTTCACCATTTTATCTCAAAAGGAAAGAAATAAAAAAAATTGGTTTACTTAATGCCCAGAAACATCTAATTCCTGTATATAATTAGCTTGATAAATATTTTCAAAAAGCATTTTCAGCATATCTCAAAAGAACCTACTAAGCAAATTGCTAACCTGAAAAAGATTCCCAAGAGGAAGTCTCGTCGCTTCCATTGGCAAACTCGTAGCTTTCGGTGCTTTCAGCGTTATCCGTACCATTTGCATCAACTAGCACAGTTTCATTATTGTCATCGAAATGTTGTGCCATTTGATCAGCAATTTCTGTGTCATGTTTTTTATCATCTGTTGAGGCTAGGCCATCTACATTCTGCTCGGCTGCTATCGCAATCTTCTCTGTTATACTGACTTCATCCCGATCTATTTCTTCGTCGGCGTTGTAATTCGTTTCTGTTTTTTGAGCATCAGACCCTTCTCTGTCGTCCCGTACATGTTCGCCTTCCATTAAGCTAAAATACTTCAACTTCTTAAAAGGTTTATGGCCTTCGCTGGAAGATTATTTGCAGCTTTCCAGCAAAAAATTTATGCGTTTACTTAGGCCATCCAATTAAATAGACAGAACACAAAATTAACTCATTGAAGTTGTTGTTGTTTTCGAACATTCTGGGTTCAAAGTTCCGAAAAAGAAATTTTCAGATCTCAGGCTACAATTTTCCAAAATTTGTACCAAAACTTGTTACAATATTTCAGTGACAAAGCGTCTTGGGGCGTAACACCTTCGAGACACACCAGTCTACAATGACAAGGCGATACCCTGCATCAAGAACTCAATGACTGTCTTATTTTTTCCATTTGGGCTTTCAGAATAATATAATAATGATATAATAATAATATAATAATAAAACGAATATTTATACAGGATAAACACTTCAACAATTAGAACATCGCTGTTATCACTGTGTGTCCTGTGAAACAGTTTTCAACGATCAGAGAAGTAAATCCCGGGGGGACGGGGGGGACTGGACCCCCCCCCCAAAAAAATCTTGAGGAAAACGATTTTTTTGAAGAAATTACCATCATTTTCCTTGAAAGAAAGAAATCCCTGGTAGCCGGGTTAGAACCAAACTACGTTTTTCTGTGTTATTGCAACAAACCTCAGCCAATAAGGTTATTTTTGTAAGCAGAGTGGTTTTTATAATTTTTACAAGATAGAAACTTACCGTTTTCTACCGTTTTTTACCGTTTTATTTTTGAAAACAAAGTAAAAAATGAGATCAATCTGTCATTTTATTTGACCTATTTACTAACTTATTTACGTACATTTCTATTATTTGTCTATTATTTGCTTTTATTCAGTAAATCACTTTTTGTATCATTAAAATGTATTCATTTTTTATGTGTAAACATGGCCTACTGAAAGCACTCTAAATAAGGAAGACGCACATTTCTGTTCAGAAAGTAAATTACTACCAATCAATACAACAGCGTCCCATATTTCCCCATAGTCTGTCACTAAGGTTTAAGCATGATTCTTCCCCTCCAAAATTTCATCCAATAAACAATATCCTGAGTGATTCTAGTTTTTTATTAAATTTAGTCTGGGGGAGGCCTTTCTAGAAGATAAAATTTCAAAAATTTTCTTCCGCGTCGGACCCAACCGGGTGGGTCCTCCTACGACAGTTAACTTGATTCTTAGCTCCCAAGGTTCAATTTTTTGGGGCCATCTCTGAAAAATGTTATCCATCCAATTATCAACACAAGTCAATGTACTAAGGAACATCTGTAAATACCTTCTTTAGAGCAGAAAGTCTTGAGAAAACCAAAAATATTGACTTTTGTTTTTAAAGTAATTTGCCCCTCAACTGTTTCCATAAAACATAACACATACCCTTGTGGTGCCATGACCCACTGCATACTTTATATTCATTCGCTCTGCTGACCCCCCCCCCCCCCCCCCCCCCAATTCACATGACAGATTTACGTTTGATGTTTCAAAAACCTAAAACAGTCATTTCTTTCATAACAATATTTTTTAAATTGTCTTTGTCACCAACGTGAAGTTTAAATTCGAGGTTTGCCACAATTTTCTGCAGAGTTTCACGAAGAAGGCTTATGGTAAAAAATTATCCCCGGTTTTCGGTTCTACATTTTTTAAATTTTGGGGTAGAAAAAGGATTCAGTATCCCTGAACATTTTTAGGTAATCAATGCATCAAGTGCTGAGTTATATAAGAAAAACTAAAAAGTTGTAAGAATCGGTAATTTTTCAGATCGGTACACTTCCACCTTAACCTGTGAAGAATTTCTTGATTTACAACAAGCTTTTGACACAGTGAATCATGAAATCCTTTTGAATGAACTTAAGCATTATGAATTTCGAGAAACTGCATTGATCTGGTATAAATCCAATCTCTCAATAAAAGGAAACAGTATGTGCCAGTCATCTTATTGTTAACGGTGGGGTAACACAGGATTAAGTCACACCTTAAGTCACTGTGGATTAAGTATTTGTTTGCAGATAATATTAGTAACATATTGAGGAGGAGGCAAAATGGAGCGATGCCTCTAAGGGGGCAAATAATCTCTTTGAAAAGGAGCATTTTTTGCATTCCAAAGAACGTGGACCCCCATCTTCTATTGTTCAAATCACCTCCCCCATCCCCCTCCCCCCTCCCCCTCCCCCAAATGCTCGAAATTGGTGAAATTTTAAAATTGATTAAGAATAATTCCTAGGCTCTAATTTCATCAACAACTTGACCTTTTATCAATATGGGTTTTTTGAGCAAACAAGACATGAGAGACTTTCAGGCAAAAAGTTTGAGGAACACTCATATTAAGCTAAAATGCTTTTTTCCTAAAATTTCCGCAATGAAGGAATCTAGTAACAAAGATTTGAACTTTCTTCTTAACAATGATTATAGCATAATTTGCTTTTCTGGTAGAAAATTTGCTTTTCTACTATTTTTTCTTGGTTGACCTTGATTTTCATTCTCCACGTTCTCATTAAAACGCTTCCAATTAATTTTGCTCCATGGACTATAAAAATGAAATGAAAAAGAGCTCCTCTAAATAAAAGCTTATGACATTCTTATCTACTCTTCAATTCCATTTATTGGGCTGACATCAAAATATTCAATTCTGATAACTTTTATGATGCGTTCCAGATAATTTTATGTTGAAGATAGAAATTACTTATAGAAAATGCTTCATTTCTTTACTCGCCGAAATTTACACCGAAATCTGAAAAATATGACCGAAATATTTTCCACCAAAAATTAATCCACCGAAATTATTAATACGGGATGTTTTCGTACTTAATGTAGTGAAAAAAGCCACAACTCTGGCGACTGCCTTAAAAAGCAGAGTAAATTTGGTATCATACTTCGATTAATTTTACTTGCAATTCATTATATTTCTGGGATTTTCCAAATTTTACAAGGATTTTCAGAAATAGGTAATCTATTCTAGGTCTGGGAACAGGGTCGACTCTCCAAAGTATGTTTCTAAACAAGGGACTCTTGCTATATTTGACACCATCTTAATCAACTACGAATTTCATACATTCTGTACAACAAATAAAAACAATATTAAATACGGTATTATGATGCAAGCTGTTGGGCTTTCGGCCTGGCTTTAACTGTTCCCTTTGTTTGCATTTTGTCAGCGACGTCGGTCAGTTTAGAGAAATGTTTCTGTGCAAGCACGTGCCTGTTGTGAACCTTTCCAATGAAAATCCTTCCATATCCCTGAAAAGCAAAGCCAAGATTTCAAAAAACTGCACTCAGAAAACAGACCTGTTTCAGATTGAACTTTTCTTTATGTCGACAACGAGGATAGTAAGACGAAACCGAGACAAGTGATGTGCGGTGCAAATATTTTATCGCGTTTACATTGAAAATGCCTATTTCTATTCAAAATTGAAAAAGTCTAACCTTGGGAAATTAGAAAACAAATTCGTGATGTCGAAATCTCAAAGTGCTGCTAGTTGCTATTAAAAATAAATTACAGCCTTTGCTATCTCAGCCCTCTTTCTTTCTCTAGAGAAAGGGGTGTTATAGCGTCACTCGTCTCGTCTTCGTTCCTAACCTCGCTATCAAAAGATGTGTGAAAGACAATTCGTGGAATTCTCATCACAAAGGTTTGGGAATTAAAGTTTGTCTATGATTTTACAATTTTAAATTGCATCCACAGTTTAAAACGTGTCAAAAAGATTTTCAGGGAATAGTCTAATAATTGGAGTGCGAAAAACGGTATTATGATTATTTTATATGATTTGAGCTTATAAAAGTCCCCATACAGACACTTCAAGAGATCAAAGTATTTCTCCTCTGAAAACCGGCGTGAAAATGATGGCATTAGGGGCAATGAATAGACAGAGTAATGCTTAAAAACAAATCAAATATTCTTTCAATGTACATTAAAACTCGAAGCTCCCAAACAATGAGCTAGCAATCTTTATATGATAGCTTCATAAAGACGTACTAATTGGAAGATTCAAAAATGCATAGATTTATATACACAAGCACCAAAGTAATGTATCAAAAATTCACAGTTAATAAACCAATGCTTGAAGCAAAGAAAAAAATCCATTCAGGCACAAAAAGAAATCCCTGTACTGCCAAGAAAACGAAAGCCAGTTGCGGTAGACAAAAGTTCTCTGTTGTCAAATTTGTTATTCATAAGGGTCTGTATATAAATACTTTACCTCGTTTACGTTTTCCAATTTAGAGTGTGCGGCAGCCTCTTCTTTGGTAAGCAGGATGCAGTTCCAAGGGGCCCAGTGCTCATGCTTGTTCCACCTCACCAGAACAAGATCATGCAAGTCCTCCCATGCACTCAAGCAGCTCTGGCCGTTCCAGATATTTTCCACAAGATACCTTAAATCTGCCTCCTGCAAAATTAGTAAAATGATGGCGTTAAACAAAAATACTCTATCTTAATAAACTTCCAACCTTCAAAATTGCGGCTATTTACAAAACTAAGCTATATTAGGCTCTGATAAAGGTTTAATTTACACATATACTCCATATCAAACCTAGAAATTTACATAACCCGCTATCAAGTCGATTCTTTGATTGAAACTTCGTCAATAAACTCGCTATCTTTTCCTAGTACAATTTTACTTTAATTCCTAGTTTCATTCCATTGCATTGCACAGCACGCAAGCTAGGATATGCATAGAAATTTATACAGAAAAAGAAGAGAATTCGGCTAGAAAAGAAACTAATAGCACAGGCATATACAAGGCTATTTTGTAAAAAAATTTACTGTTTTTCTTTAAAGTTCTGCATTTACATTTTTATGAATCACAACATGCTAGCGGATGAGGATATTTAGTCAAAACTATTGTTATCTTTGCAGCAACAGCTTTCATGTTTTCCCACCGAGTTATAAAAAGGATTCCATTCACTCAAATTATAACACCATAACAAAAAACTGGACATTCGATGTAGGGTTACCTGAATAATGAACGCAATTTTCGAGCCATCACTGTATTCTTCCTCCGAATGTCGTAAGGCAAGCAACATGGAACGAAACTTCGAGAAATCTTGTCGTAAACGAGCATCGTTATCCAGTTTCGCGCAACGACGGCAACGTCCAACGATCCTAGAAAGAATCAAAACTTAAATGTGAAATAAATATAAAATACTGTTACTACTCTAACTCCCCAGAATAAGTCCCCTAGACCAAGACCCCACCATCGAACAAGCACTCTAAGATGTCATACCCTACGAAACATTGAAAACTTGAGCAATCAAAGAATTTTTACGATTTTGTTGATGTCATCACCGACATGTAGAAATCTCATTTCCTCAGAGTAAATTTTGAAAAAGTGAAAAAGTTATTTTATGGCAACTTTCATATAATAATTATAAACATTCTTCGTTTAAGCCCCGCTCTCCTTGAACCAGCCCCCATCCAAAAACGATCGTTATAAAAGCTCTTAGGAGAAAGTACAGGAAACGGACCGCCAAAATGCTGCAGCACATAAAGCAGCCCCCCCCCCCAATAATTTGCAAGTTGTAGTATGTTTCCTTTATAACAATGTATTGAATAATAAGGAATACAATGAGCAACCCCCCCTCCCCATAATATATATTTCGTTCCGACGGCATTGTAGTTATTATTGGGTCTTTTCGGAAAAACTGCTTTCATTTTGGCCTATTCAACAAGGGGCCTAAAGTAGCACTTAAGCCCTGCAGCTAGGAAATTCATTTTGGGCAATATTTTGTTAATTAATAAAAAGTAAAAAACTTACTTTGAGTTTGATGCAAGTGGAAATTCCGAAGATGGAAGGTACGAGGTGCAGCTAGGACAGAAGTAGACATTTTTGCGAAAAGTAGATGGGTCTTGTGGAACCTGGAAATGAAAATTGAAAAGAGTCATAGCAGCCATGTATGGTATTGCTGAGTGATCAAAATCGAAAGAAAATAATGCCATAACACAACCATAATGTTATTATCAATTAAATTAGGGTGAATTAGATTATCGTCAATTAAATTATAGTATCATATAGGCCAATACGTATTTTAAATTTGAGATCTTACCAGAGGTGTAGTCCTTAGGGATTGTGGGGACCGAGCCCCCTGTTAATGTCGAAAAGTAGCCAATTCATAGTTTTGCCATTGTTTTTGGATCATTTTTTGCAAGAGCCCCATTTTTACTTTAATAGTGCAACACCCATAGGTTTTAAAGCACAAATCTGGTGCAGGAAAAACTCGCATACAAAATACAGGGCTTTTTCTAATTGAAAATCAAACGTTGGCAGTTTTTGCACCATAACGTTAAATGTACATTGTATTCTAAAAAATTCGTGGTACTAAGGGGCATTTTAACTGAAGGGCCACGCAGGCAAATAGAGGGACCTTTGTAATCAACAATCAGGTATTACCACTGTTCTTTTAAATAAGAAGCACGTGCATCCGATGTCACATAGTCAAATAATCTATGAACTGAAAGTTCATTTTCTAATGAAACAATATTGCAAAAAGAGAAAGCACTAGAGTGCTACCTTGAGAAGTCTTCCTGCCTCAGGATTGAAAAGGGGGATTTTGCAAAACTGTATGTACAGCGTCGAGATTCTTTGCCTCAAGCCTGAAAATTCAGAAGAAAAAACTCTTGTTTCTTTTATACGAAAGTAAGGTCGACAAGGAGTTCTTAACTTTGTGGCTATAAAAATGTTAAACCTTGTGTCACTTAAGAATAATTTAAGAACAGTCCTAGGATCAAAATAAAATAAAATTAAGAATACTGAGGCAAAGCAAAAAATTAGGTATTCTTATAAAGAAACATACCATCTAAATTCGAGTCTTTGACTCCTCTCATGATTAATTCTGTTTCCCTGTCAATGAGCTCAACTATCTCATGAGTCAATTTGCATTCATGCTCCTGAAATGAAGATATATTGAATATGTAATAACAAGATTGACTAAGGATAACCAGGTGCGAATTACATACGTACAAATCTTAACATTACATTTAACGCAGTAGTGGTTTGGAAGACCAAAATTTATGACACACGCAAATACGAGGTATGTTTCTTATTTTCCAACACTGGAGTAAAGTATTCATTTTCAAAATATCCATTGTGTTCTGTGAGATACAATTATGATATCGGTATCAAACAAGTGATCCACAAAAGGTTTTCTACAGAAATTTCCCCTAGACCCCTTGATTTTTGACCACAAGTAATTTCCTCTCGTCTCGTTAGGACCCTGCCAATATGGACAAAAATTGATTTGACTATATCGTTATACTGAAGTTCATAGAGACCCAAAAAAGACTTGAAATGTACATCTATACTTGATTGAGTTGTTGAATTTTTGCAAATTTAATGGTATGCAATCTTTAATGTGCCTCAATTTTGGGGTAGGGGTTTTGGGAAATTTATCAATTTTAGGGCATGTTTTAATATTTCAAAATGTTCAAATAGAGAAAGGAATAATCTACAATAAAGAAATAAATTTTACCAAGGTAGCATTCTAACAAGAAACAATACATTTTAGAAAAGAATGTGTATTTAGAATAACGATATTTTGACTATTCTAAAATACCACTGGTTTGTTTTGAAAGTTTTGAAAGACGAATTTCACAGTAATTTAAGGAAAAAGTTTTTTTAAGACGATGACGTCATTTAAGGTGGTAAAGCAAAGCGCAGCAATCAATACCTTAACTGTGTGTTTTAATGTCAGAAGAACGTCCAGCCTTTCTTCCTCGGTGAGGTACTTCATTTGCAGACTGTTGTAGAGGTCTCTAAGCTCTTGTGCGCGCAAGGTGTAAGGTGTGTCTACTTCAATAGTCGTCCCGTCATTCGACCTCCATTTCTTAGGTGAAGCTGCCTGCAAAATACAATTTCTTACACAATGAGCATTTAAGATATATTCTCGGCGTTTGAAATTTGAATGTATGCTAACAAAGATGCTTCATATAAATCACTAAAAAACTTTAAAGATTGTTAATCCAAGACATGAAAAGATACATGACAAGAGCTCGAAAAGAGCTTTCGAGCCACGAGGCCTAGTAATTCACATATCAATTTGAACAGGTTTGAGTATGGTATTGTAGTTAATTATATAATTTATTCGAATTTTTTAAAGATGGAAGGGTGAGGATAATTATAAAAGTCTCTATACATAAATGAAAATATAAACTGAGGGAGCTAATATGCAGAGACTCCATAGGCTACGGATAAATGGGCCTGCAGCTCGATTCCATGACATAACCAAACTTTAAGCTAGAGTGAAAGACGTCGCCACATACTACTCTGTAATTCCAGGCGTAGGAATCACGAGGTGTGGTCACATCGAGAGGAAGGACCAGGACACTGCTTGATAAGCACAGCTTCTCAGTGTCCTAAAAACTACCTTCAGATGCTAGGTAGAAACAAATACAAAAAGCAATGAAAAAAGCTTTTCGTTTGCGACTAGACTAACCTTGTCAAGAAACTTTCTGATGTTGCTTTCCTTGTTTTCTTTACTGGCCTTGATTCTATGTCGCTCAATTGAGGCTATCAAATGACTCTCCTGCTCAAGCAAGCCAACTAAGGCTGCCTTCCGTTCAGGTCCTGATCTTGTCGCATCAATCTTTTCGATTTCTTCGCGACGCCATCCTTAAATTTGAATCAAATGGGATCAAATATAGATATTTATTATAGATATTTAAGAATAATTATTTAGTTTAAAATAAGGCAAACTATTTCTAAGAAAAAAAACACTTTAATACATATGTCGATTTTAAATTAGATGTGAACTGAAATGGTTTTGTTCGTATGTTTCTTGGCATCCAATCTGTGAGAGATGATCATTGCAAAAACAAGTGAAAAAAAAACAAATTTGAACCTACTTTCTAACGCAGCATACAAAAGGTCGAAATCTTCTTTCGATCTTGGATTCATCCTTCTTTCGAACTCTTTGCGAATTCTTTCTTCCCTTTCCTTTTGCTTTCGAATTTCTTCCTGTCTCTCCCACTCAAGACGCAACTCTTTGTCCCGACGAAGTTTCTTTACGTACCCCGTAGCAAGCCATCGTCTCCAATGACACTGGAGTATGATCACCTATAGCGCAAGCAAGGCGGTGAAAGGTCTGGAAACATAGAACACAGTCTTCTGAGTGAACTATGATTGTAATGCGTTCAAAGTCGTTGCACATAAAAACCCAGGGCAAGGACAACGGAAGGACCCCCAAATTATTTTTCACAAAAGTATTTAAAACAATGCAAGATAATTTTGCTATGGGCCTTTGCATGTTAAGCCCCCTTAAACTTTTTCGCCTCCTCCCAATCTCCTAATATGATAATACCGAGCCTGATTCCTTGAGCCCCAAGTATGAAGTGCACCTTAGAGAGAAATGCAGTACACAAATAAAACGAACCATCTTGTTAAAAAAAGAATTTGAAAAGAGCGGCTGCTACTCTTTGGAGTAGATTTTGATGCCAAAATATCTACATAATCAGTTGAATGAAAATTGCATACACAATTCTCACAAGTGATATAAAATAAATCAGATTGAAATAACTTTACGACTTGTGTAATTCTATCTAGTTCTAGATTTGTTCCATAAAATTTCCAATTAAAAGACGTGACCAACAAACGTATATAACTCAAAAATGAATATCGTAAGACTTTCAATATCAGCCCGAGCAACCACTCTAACAATTTACTAGCTGAATATCTGACTAACTTAAAATCTTTATAGGCAGACATTTGAATCTTGGATCAACACGAGTAAGGGAATACAGAATTATAGGATGGTAGATGATTTCATTTACCCATAACATCCTTGTTGATTCCCACTTAAAAATAAAGATAATCCCTTGATCTCAAGACACAATATTTTATGTTATATCTCAAACAATGCTCCCTCTCTTAAAACTCGGTATTTAATTTATCGGCCAAATGATAGTGAAATTCATCTTACCTTCTCTAGTCTCCTTGCAAAGACTTCGTCCGCAGTTTCATACACTCCAGGTATAATCACTTTGTCAGTTACATTTGCAACATAACATCCGGGCTTTGTCTAAACAAATGGATCAAAAATTACACACTCTCACATGTAAAACCACACTAAAACCAAAGTCAAGGTCATATAAAAAAACGAAACCATTATTTAATATTAAAGGACTTTCCTTAAACTCCTCAGAGCCTGATTTTCGAAGAAATTTCAATATCTCTGCTGAACTAGCAGCCAATACAATACAAGCAATACAAGCAGCCAATCACATTAAGACTCCTTCTTTGAAGTCGTTTTTGACGCAGGATTTGATATATAGATCTTTATTTATCTTTTCATTCATTACGATAATTTTATAACCTCATCAATGTCCAACAAAAAATCATTTACTAGAACAGATTATTATTATTCACTAGAACAGATTTTTTGCTCTTGCATTTTGCACAATCTTGAAACGATCAGTAAGAAAAATTATATATCAAATTTCAATAGAAATGCAATACAGTAGAAAGGGCATCAGAAAGATCCCCATTATTGAAGATCCCGGAAACATTAAAGTTAACAAAGTTGGTAGTGCTGCTTTGCTGGTAGCGGAAAAGTTATAATTGTATTGTGACGTAGTATTAAAATAACTTAATGTAGAATATCGTTATAACAGAATAAAGGTTTTAGTTTGATATCAAGTCCATGTTTTTATCATTAACTTGTTTCAATCTTAAAGCACATACCATTTGAGTTGATGTATTTTCAAATGTCTGTTGATACTGAGTTCTATTCTGAACTGTTTGTGTGTCTCTGTGGAATCTTTCCACCTAGAAAAAAATTTGGTTGATCAATTTCATTATCATCATCATCATGATCAACGATCATCATCATCATCATAATCTTTTATCTATCAAGTACTCACAATATACATGTGACTTGCCCAGTAAATTGCTTTCAACAACACATCAAAAGCAGGCAGCAGAGAGATAGCATCTGTCATCTCCTTGCTTTTGCAATAAATACCTTGCTTTAAATAAAGAATTTAGACATTAAACTCTCTTACCAATCATTTTTACTGGGTATATATTTAAACAAAAAAAACAGTAACTCACTGAGGGTGGGACCCTTCTTTTTGGATATGTCTGACATGATGCATTGTGGTACTCAACATCTGTTAACCTGTGCCTAAATCCACCAAGAAATGGCTTTTTGAATTTCTCTGTCAGAATGTGTATGACACTTTCACTTTCTTCTCCATCTATAACAAAACAAACAAAATTCAGGCACAAGCATCAGCATCATAATAGATATTATGTAGAAAGAACAAAAAATTGCTTGCAGAAATAAATTTGTCCAAGTAGTTTTTTTGAGTAAAGCTTGGGGACACTAAGTTTTGCTCTGATGATGCCCTGTATGCCAGGGCGAAATATTAGCCACAGCTAATTTACATGTGTTCATTGTTGTTTGCCTTTGGCATTTTGTAGTGCTCCTTATTTGCTATATTCTTATAGGAAATTATGTTGCTCCAAAACAAAGTGGCAATTATTTTTAGTTACACATAAAGTGACAATTACACTTTTGGTGGATAGAAACGGACAGTTCTATATTCCTACCCCAAGTTTCATGCTTAATGCAATCATCAGGCAGGTGACAGTTTTATTAATTGATACAACAGCCGAAGTCATACTTTCTTACAAATACTAACACTGCTATCTTAACCTGGATTATTCTTCATAAGCATAGCTAAAACTTTCAATTTTCAAAACATACTTTTATAGCCACAAGATTGTTCAAAAACATAAGAAGAGAATCTTTATATTTTTTAATGAGCAGAGAATATTTTTCTGAGATATTTTGCAGAAAGAAATGAAGAAATAATGTTGTCATCATGAGTCAAGAAATGAATACCCAAAAAATGACCAACCAATAACAACTGTTTTCCGTAATGTTCTCCATGCACCTCCTAAAGATGATGAACTGTTCTGTGTACTTAGTGTCAGGTCAGAAGGGAGCTTCATCCCATCAATTGTTATGTTTTCATCAATGACATCTAAAGAAGAGAAAAATACCTTTTACAAAAAATCATATGACCAGTGCAAGTTTTCCTGACAATAGGACAATATAAATATTTTAATGGCATATTACCAAAGCTTACAAATGATTAACTGGATAAAAGATTAAACAAATGAATCTGTGTGAGGCAGATACAAACAGAGAAGGCAACAGTAAAAATGGAAGCTGAAATTTCCTGGACTAGGCATATGGGCTCATTATTTGTGAAGCCATATTTTTGTAGCCAATTAAAGAAAGAGGGAGGCTAAAAAGACTATGGCAAGTATATATTTTGGAATGAACAGGTAGATGGCCAACAGGCAGAAAAATAAAAAGAAATGGTGAATAGTAAAATGGCAAAAAAACCTTCCTTGCATCTGAAATGGAACTGAAATGTTGGTTGAATTACTATATATGGAATGGGAGAGGAAACTAAATGAATCCTAAACAAACAGCTTTTGTTTACCACTAAAGAACAATTTCTTCACCACCATTTTTATCTTCCTTGGTAATCAATTCAAATACTCAAAGTTCACCAATTTTTGAGATTATAAAGGATTTTTTTAAAATTAGCAGACTTGCATTGTTTTGCTAAAAAAGGAAATTCATTTTGGTCTTCAGCCTCCCATTAGGAAAATCAAACCAGTTAGGATTAAACCATTTAATGTTATCATAAGCAGTGTTGGAAATTCAGACTTTTGTTCAAGGAGGAGGAGAAGGGCTCAGACCCACAATTTCCCAACAAAATGAAACGCCTAGAAATAAAAACAGTGCCTGTGCAATGTCTTTTTAAAAAATCTTTTGGTTTGGCCTTCTTATGAGCATTTAGACCTGAGTTGCTAACTCATTTGGCTTTCTTCTATAAATCAAATCTGGCAACTCTCTCTTGGATGGGCTTTCAGCATGCTCAAAATTTGTAAACTATCCTTCAAAAGCCGGAATTCTCTGAAAAGTAAGCTAATTTGGGGGGCCTGAGCTACCCATGAACGCATAATTTCTTACCATTACCATTCTGCCAAATACAACTGAACTGCAAGATTTACAAAAGTATTGACAGTGCTATAGATAAATTGACTGGAAATACATATAGAATTAAAGATCTTTACAGAAAGTTTTGTCAAAAAGTTAGTTATTAATTACCACTTCCTGCATCAGAGTTTCTCTTATTTTCATTACTCTCTTCCTTCTGTTGGCTGCTGCTTTCTCTTTCTGCTTCTCCAGCAGAATGTACCTTTTTAGATGCTTCACTCCCCTCTGAATTTTTTCTTCCTTCACTTCTCTTCACATCAACCTTTATCTCCATACTGTTGTTTCCTCCAGCTAAAATGAAAGGAAAACCGAAAGTTCTTTTTAATTCCAGTTAGCTTACACATTTTTTTCATGATGCATGGAAAAGCAAAGATAGCCATCATATCAAACACCTTTTCATCTGGTACTCCTCAGAGTATAAAAAACCTGCAATGCCTTAAAGGTAAGCAAAAATTTATCTCCATATTCCAGACCACAAGTAACATAGGAGGAAGTATGGCATGTTTGATGGGGTCTTTATTTTTATCATATGTATGTTAAATGATATGCAGTTAGTAAAGCTGTGAATATTGTATGCCAGACAAAGAAAATTGTATGCCAGAGATGATTATCTTCAGGCCTAAGCACATGGAATGCAGCCTGGCCTTTCTTGTGTAATCATCTGATTCCTAAGCCAAAAAAACTTTTAAACATGATGTGGTCATTTTATACAAAAATTTCTTTCTGAAAGCTTAGAAGTAGTAAAAAACTAGTTGTTGAGCCTATTTTGGCCCCCAAAATTATCTTAAGCTGTTTTGTGCAGTGATGAAAATTTCTTAAAATAAATCCTGGGCTGTGTACGGTATTAATATACTTTTTGTAAGACTAAAGTAAAAACAATTTAATTTTTCTTGAAAGTTATTTATGTACATGAAGTAATTTATATTGTTACTTCGTTTCAAGCTCATATCTAAATCAGGATCAAAACAAACTCACAATGTAAATACGAAATTAGCTACAACGGCCTAAATAATGAAAGATTTGAAGTCAGCGACTCATCTTACCATCCTCTTCCTTAGTATTTTCGTCGTGTGTTTCATCGTGTTCATCCTTAAACGAAGTATCATCTGCTGTTTCAGCAGGTAACGGGGATGTTCCTTGGTCGTGTGTGTCTGCACCATATTCCGCCATATCACCGGGCTCGTTGGGTCCTTCAACAACTTGATCTTCCATCACCGCTGGGTTATCAAGATTTTGCTCGCCATCGACATCTGGTATGTTTTCTTCTTCAGAAGTTGCTTCTTTCGAGACAGCATTATTCTCTTCGCTACTTTGGATATCTCCTTCCATAACAGATAAGGAAAGTACTTCGAAATACAGCACTGTGATCAAGCCCAGACTTCAAACTTGCTTGCATACTGTTACTATGCAACAAGAAACCTCGATTTCATGTTGTATTTCAACATTAACGACCACTGATCAGTGTTAACGACAGCTTTACAGAGTTACAAACAGGCATCAAAATTTGTAATCACTACATTTTGAAATGGAATAAAATTTATAATCTCAATATCTAATACTTGCAGCCTAAGCTCTTTTGGAAATAAGACATAAATACAAAAACCCCAGCCACAGGCTATTTAGAAGCAACAAAATTTTTGCTGTTGCTCGATGTTTTTATCTGTTGGATAATTCTATGCTCGGGTCGTTGATCTTTACCCAACACTGATCTTTCTACAGCTATTGTACATTGATGGTAATTTTGCAAGAAAACATGCATTAGGCTATATCACACATTGACGTATTATATGAATGACTTTAAATGTTAGCCTCTCCCACCTTCTTTGCAAAAAGTTTTTGTGACAGGTAGAAAAATCAGAAAATACCGTTGCGCTGTTTAAATCAACTGATCTCTATCAAAAATGTTTCCAGGACAAATCTCGCGAAAATTACTCTTTTATCAAGATAAACTTCATTGAAAAAATATGTTGCCTTATATATGAAAGATCAATTGAGCACAATATTTGAAGAAGTACAAAGCTAAATCTAAAAGGATAAAAAACTACGGGTGTAGCCAGCCTAGGTCATAGTGGGTGTAAACCCCGCCCTAATTTTTATGAGCTGGTCGAAATATTTTCAGTTGGCCCAAAATATTCTTATTTTCTCGGTAAAATCGTCTTCAGATCGGTAGGTGAAATAGCATATACATTTTATATTTCTTTCTATTTTATCTATATTTCAGAGAATTTGGAAAGATCACAACAAGAAAGGAAACAGGTTGCGAAATTAACCGTACGAAATTCTGCTTGCAAAACTTAAAAATCCACGTATAAAAATACGTAACGATAATAATACATTTCATTTAATCTTTGCTTCTACCCAAAATCTAAAAAAGTTACCAAATTATGCTCTAAAACGCATTGCAATCATGCAAATAATATATATTTTATTCAAATTTAAGTGTTCATCTTAGTCGCCACTCAAAAAACATAAGTCTCTATTCAGTGGGAAAATAGTCTAGAACTAAAGGGCCTGAAGTGAGATTACAAAATGCACTACTCTATGTCTAAAAATGCCACCAAAACAAAAATGTGGTTGCGGAGGAGGTGATTGGACAAAATTCACGCAGGCTAAGACACAGGGAAACAGGGGTTGAAGAAACTAGCAGCTAAAATGGCAAACAAAAAGAATGAGCGAATTAAAAACATTCCGAGTTGTTACAAGTATCATTAAGTTGGGGATATTATGGAGACTCTTCAGAACCTTTGTTAAGCAAGTGGGAGGATGGAGAGACCGCAAGCCGAGAATGGATAGCTCCACTTAGTTACGAAGTAGCTCTAAAAAAATCAGGAGAAATATGTTTTCAAGCAATCTTGCAATCTAGTGAAAAATCTTGTTCTTTTTAATCCTGTTAATTTTTCAGTTCAGTGAAAAAAATCTGAATAAAGTCGTGTTTTAGACAAAATGCGCTGTCTTTAAAATTATAATTGGCAAGCCAATACGAAAGACAGTCTGTAGTTAACGAATATTTAATAATCAAATCACGCGAAAGTAACAAAAGAAATGAGAAAATAGTACTGGGGGAGGGGGGGGGGTTCTAAACTTTAACCTGAAAGCCATGTTATGGTGGTAATTGCAATCGTGTGACGTTTAGGGATCTTTACAGCCACAAAGGAAAATACAATGATTGATGAGGCTACTTGTCAAAATGCACGACGAGAGCTTGAGGTGACTCTATTTCTTATCACTAGTCCCAAACTAATCATAAAACTCAATTTTAGTGAAAGAAGACAAAAATTGAAGATGAAAGAATGAAAGATCGAGAAAAGGACATGAAGTTCTAACAACAGTCCGCTTCAATGCTTGTGGTCGAATCTTGTTTAACAGAAAAGGCAATACAATAACAAAAAGGGGGTTATAGTAGAAACTTTCATCGTCCCTGCCATTGATTAGAATTTAACGACTAAAGGATAAAGCAAATGTTGAATCTACTGTTTTCAAGAAATGCATGACGGGAAGTCTCCGTCATAGTCAAGGTGAGAAGACTTTGTCATCTACATTTCCGGCCTAGCATGCAAACGGGTACGTGAAAAAGAGAGTTAATCATTCGCCCTGGCTTTTCTTCGTCTTTTTTAATTTGGCTTGACCGTCTTCCTCGCGCCGCTGCCAATGCTGCTCTCGCGTCCGCTGTAATAACGATGTCGCTTTTTCATCGATCATGCTATACTGGCTTTTATCTGAGCTCAAAGAATTCAAAGAATCTGATCTGTTCGTCCGGCTAGAAGACGAGGGTAAGCCCCCTTTCGAGCCGCCAACTAGTACATAATTGAGCAATTTATTTTGCGAAGGCGAAGGCACATTCACGTAGGCTCGATTGCGCACTGCTCGACCAGCAAGATTTTCGTAAGAGCCAACGCCAATGTTTCTGTATGTTACTGCCTCGCTACTGCCGCTCCTCTCCCCGCCCATCAACGGACCAACATCATGATAAATTTTATCATCATCGTCATACTTATCGAAATTAATATTCAACGGCGCTGGCTTATTCTTGCGAGGTTTTCGCGTCGCCGGACCCTCCGAGCTGACATTAACGTACGAAGATTCGTTCTCGTTATTATTTTGTCCTTCCACATTGACATAAGTCATCTCCTCGTGCGGCAACTCGCGTAAAGAGCTTGCCACATTATCCGACTGCCCTTGCCATTTTTGTTGGATGTTGGCGAGACGTTCCGTCAGCAGGGGGTCAGATAAATGCTTAGACGACGATCGGCGTGAAGAATTCCGTCGTCCTTTCGACGCCACGTTGTCCTTCGCCCCAACAACGACTTCTGAAACGTTCTGATAATTCGACGATGGCTCACTGTGATCAACTTTGTTTGGAGAATGCACGCCTGGATCCGAATTCATATCAGAAATAGGGATTCCATCCGGTTTTTTAACTATGCTCAAAACAGCACTCGAATTTTCGAGATGATTTTCTGCTGTACCAACAGGGCCCATTTCCGTGCTTTGAACCTGCCCAGTGTTACCATCTATGATGTCGGGATGTGTGCTCACCGTTGGCCCGAGATCAGTTGTTCTAAGCATAACATAAGCCTCCTTTTCATCGTTGTCATAGCGATCATATTGACTAGGCCCATCAAATGAAGTTTGCGACAATGGCGTCGACGGCGCATTACCGATTGACTCTTCTTCCCGTGTCCTTCGTTTAATTTCACGATCAATCTCATCCAGCAGACTTGTCTCCTCTGCCTTCTTTCTGTAAACAATTTCGGGAGCAATTTTCGGACTTGGAGATTCACGTCTGGTCAACATATCAAGCCCTTTATCATTTAAATAATCACATTCCTCTTCAGCCAATGTTCCATTTGCATCAGGAAACTCGAATATTCCTAAGCTAATTGGCGACCGAGGTGGTGCGACTGGTGGGCCATGCAGCTTTGCATTCCTCTGATCACGAGGTTCGGAAACATCGTCTTCCGGAAAGACGTCCGAACATGTACTAACCCCCCGGCTCCCGATGGAAACGCCAGAAACTGATCCGGCACTTGTTTTTGTTCGCCCGGTTGGTATTGCAGAAGAGCTCAAGTTTCTTCTTGGCGTTGCAGTTCTAATTCCAGAAGACTGAACAGAAGAAATGCTTTCAGTACCAACTTCCTTTCTATTTTGTGCCTTAACACGTGGTCGGCGCCCAGGATCACTACCAAAATCTCCGTATGAATTACTTCTTACTTTTTCATTGCCTCGTTTCACGCTAGCCTCGTTTTGAAAGTCACCAGCTGCATTCGAAGTGTCATTTGAAACTCGCTCAACCTCGTGTGTAGAACCATTTTCTTTCGACAGGACTGCTTGGTTCAACTGTTCTATTCGCTGCCGACGTGAATTGCTTTGTTCGCTGACAGTAGCAGCCCGATTTCGTCTGTGTTTTCTAAACCGGTTACTTACTCGTAACAGGGCTCTTTGAAAGAAACTCTGATCTGAATCAATAGTGTTCCGCCTTTCTCTTTCCATATCCAGTATGGACCCAGACCCGGTATCAAACTGAGTTTGCAATGGTCCTTTTAAACCTTTAACAAAAAAACATATTAAGTTTTCATAAAATACGTTTCATTCCACACAGAAAGCATATAAGCAGAGATCGGAAAGGGAATCCTACTTCGTAATTACTACGAGAAGCTCAATGTAATTACTCGTAGAAGCTCAATGCATAAAAGCTGGTAGCAGCACTGAATAGAGATTTCAGCTTTAAGAGCAGAATAGGCGACTGTAAATTTAAGCTTGGAGCCAACAACGTAAATTTAAGCGGTACTCCTTCTAGAGTTATGCATCAATGCTTTTGCATAGCACAACAAGTAAAATCAAAGACATAAAAACGGAAATGTGTTTTACACAAAACGAGAAAAGTCCGAGATAATTCGCTGCTTGTGAGTTGAACTAAAACCATTTTTGGTGCACAATACCTTTGAATTACTCTAGAAGGAGTACCTCTGCAAAAAACTGCTTAAATTGTTTGAATACTTTAACCTGGCAGAAATACCTGAAAATCTGGAGGAAAAGACTAAAAATCTGGAAGAAAAGCCTAAAATTCTGACAGAAAACCTCAAAATCTGACAGAATACCTAAAAATTTGGAAGAAAAGCCTAAAAATCTGACAGAATACCTAAAAACCTGGAAGAAAAGCCTAAAAATCTGACAGAATACCTAAAATCTGACAGAATACCTAAAATCTGACAGAATACCTAAAATCTGACAGAATACCTAAAAATTTGGAAGAAAAGCCTAAAAATCTGACAGAAATATTTAAAAATCTGAAATAGCTTCAAGTAGGTACACTAGTTTTTTTTAACTTGGAGAAGGACCACAAGTTGCCGAAAAACAACACGACAGAATCATTCTGTTTAGGGGAGGCTGGGATCATTTTTGAAACAAGTAAACATAAACAAATGCTACCAAGCAGTCTCGCAAATATAACAAACTTTGAAAATTATGCTTTCATGACTATGAAAATAAATTTACCTGATTCGTATTCTCCTTTGATGTACTCCAGAACTTGAACAATATCTTCACTGTATCTCGTTTTTAATCGGAACGTGTTTGAGTATCCTTTTGGGTACCCATGTCCTTTGGTCGCCCGCGATCGGTGAACCTCGAAGAGGAAGTCGCCTTCAATAGTCGCAAACCCATACAGCTCTTGAATGTTGAAACGGCCTACGCATCGAAATGTTTTGTTGTGTATAATCGAGAAAAAGTCACTATATAACAGCAATTTAGCTTCACCAGCTCGGAGCTTTTGTTTGGCAGGAATGCTTATTGGAAATGTCGTTTCTGAAAAACGAAGACACATGGTTACAGCATACGATTGCATCATAACGATTAAAGACTTACAAAACTATTCACTTCCCATAATCGCTTCTAAGAACCATCTGTTCGATGGACTCAAACGCAAATACCACTTTAATTATCTTCCCATACGCGCAATGTTCAAAACTGATAAGCTTAGTGGATGATGAGAAATAAAAACATCCATTTTAGAGGAAGATAATAAATAGGTTACGGTTGTACAAAGCTGTCAAGAATCAAGTCCAACAATGAAAAATTAGTTATTAATTATACAGAAAAAAAATGAAAATCGGGTGCCCGATTGGCGGTTCTGAAAAAATTGATACATAAACATTTGTCAACAGCTTCGGTCTATCGACATAATAAAATGTAAATAAAAGTACCAATACACTTAATACGGGTATTTTTATAGATTAAACCCTTTTTCAGGGTTTCCACAGGAATATAGCCTGACACACCTAACACAAACTAAGCTGAACTTCAAATCCATAAAAGCCTTTAAAATATTCAATCATTTTAATCCAAAAACTTCTTGCCTTGACCTGAACATAAATTATGATCATCGCTCCTCTCTAAAAAATTCCGACAACAGATCTTTACGTCTTAATCAACGCCAACAGATGCTCTCCTTTCAGTTTTCGAAATGCCTGCAATTCTTTCAAGCATTAAAGGATCTGATCACGGCTTTCCAAGACGACACCGAGCCATAACAACAATCTACAAACATTTAAACTCCCACAAAGTATCGATTCTTGTCGCATTGAGCTACAACGCAGGGACGCAACTTACAAGCCTGCAGGATACGAATTCAAAAGGAATTTCAAATTCATAAAGAGGCCTGAGTGTTAGTAAGGCACCTGTTACGTTTTATCCCGTAGTGTGCACGAATTTCGAAACACGGAAAATTGTTGAACAGGTAGTTACAGAAAAATCTACCGCCCTTATCAATAAATACTTCCGCATCCGCGTGGTTCATTAAGGAAAATGGTGGAGTAGGCACCACCACCTTAAGTATGCTAACTCATTACAGTTTTTCAGGGAAAAAACATGGGACTTATTTTGCTAAAGCTCGGTCAATTTTTGATATAACTATGCTTATTAATGGAGGATTTTGTGCTTCAGTGTGTTTTTAAATATAATGCTTGTAAAAAAGAGCGCTTTCGAACTTTTTCCACACCCCCTTGTATTGGTTTGTGTAGAAAAGTCATTTGTTATCTCAACTGACCACTAACTCGACAGCCCGTTATCTCGAACATTCACTGTCAGGAACCATTTTCAATTTTCCTGCACAAGAAATTTCACAAACACAAGCGCAGAACGGGACACGTCCTCGGGTTGCAGTTGCAGCACCTGCACTTTCTATGATTTTATAATTTCGGAATGACCTCGATGGATCTTCTAGCGTAGACGCAGCGCAAAATGTGGGGCCATCACCCTCGAAGCAACTGCCAGTGAGGATCAATGTCGAATGCAATTATTCAAGGGAATCATTGAAAATTAATACCTTCTGAAACACAGAAAAGTCAAAATCAAACAGCAAAATTGCCCGCCATGGCATGAATACACGAGGAGCAAATGCACCAGATTGTTTCACGCCGAAAAACCACGCACCCCTCTCGTCCCAGTCGCTAACCGAACATACATTGGATGTTTTTTTTAGTGTAGGGGTGACATGAATTCCAGAAATACCGGTAAAGAGCAGGGCACTTTTTAAACAAACGAAACATCTATTAAAGAAACGTTCAGGAGGCTATACATTCATTTCTTTCATTTTATTGTCCAAGAAACGTTTATTTCAATTGTCCTATACAAAAATCCGCCATAAGATGGATGTTACTGGGTGATTCGTCGAATAGTGGCGTTTATAGCCTCTTCAAACCGCACATTGGCCTAAATGAATAGGGAACCGTTCGACAACGAACGTGATCAGTAAATTCACAAATGCATTTCAAACGCAAAGAAAAGGCGCTGTTAATATTCTGACAGAACAATCTGATATTCTGCAACCAATCATAAGAACCTAAGGTAAAAGCGGATCCTTTAAAACTAGAATTGAGGCTGATGCGCGCAACGATGTGCCAGCCATCCAAAACAGGCTCTGATTGGCTACAACTGCTAATTAGGTATCAATGGCAACCGAATATGTATTTAACTGGATTGAGGATAAAACTGGGTACAATAGAGGACAGATTGCCTTTAACAAGTTGTAGATAACGAAAAGACAATAAATAGACGTTTAATATTTAGAGTTTTTTGGTTGTTGTGGCCTTGTGTCTCAAAATCAAAAAGTAATCTTAGGCCTGCTATAAATAGAAATTATATCATCTAGCAACTTGTAATTAAAGTACTTGCGATGGGAAGGATGACTCGATGTTCTTTAATGCTAATCCTTATTGTAACTAGCCATTATCCTGCAATTCTGGGCTAAGCTCTAATCTGTGGACAGATGGCCAATGTAATTCTGGATTTAATCAAAGCATCGGTTGTCTAAGCTAAATGACGTCATGCACTATTTTTAGAATTTTATCGGTAACAAACAACAACAGCAGCAACGGTCACACTTGGAGCCTTACCCGCAAATGCATTCGAACCGTGATCATTAAAAGTGGGTATCTGAAATCTTAATTGATAATACCAAATCTTTCGAGGAAGGGTCGCAATAATGTTAAACTGACATAGGTAAAGTTAGAGTTTTACTTGTGAATAATAATTTGTCTTATGGTGACAGAGAATTTGCTTGATTCTATTTTAACACGTTGCGTGTTTATCTTTACGTTATTTACGTGATGCAAACATGTATATACAGTCAAAAAACTTGGCTTTTTGACAACTTAAGTAGAATATAGATACAGTTTAAACGTTTTACTTATTGATCGAACAAAAAACATACTTTAGTTGCCTTTACAGCAATTAAAAGATACTTTAAGTTATAAGAATGAAAGTCAATAAAGATGCAAAATTTAGTTGCAGACGGTGAGGTGTGACATGGCAAAATGATTAAACGTCCTGAAGAATCAGAATGGCAATAGGCCATACGACAAAACGAACGGGTCCTAATGAGTCAAAATTAATACTCAAGGGTATTACTTACTTGAATTGAACTGCGAAAAGAAAACCACCCAGAACAGAAACAGCACACGTGTCGTTGCAAGGAAAAAAGCTTGCATTTGTTACGAGCAGAAAGCCTCAATATCGATCAGATACATTATTATCCAATGACAGCGCAGAGTCTGGTCACGAGACAAATTGCACGTGATCACTTCACGAGAAGGGTGACAAAGGAATGGCTCGATGTGAAAATTTTTTAGATTTGCTAGCAAGGTAAAAGCAAAAGTTTACAAAGATATAAAGACGATGTGACGCACGCAAAACTGATAGCTGGAGCCATAAACAACCGGTTTCTCCTCGCTGGCCTAGACTGCCTTAAGTCTCGGAGCCGAAAACTCAGTTTGCTTTAACGACAAAAATAATATCACGTCTGGGTCGTTCACAGCGATCTAAAGGTTTATAAAGAATGCGGCGAGCCGCTGGTCCCTACTGCTCACCAAATGCAGAAGTCACTTAAGGTTACGGTAAACGTTTTCTGGATGAAAACATCATTTTTTCGATTTTTTCACATTCAAGTAGCCGAACTTTCAAGGCACACAATGATACCAAATTGGAAACAAACATAAATTTTGAAAGTGGAAAAAATCCCATGTAAACGAAGGTTTCCATAATTTCTTTATCAAAACTTTTAGTTGAGGCCTGAAAATCTCTTGACCTTTTTAGCCGATTATCGTTGCTTTGCGGTTGTAGTCGCATGTCTCATATACAATATCGCATGGCACATTCATATACCCAATGTACGGCCGTGTTTATTTAAACAGGCTTATTGATCTTAAATCTTCAAGTGACTTGACCCGGATTACACTGTGGTTTACGAGTGTATCTTGCAAGTGCGATTAGTAAAACCCTGTTTTCTCCGGACTCGAAATTCCTCTACATGCAGGTACGAAAAAGCTATTATGTACCCAAGGAACCAATCGAATGGCTCGGAAATTTGCACACGGCCAGGGCAGGCGTTGGGCAAACAAAGTGTGTCTCAAAATTTTTTTATTTTCTCTGGTCCGTCTTTTATACCCAAATACAGCTGCGGGAGGGTGGAAAAATTATTTGCCAATTTTTGAAAGGGTATAGTTTAAAGAAGAGGAGGAATTTAAAAAATCTGAGACACACTTTGGTAGCTTAGGACCGGCACTTCCTGCTGGTCTAAGTCAGATTTTGTTACCTCAAACGCAAGGGTACATAATAGCTTTTGAAGGTGGTACACTTTTTGACCAGTAAATTCGCATGGAAAATAACATTTAACATTATTTGCCAATAATTTTTATCTGGCTAGATACGCCATAATCTTGTGCATCGAATGATATATAGTTTATCCAGATTCCTTAAGCCGTTTGGCCTTTAGGAAGGAAAAACCAATTTTCGTGTTCAAAACGTTTACCGTAACCTTAAGAAAGCACGTCTTTGCTGATAAGGAAAGCACCTTAGCAAGCGATCTTAATAAAAATTTCACAAAATGGATGAGGTTAGCAGTCCGCATAAGGGAAGGAGCATTTCTTCCATCAGCTAACATGTCAGTTAGTGTGGAAAGCCATTTTCAACCCGATTTTCTTGAAAATCACAATCAACAAGTCTCTCGGTGAATAAAGATTACTTGAAATAGCGCATAATTTAATGCAGAAACACCAATAAAATTAACGAAAAATACGTAGTTAGTTTAGAAAAATATGCAAGGAATCTTGCCAATTATAGACACTTTATCAATTACTAACGTTGGCAGATTAAATTTACATTTACTTTAATGAGAGCAAATGAAAACTAAAGCTCGTAAAGATTTTCTAACTTTTTAAGAAACTCAATAATCGAGATTTAATAATAAGTTCCTTAACAAAATAGCTTAACCAAAATCTATGAAAAAACGTCAAAGTTTGGAATTTTGTGGGCTAATCTTTGGAGATTAAAAACCGGAAAATACAGATATGAAACTAAATTAGTCAGGCTGGCGTTTAAGGGACAGATCTTGAAATTTCGCAACATCAGACAAAGTTGCGCATGAGCTCGCTTGTGGTGGCTATGTGTGCTTTGAAGCACCCGCCTCATTTTCGTTAGTGAGTTTGATAAAAAACGTAAAATGTACTTAAATATGCACTTATAACAAAATAAAATGCTGAAATTATCACAGTACTAATTTCAAGGCATCAATTGTTCAAATTTGCTGGCGAATAAACAAAGTTTCCAAAAATGAATAGACAAAAAATGAATTGAAAAGATGGAGATTAAGGGTAAAAGCACTAAAAGGATGATCAAAAATTTCATTTTCTTAATTTTCAAAAAGACGGATCGCAGCTTATCTTAGTTTAAAATTGCAACTTGTTTATTTTGCTGTCCTTTATGAACAATAAAATCCCATGGTCTCCTAACCACGAGGTTTCAGCAAAATTCCAGTATGGTATGGTGTTTTCTATTTTTCTTATGAAAGAAAAAGGAACATAATTCTATGCAGAGCAACACTCATAAGGATGATAAAAAATTGTTGCATTAAACTTTCTAACTTTTTTAAACTATAGAAAATACTTTTTGAAACTAAAGAGCAACTGAAAATAAAAAAACTACTGATGATCTTGAGGAATTTTTACTTTCTTCTCAAGTCCATTGAGTTTTGAATTTTTCAAGATTTAAAAGGTTAAGACTTACACGAAGGAATAAATAAAACAAAAAAAGAGACATCAAAAACTCTATTTTCTTTTTAATCCCACATCTGCCAAGGCAAAGTATTTGCACGAACAGCAACTCCCGAAAACTATTTTAACTGGGTTATTGGATAAATGTTCAAAGAGATATTTTGAATATCTGGCGTGGTGCATATTTCTAACACTTGAAATATTTAGCATAGTTTAGCTACAAAGGATAATAAAGTTGTCATTTTATCAAAGATATTGCTTCCACATGAATTTCAAATTGGTTTTGTAAGAATCCTTTATAACAGAGATAACAAAGACAGGATATTTAAAAAATTTTACCCCCAAATCGCATATCAACAGTGATAAAAAATTCTGTTGAGACTCAAACAATCTGAAATGTTTTGATGGAGATTGAGTTATGTAACACCAGCCTTCAGATTATTTTATCGATTATAAAAAACAGGAATTGTCTATTATGAATATAGATTCTTAACCAGAGCAATTAACAGCTTGGTTTTTTAATTTTATGTCCATTAATTAGGTGTTATCCTACAATCCATCGCTTCTACAGAAAAAAAAGAAAAGAACTGGAAAGTATTCTACCCAAAAACCGGGTTAAGTCTTGAGGCAAATTGAAATTTATTCTTAAATATGCCTGTTTCTGCTGATCAGATATTTTTGGACCCAGAATGAAAAACCTATTACTGAGAGATAAACAAGTCCGAAATTTACTGTCCACTTAACTGGGCACAGCATGGCTCCCCTACAGTAATAGTAAATAAAGTGCTTAGAAAGAAAATGGAGAAGAAAATTGCATAAATGCTCTACAGATTTTGTTGACTATCTCTGATCATAGATCTTTGTCCTTATTGAATAAACATTCATCATAAGTCACTAGTCAAGATATTTTTTAAGATTCAAAGAATCGGAGGGACAGCCTATCCTGCAGTTCTTCCTTCTTACACATTATATTTTTTAAGCCCGTGTTTTATTAAGGCTTTACTTTTTTGTGTAATAGTAGAGAATCTATATCAATATTACTTATATTGATATAATTGAACCTTTATAACCTTTACAGGGATATGATTTGAGCTGTTTACCAGAAATTAATACTGGGAAGAAGCTGAATTATGAATGGGTATTCTCACTTTTCTAAACAAAACCACAATGTTCTCATCAAAAGTCAAGTGATGTGTCAAAGTCAAATAACTCTTCTAGAATGTGTAGCCAGGGACTGACTTTAGTGGCAAGGATTAGGAAAGGATTAGATGGTGATTGGATTTTGGTGCAACACCCTTTAGGGGCCTGAAATATAATGGAAACACTCATTTTTAAAATTCAGTTTTTAACTTTAACATGAGGAAGATAAGAAGATAATAAACTAATTTTTGCATCATTTTGTTACTACTAACTTCCAAAAATGATTTTGTTGAATTAAAGAAACATTTTTTGAAGGACACAACAAAAATTGGGGGGTGTGACACCACCACAACCTTCCAGTAATCCGTCTCTGTGTGTAGCTTTATAGGGTCAGGGGAAGGTCTACAGCAAAGTTGAAGGAGGGGCATTTGGTAGTAGGGGCGCAGAAAAATTTTCAGAAATTGATGATGAGAGTACTGACAGAAGGCTCCCTATTCATATTTTAAAGGAAACTTTTGCAATAATTCTGCCAGACCAGAAAGGGGTGCCAGACTAAAGTCCACCACTGTATAGGGTTCTTCTAAATTGTAACATAGTTCTTACTTCCACAGATCTACTAAACAGCAAAGCATTCAATGAAAACCACCCCTGAACATTTTATATGAGATTAAAATATTTTCAGAAATTCCTGTGGTTTATTTTATAATCAAGTGATTACATTTAAAATAGTGAAACCTATAATTGAACATACTTTTTGAAATAAAAATATAAAAAAGTTTATATTAAATATATTAGTATTGAAAATGCAATTCAAAAATAATTGAAGAAAATCAATTTTAATAGGACAGATTTCCATTACCTTAACAGGCCCTAAGCCTTTAAATTACCCACTTGAAAAAGTCCTGATTAAACAAAAAGGTTAAGATCAGCCTTTCACAAGGGAGTGTCTTTGGAATTTCAAATATGTGATGGTCTACTTTGATTGGATAACTAGTTGATTGACAGGTTAACACCTTTAAGCATCATTTAATTAAAATCTCTCCAAGTAAAGGCAAAGCAAGTTTCCTTAAACTTATCGTTGGGAAGCTAACTAGGTTTTCAGCTCTAGTGAAAATTTTTAGACAACACAACTAAAACTACAAACCCCAAAGAGACATTTGAATTGTTTGGAAGTTTTAGGGTACAAACTCAAAATAAATAAGAAGGAATATAATTGTAAGGTTGCTCATACCTTTGCCGAATTGGGAATGAAAAGCTTCATACCACTGGCGCAGAATTGAACTTCCATCAAACCCAAATACAATTGTACTATTTTCAGTGAAAATCACCAAAACATTCTCAACTTTATCAAGCTTGTCAACAGTAATACACCCAGCATATTTCCACAAAGGAAGAATTCGTTTGTGCTGCTTACTGACAGCATGATTTGCATCTTTATAAAGATTTAATGTGACAGCAACAAATGGGTCTAGAACAAAGAAAAACTGCAATATGGTACATATCTTGTTGGCTTGTATATAAAATAAAAATGATAATAAAAGCATTTGTTTGGATGCTTCACAAAAATTTGGGCACAAAGGCCACATGATGACAAAACATCAAATTATGTTATGTTATATATTGTACCATTTAGGGCTTTTTACGCATACACAATTTCAGGTGCACAATTCAAAATGCAATTTTCCTTAAAGTTAGCTGTGCTTCCTGCAAAATATACATCTCATTTACAAATAAGATAACAGGTCTAGCAACAACAGGGCAATTTGCCCACCAATTCTAAAAAATGCTATAAAAAGCAGGAGCAGTGTGTATCATAACATTCTTCAAGATTTTCATGCCACCTTCAAGTTATCTGAATATTCAAATATTTTTAGTTTCATATAATACTTGTTTGCCAAGTATTAGCCTCAAAAACTATTTTGAGCAAGGCAATCATAGTGGATGGAGTAATTTTGCAGACTTGCCTCAAAACTGAAAATGAAAAATGGTCCTTGTCATATAATCTAAACAATCAACAAACAAATAGACCAAAAAAGTACTTGGTTGAGAATTATTAGAACTAATTTGTCCTTCATCAAATGGAAAATATACTGCTTTGGGGGCGTATTTAAAGGCTGCCAGGGCTGGCTGTGCCTGCTCCCAAAAATGTCTAGGGGAAGGGGCTAGAGCCTTTATGCTATTGCCAAACATAAACTCTATTTAAGATTGAAATATTTAAATTTCATTTGACACATTTTAGACTTTCCTGACTCTCAGATCAAATAAAACTTAAAGAAAATAACCTGCTGTAGAAATTAAAGGTTAACGATAAAAAATTTGCATAATTTCATGTACAACTTTTCCTGGCTGTCACTTGAAAACTTACAAAATATTCAAAGCAAATTTTTTCAATGAGAATTATGCAGAAACAATCAACAGATACACAGACTATGTATTAAATAACCTAAAAACCATAAAAGTATTGGTCCAAAATTTGGCATATGACTGTATTCCAGACTGGAAACTTTGCTTCCTGCACAGACAAGTTCATTTTGAAAACCTGTGCCTGCACGCCTGAAATCACTCAAATTTAGAAATTTGTAGTGATAATAATTTAAAATGTTTTTAAATAGGGACTCTGTGATGCCAATATGCAAAAGTGTGTGGCTGGAAAATATGAGTGTGTGGGCAATATATTGCAGGCGCATAACAAAGTTTCCAGTCTGAACTCCCTTCGAAAATCAATATTAATAAACGCTACTAAGAATAATGCCATGTGCTTAGATGAAAAGATTAGAAAACTTTATAAAAAACTTCAAAATTGGGCATTGATGGAAGTACAGGATAATACAACTATCCCGGGATTAGTTTCCAAATGGTTTATTGTATTCTTCTGTTTTCAAAATAAAAAGTATTGTTATAAATGAACAAAAGACAATATAAATATAGCAAAGTGTTTTACAAAAGTACACCACGACTTCATATCAAAGCGACTGGAAGTAATAGAATTCGGACACAAAAGCCCCTTCAAAAAAGCCCTGCAGATGTTTAAAGAATCCGCCCCATTGTCAATGACTTCGTAAGTCGATGGGTTCAAGTTTTAATTGTTTCCACGACTGCATAACAACAGGAGGCAAGTCGTTATGAAAGTCTGCTAAGAGGATGTACAAACTGTAGCAAATTAAATGTTACAAGTCGGTATTTCCTGCAGTTAAATACCTTTTAATGAAGACAAAAGGAAATACTAATTTGGATGATTAACAACGAAGAATAAAAAACGTCCACATTTCTTCGCGTATCATCTTCCGCATCGACAAACTATCACTCCTTTTGCAACGGTTTTATCTGACTCAAACATTTTCAGTGTTTCTCTAGCTTACTTTCAAGGCGGCGCTACAAACTTCAAATATTTTTCAACAGGATTTTCAAAAAGACAGCCCGCCAACGGAAAAAACAGCCGATCTGAAAACAAACTGGTGGGCCAAACAGCAAATATTAAACTTCATTGCGAAAGGATATGAAAATTGATTGTGAACTGAGGTAAATCACAAGTGATTGTAGTGGGTGTCAAACAACCCACGACTTTCTTCGTCAAAGTGGGAAGTTTTGTCCATGAGAATGAAGACATGACTTTCATCATCATTACGACATTTTACTACACTACACATTAGCTGAGTAACTCCAACACTGTAGTACTATAAATTTGAGACAACGAACCTGCAACCGCAGCATTTTTCCTTAGAACTGCCCATCTTGATTTCCACTGTAATTAAATTTGAGATCATTAATAACAGTTCTTGGCGATTTGACAATTATTGATCAATTACTGGTTTTCGTCCTTTAATTGCGACTGGAAATAATCGGAACGATCAGACACAAACACCACTGCAGGAAATAAGGCAAATAATCACAATCTGTTTAAATCTGATTTTGTTTCAACTGAGGAGTTTTGTTTTCGCTTTTCGACTTGTTTCACTTTCATAAGTCAGAAAATAATCTCCCCACAGACAATAAATACATCAACTTTGTAGTTACTTCTTGTTGGCATGATACATTGACATAGCATGTCACCGTAGCTGTCTGCTCATAGCTCTACTATATGCGTACCTCTGTAAATAATTCACGATGTTTAATTGAAATCCTGCAGTCAAAATGAATACAGGACAAATATGACAGGTCCAGCTCCGTATAGGAAACAACAACTTGAGAAGCTCAGTTTTACGAACTACCCCACTTCCTGCACTTATTAGCCATTAAATCCTACCTTCTTTCCTTTACGATGTAAAACTGCACTCTGTACTACATCCATCGATGCTAACGTATTTCAATAGATGTCATACTTTTACGATAAGCTATGCAAGATCAGTGCCTGCTAACAAGATCACCGAACTTGATCCTTTTAGGCCACAGCCATTTTCCGCAGTTCCAAAATACCGATATAGGTTGTTGCTCCGTCCTTTCAATGCGCGATCATTCTGCGGGAAAGACGCGTTTTTGCATGACGTGACTTTGTGACTTATCCGCGGTCAGATCCGAGGGACGATGTTTACGGATGTTCATCTCAAGATTTGACAGCTCCAAGTTCATTTTTCATCGATGACGCATATTTGAAAGAATGAAAATGTGGAAGGGTGTGGATACCATCACCCCGTCGTTATCATTACTCGACAATTGATCACTGAATGAATTCAAACAAACATTTAATTCAAGGAAAGACTGCTAAACTGCACACACGAACTACAACTTCAAACAATAACAGATGATTCATTTTTGCTTGTTCTTTGCAGTTTTTGGTTCTTCTGAATGTGGTTAAATTTCCTGTATGGATACAAGCAATATAAGGACGCTTATATTAATCTGGCCTATTGTAAACCGGATATTGGAAAAGACGAAACAAAAGGTTAACCCAAGGGCGTCGCGACCGGGGGCGCGTGAGGGGGTGTCACAGCCCCCCCCCCCAATAGTATATCGATAGGAAATTTCAGGTAAAATCCGCCCAGTGGAAGAAACGCTTTAGGTATTTCAGCGACTTTCATGTATCAACATCAATAAAGGATCAAGCAAAGATAGTTGCTCCTTTGGCTAAGTATGATATTTCTTGACATGAAGGAAGATAAAAAAAACTAATGACTTGAAGATTTGAAGATTTCTTGTTGGCACAAAACCTAAAAATCTAAAAATCCAGGCACTCTTTAGGTAAAATTGTGTCTTGTGTCCATTTCCCCTAAAAAGGCATGCTAAGATGAAGAGAGGGAGCTAAATTGGCAACCAGTGCTGCTTGTTACCTAGCTTTAGAAGTAACTGACAACATTGAAATTTTCAAGACCACGGCGAGATTGTACCAGTTGTTTTTATCTGCTGTTCAATTTGTTTGCAAGGATAAAAGGATTTTCGGTAGGATTAGGAGAGTTGCTTTAGTAAAATTTAGCAAAGTTTTAGTAAAGTTTTGCATCAAAATTCGAAAAATTTTCTGGTCCTTCGGCGGCAACCATGGCTCGGGTAGTTGCCCGTCTCGGTATACAGATTTGATAAAACTATTAGGAAAGTCATTTTAAAATACCCCCGAGGTATTATCATTTTAAAATGAATGTTGTGAATTATATGCCACACAGTTAGATTGACAAAATGTATTGCAGAGGTTTGTGACATCAACTTAAAAATTTCAGGTAATTATTTTCTAATCAGGTAAATTTGTAGTCCACACCCCCCCAACAAGGCTTGCCTCGTGATGGCCCTGGGTTGAGAACAGTGGCGGATTTATTGGGGGCATGGAGGGGTTTGGCCCTCAATCGCGTTTTTGCTGGAAAATTCGGGCTATTTCCGATTTTTTGTCGAAAGCCTATCCAAGTTGTTGTCTTGTCAGAAGACTGTGGGCTGGCTCTTACCAGCCACCATTGTTCTTTGGGGTTTGAGCCCCCTCCACAAAAATTTATAAAAATACATTATTCCAATTAGAAATCCCTTTTGTTCCCATATTTTCCAACAATAGTGCCCCCAACAATTCTTACCGAAACGACTTAAGTGATCAGGATCCAAAATTTCATTTGGGTGGAGTGGAGGGCGAGATAACAATGACATCAGAGAGGTGCTATTGGTGAAATAGCTAAAGCTAGTCATTTTAAAATCAATAGGCCAAAAGTGCTCTATAAAAATGTGTACTTTCCTCGTAAAATCAAAGGATCTTTCGAAATCTTGAAATAATATTGAAAATAACAGCCACAGCTTTTTCTTGTGAGCGTATTGCCTTCCATTTATTGACTTCCATTCAAGATTCTACTTAGTCTCTTTGTTTGTATGGAACTGGCATATCTTTTTCGTGTATCTTATACCTCGTGAATCTTTCGTGCTTTTATCATGAAGCATTAGTGAAATTATGGGACTATGAATAACGTTTGGTATAATAACTGACCTCATTTTCAGATCGGAGAAACACACCAAAAACAGATATATTGTAGAGTAGGGGCGTGTCAGGGTTTTTTTAAGAACGTAGGTTGCTACACCTTGGCAATAAATGATTTTCAAAGCTAAAAACGTGCTGGCTAGAGCTCCCTAGTAAGTTATTCCTTTCCTTTTTCTTATAATAATATAGTTTCTTAATAACAAAGGTTTGAACAAAAAGGTGCACAAATTGACGAGTTGCTTTCTTAAATAGACATATCAGACATATTAAATATACAATACTTCTCTATATAAATAATATTTCACTTTTTCCATGGTTACAGAATGGTTATGAGAAAATTTAAGGTAATGGACATGTCAGGTATGTTTTGCTTACGCAATGCTTTTCGAAATAACTATCCATAAAGAGACAAAGTTTGTAAAAACATTGAAGTATATTCTGTTAAACGTATAAATATTATCGTAAATAAATAATTATTTAAACTCAGAAGGTAGAAATCTTGTCTAAACACGAGCGCTGCATACATGCAGCTGACGAATCATTTTAAAGGTTGACTTGTGGTCCCCCACAAGTATGGTTGAATTCTGTTGAGCCTCGATTTAAAACGAATCATTGTGGGGCTCTGAGGCTATAATAAATCTTAAAATTTTCTTACAACTGTTTATATTTCTACACCTCGCAGCATTTTTTTGATAAATCTACCTATTACAATTAAGGAACTGGAAAGTTCTACTAACACGATACTAGCTCAAGTGTACCTCAAGTTGAGGGGTAAAATTCATGTCTTTTTTCTTTACTCAAAAAACTCATTTAGGTAAAAAGTAAAACTTGCGATAAAATTCAAGCCTGTCTATTAATTTCATAAATTCTTGAATTTTGACAGTTTTAGAAAAAGTTCATATAACAATCAAGAAATTAAGAAAATGCAATACTAAATCTTGTATAGGATGAACAGACGCAGTAACACGACCCAATACATGTGGCTACCAGAGAAATTGCAGGGATATTTTGGTAATCCTTGGGTAACAACGTGTGATCAATAAAAAATTTTCTGTGGCGGCAAACAATTGCCTTCGGGGGTTTTAAAGACCCCGCCCTTACCATCGCATCTCAAAAAGAGAATCAGTTTTTTTCCAAAACCCTATTCACTGTTTTGTCATTGTAGTCATGTTGTTAGGAAATTGCAATGGTGAATTAGTTTGAGTAAAAAGGTGTCAGTGTCAGCACATTTGTAAAGAGCATATTTCAATATAGATCGTCCAAAAGCTTATCTTTACAAACTCAAATCTTCAATGTCTCTTTAGTATAAATAATCGAGATTGTTGAGGGAAAATAGTGCCTGCCTTTGTGGAACGTGCCATTACAATTTTAAAGTCATACTATGCTATCACAATTTAAGCTTTTAACAATAAGTCTTCGTATAGACGTCTCAAAAACCTGGAGCATTTTACAGATTAAGGAGGCTAAAACTTTTTCGGGGTCCTAACATGCTAAAAACCAAGAGAAAGACGATTTTTTCTATGGTTTGAGTACATATTGAAAAAGCTTGGAGGGCCCCCGTGACACCCGCTTCCGCAGTGCCTGCAACGTCCAAAGGTATAGAAGTTGTTCTTGGAGAGACATCTGTGCAGTCTCTCTGCGAGGGCTTCTATTTACCCTTGGTACCAGAGCCTCATAAATCCGGGGGCAAAAAATTTTCTGTGACTGATTTCTCACTATAATTCTAAGACTAAATAATGGACACACTGGTACCCAGGGTTACTTCAACCTAACTGCACTGCCATTCCCACTCCCTTCAAGAACATCTAAACCTTTGGACGTCGAAATGTTATGAATTGATTAGCGAAAGAAAGACAGCCAATAATCAAACTTGAGACTTAACTTTGTCTAATCTTGGTCTGCATAATCTCTACTTCTCCTATTAGTTGCATGTTAATTTATTTGTCTTTCTAATCACATGGCCTATTTTTATGGTGCAAATAGACGACAAGGGTTGGTTCTTTAGGGTCGAGCAGTATATAGCTAACTTTTTACTAATATATCACATTAACTGTAAATTTATTTTACTTCGAGTTTGCACAATTTGCATTCTGCAAAGTGATTTGCCTGGAAACGTGCAATAAAAACGAATGTGCGGCTATCGCAAAAAGAAATTAAACCCGAAATGCTGCTACGTGAAGCACTTTTGACCACCCATGATCAGTTAATACCGAGCCACGAAGATCTACTCAATGAGAAGCTTCTTAACAAACTGCTAAACCGGCTGTAATACCTCAATGCTTCGGTCAATTGGAATCAAATTCACAGTTTTAAGATAAACCATGCTAGAAAGGTCATGAGGCATAAAGATAAAGCTGTGGCACAAAACCTCCACAGACGACTTGGCACTTGGCAGAGCACGGTCGTCTTCACTTAGCTAGCACTTTTCAAGTCAATCTACAAACGAAAAAGCTGCTATTGTGTAGACAAGGAGTTGGTTTTCTCCCTTGGACTCCAGTGGTAATCACCCTATAGACTAGACACGCAGTGCTGTTGAACATAATTTAGCATAATTTGCAACACGAAGCTATACATCAAGCGACAACGGTAATTTGGAAATCGAACAACAAAGAACAAAATTTTGGAACATGTACTTTTGTTCAGAAAGAAAACACCAGCTTAACGAAAGTCAGTCTTCATCTGTTGTTTCCTTACAGGATTTTCATTATCACAACAATCTTAAGTTTATAATCAAATTTAGAAATATGCGGAGAGTAAAAGGGTATGTTGTAATCACAATATGGCACACCTTATACGATAACTCATACTTGAGCACAATGTGGAATGGGCTTTGGGCATACTGTTGGCATTGGGGGTCCTGATGTTATTGGGGTAACTGGTTGTTTTGGGTGCACTGGTGGTATTAGGGGCATTAGATGTATTGGGGGCATTAGATGTATTTGGGGCACTGGTGGTATTTGGGGCACTGGTGGTATAAGGGGTCCAGGTGGTATTGGGGTCCAGGTGGTATTGTAGGTTAAGGCGGCATTGGGGGTCCTGATTATATTGGAGGAACTAGTTGTATTGGGGGCACTGGTGGTATTGGGGGTCCTGGTGGTATTAGAGGCTTTGTGGCATGGGGGTAACTGGGATCTTTGTTATCGATTCACATGTAAAAGTATCCCCAGTACCAAAATTCTTGCACCAACTTCTTTTTTGTTAAAAAGCAATTTCCTTTCTTCTGTCTTAGGGCACTTATGAAAAGAGTTAATTTTGAAAAGGATTTTCTGGTACTTATAAGTCATAAAGCAAATATAAAAATTGCTTATATGCCCACTGCTTCAAATAATGAAGAAAAGTAGAATATCAGATTATCCAACATCCATATGCAAGATTTATAAACAACTTTTACAATTATAGCTTTGGTGAAGTGGTTCAGTTCGAGCCAGCTAATATGTTAAATTGCAAACCAACCTTCTTTTACTTTCCAGTCTTTCTATTGGCCTTATCTATCTTATCTTACGGCAAGTATTCGACCAAAACAGGGCTAAAAATCTAACCTTTTAAAGGTTTAAAACACGAAATGGCATTACACGAGAAGCTGACAAAAGTTTGTGTAAAGATAGGCCCAGGAATATTATGACGATTCTTGTCCAAATCATAAAATTCCAGCAAAAATCAATCTACGGAAAGGAAAATCTGTAGCTGATTAACTTAGTGATGATGTTCCTGAGGCGCCAGAGTGTTTACATTTTTCAGATGGGTTCTTCTAAGTTGAAGTCGTCAGGGTAGCCATGTTTCTATTTCGACGTGGATTTCTAGCTGACGACAACTCTACAACAAAATCCAGTCTGGCGATGTTATTACAGTCTGGCGATGTTCAATTACGTTATGATTCTCAGTGCTCAGCAAACGAGCAATTTCTAGCTCTTGAAAAATCAGTGTACCTTTTCGTACGCACTTGAAAACGGATAGCAAATACATCGAGAGTCGTAAATTGACCTCAACCATTAGCGAGGCAAACCCTATCCAATGGACGTATTAGAACCCCTGTTCAATGTAGGCATCTTCTACGAATTCATCAATATATCCTTCTCTATTTCCCTTTGCCTTCTAAGAATCTCCTCGTTCTTTTCTCTAATTTGCTTAATTCTCGCGTCAAGTTCAAATTCCTCTTCGTTTTTGACAGTTACAACTTCTTTATCTGGCGTTCTCCTTGCTGGCAACGGTTTTAGATTGATGGCGATGTTTTTTGATTTGGAGATGACTGACTTCCCAAGGCGAGAGAATACTTTACGCTTTGGAGGTGTCGGGGCGTCTAAAAAGCAAATCGGATTTGATAAGGTAACTTGCAAATACTTCCTTTAATAAATTTAGAAATTAGCTTTCACCTTTAGTAATATTTTTAGTGGAAAATTCCGCGAAGCGTAAGAAACCCGACAACAACTTTTCAAAAATGTCAGAGCCAAAATGTTTTAGCTTAGCTCACAACACGAACAAATGAGCTAGATCAAGAAGATTAAAAAATAGTAATAAATCTAGAGTATCTAAGCGCGAAAATAGCAGTAGGAAAAGTGAAGAAAAAATATAGGACGAAAAATCCATATTTGAAGAAAATCAAAAGGAAAAACAGGCATGATAGGGTTATACAGGGTTCAGAGAAAAGAGAAAAAAAATTTCACATTCTACTCTCAGAACACGCCTTATAGTTACAAGTTTATTCGATCATAAATCGCCCTTGTTTATAAGCCTCTCTTAGCAAAATGGGTTTATAAAAATGTAAGTCGCAACCATACAACCACGCAGAGATCCTTGGTTTGAAATGACGGGCGCAAAAACTGATAAAACCTGACGTTAGACTTAAACCAAAGAATTAAACCATAAAATAGACATTATGGAATCAACAAATTTCCAGGGAAGCAGGAAAGTTTGACAGAATCTGGGTAAAATAATAGAAGCCTCCTTTGTTTATAATCCACCCTTGATTATAAATCGCAGCAAAACGTGTCAAAAAATATAAGCCGCGGGTATTTTTCCTCATAAAAAAAGTTACAAGATCATTAGGTATTAAGGTATTCCAAAGCTTACAAGATCTAGGGAGGAAGGAAATGTTGTGGGATAGAGTTTGTGCGTTTGGCTTGGAAAGGGTGAGCCATAGAAGGGTGTCTGGTATTGCGTGACTTGGGATCATGTATCTGATCTCCTGAAATCAATCGCCAAGGTAAAATTCATAAAAAATTTATAGAAAAATATATAAAAAACGGCGAGATCAGCAACACAGCGCTGATGGAAGAGAGGCTGGAGAGACTAGGTGAGGTTGCAGTTATTGACCAGCGCCGCATGGGAGAGAGGCTGGAGAGACTAGGTGAGGTTGCAGTTATTGACCAGCGAATGGCTTTGGATCGGTCTTTTTCAAGGAGGCGTAAGGAAGATATAGGAGCATACCCCAAATATGAGAACAGTACTCCAGGAAAATATGGGTTTAGGACTTATAAATTGTTAAGAGTTGTGCTAGTTAGAAGAATCCACGTGCTCTATCGCATATCTATAGAAAACTGACTCTACCGACTGTGGAATTTTGCTAAGGAAAAATCCTGATATAAAACTGGACTTACCATCAGCATCGCCAGCAGAAACCTCCACGACTGCAGAAGACAAATCAGAGCCAGGGTTTGAAATTACTCTCCTCACGCTTCTATGATGGCGATCATCAAATTTCCTTTGCACAATCCTTGAATTCGCAACAACACCAAACTCAATATCATCTGCTTTCATTAGTGGCTCAATCTCCTTTCTTTCAATCATTACACTCTTACCGCTAGAAAGTCTTTTTAAAAACGTTTTAGTATCTCCCAACAATTGTTCTGAAATAGCTTCCTGGTTCTCTCTGCTTTTTTCCACAGTTCGTATTTGACTGGCTTCGGTCGACTGCTCACTCACACGCGTGACTCGTCGATGGCCCTTTGCAAGCAGTTTGCCGCCATCATTCGTCGCCGATTTCTCTGATACACTAACTCGCCGCGATAGTCGTTCAGAAACAGGTTTTTTAACATTTTCAAGGGTTATTTCCATCAATGGCCGAGGTGCTTTTTCATTTTCTTCCTGTTTAGCAGAATCACTAGTTTTCTTAACAGTATTTGAATTCTTGGAATAAATTTTTTCGGCATTGCTCTTTGACCTATCATGTTTACTTCCTGATTCAGTTCCCGTCGAGTCTTTGACTTTATCCGACAATTCTTTCGACTTTCCTATGCTATTGATAGCTAGTTTTTGCTCCATTAGCGGTTTTGGTTTCTCTTCCTTCTTCTGGGGTGAACTCTTACTCGACTCATCTTGCACCACAGCTGATTTTCCCTCAGACGTGACAACTTTTGTTACATCTTTAGGCTCATTTTCAGTCCTTTCTGGTGACTTTGCGTTCCTACTTTCGGGTAACCTCTTTTGCTCCTTGACCTTTTGAACCTCATCTTTTCCACCTTTGACCTCTTTCTCTTTAGAATCCGACTCTATTTTCTTGTTAACTCCTCTGTCTTTTATCGTTTCAGCTCCTTTGCCTCTCTGCCCTACCTCTGATCTGGGTTTCTCTCTATCATACGTCTTTCTCTCGGGGGTTCTCTTACGATCTCTACTAGAGTGGCGCATTCGCTCATCTTCCCGTTGCCGTGACAAAGTCTTTTTCCTGTCTGTACCCGACCTATCATACCTGTATGTTCTATCTCGATGGCTAGCACTACCCCTGCTATCTGCATAGCGCTGTTTTCGTTCGGATTCTCTTGATTGCCCACGACCTCTCTGACCTGTGTCCCTTGACCTAGACCGCGAGCGATATCTTCTTCTATCTCTGTAGCCTCCTCTTGAATCCTTGTGGGAATCATTTGTCCTAGACCCTAAGGGCTCTCTCTGTTTTTGCTTTGACCTGTCATCACTTTCCCTCCGCCTGCCCCAATCATTTTTACTAGTTCTTAATGGCGACACATAGCCACGTCCCCTGTCCTTCTTAGGACTACCAGCCTTGGCCTTCACTCTGTTGTCATTATCATATGACTTCCGCTCTGAGACACGTCTCTTTCGCCGTTTGAAGTTATCTTCTTCGCTGCTGGAACTCTCTGAATCTGAAGAACCCGATTGAGAAGATCCAGAGCTTGATTCTGACTCAGATCCAGAAGATCTTCCAGACTCTGAATCGGATCTAGAGCTGCCAGATGACGAACCCGAACTACTTGATCCACTGCCAGAACAAGTACTACACGAACTTTCATCAGAACTACTCTTACTTCTACTTCGCCTATTTCTTCCCCCCTTTGAAGCAGTTTTTTCACCATCCTTTAACTTGGACTTTTTTAGTTCAGTTTCCTTTGTTCGATAACTTTTTGGGGTTACCTTCTCATTCTGACTTTTAGTTTTCGCCTTTTCGTTCTTTTGTTCCTCTTTCGTTCCATCTTTCTTGACTTCTGCTTTCGATGCTGTCCGTTCAGTAGTCCGTTTTTCACTCGATTTTAAAACATCATCGCTAATTTCTTTGCGAGCAGAATCAACAGCTCTTTTAGATTCAGAGGAAGAACTCAATGCTGAACTCTTCTTTGCCTGGATAGCTTTTTTATCTGTTTCGTCATTGCAATCTTTGATACTTTTCCCACTTCTATTTGTTTCTGACTCCTTTCTTACATTAACTTCAACTTTGCTATCGCGTAACTCAGCTTTTTTTGATGTGGATGATAAGCCTTTGTTGTCCTTTGAATGACCTTCCTTTTGATTACTCCCAGCAGTCTCCCCTTCCTCTGACCTACCCTTAACTAACTCATCCCCCTTCGACTTTCCTTCTCTTGGTTTTTTAATCTTATCATCAAGCAGGACTTCCATAGGTTTTCCACTGACTGCATGATGAAGTTTACTTTCTGCTCTCCCAGAATCCTTTGGTGTCTTCACATGCCCCAAATCAGACGTCTTACGCTTTCTACGGTCCTCTTCATGATGTTCATTGCTGTCTGCTTTTGATACGGTGTTTTCAGCCGTTGATTCTAATTTCCTATTTGAAATTTGCTTTTCCTGGTTTACTTCACTTCCACGGACAACATCCTCCTTTGTCACCTCAGTTTTTGGCTCTTTGCTGGCCATCTCATCCTTAGTTTTCTTTGTTTTTCCAAGCAAATCCATACCTTTTGCAGGTTTACTTATCTTCGCAGGATTCTCTTCAATGACAGCCGACCCATCACTAATACTCTGTACAGTCACTGTCCTTCTACCAGAAGACACCCTTGTGATATTCTCATGCAGTTCTGCGGTCTCAATAAGTTCCTGACCATCACTGCTGTTCTCGTTACTACACTCTTTACTCTCTCGGTCATCCATGTTTTCATCATCGTCTGCTACTTTGATATCAGATTCCAATTCACCATCCTCGGCATTACTATCCCCGCCATCATCCTCTTCATCGACATCAACTCTCTCAAAATCAGCATCTTCTGATGAATCAAACCTCTCAGGGCTTTCATCCTCTTTCTGCACACTTTCACTACCATTTCTTTGCTTTTCTACATCACTACACTCATCTTCAGATCCACCAACGTTAGTAAATTCAACAGAATAAACACTATCCTCATCACTTGCTTTTTGACTCCTCATTTCAATCGTGTAATCACTGTCAACATCAGAAGCTTCCTCGTCACTCTCAGGTCTCGCAAGCTTGGTAACACTTCCATTTTCAGCCTTTTTGTTACTTTCTTTCTTCAAACTGGTACTGTTCTCCTCCTGACCAGAATCTGACCCCTTTCGTGTGCTGACATCGTTCTTCACTGTCACTACGAACAGCCTATCACGTTCTTGCCTCCGAACAATTTTAACACGTGAATCAACTTTGTCTTTCTTTGAATCACCGTCTTGAGGTCTCTTATCAACAACTCTTCTTTCATGTTTTTCTCTGTCTCTTGTCAAAGATTTGGCTTCAAAATTTCGATGATAATCTGAGCTACTCCTTTTTGTGTTCCTTGTTCCCTAAAGATTAAAGACAACAAATAAATCAGGCAAATAGACTCTATGAAAAAGGTTAGAAAGGTTTGGTGATAATTGCAAATCAAAAAGGGGCTAAAAATATTCCCAGATAAATAAATTAAAATAACTCAAAGTAAAAATAAAACTTGCAAATAACAAATGAACAACTGTCAAAATCTTTTAAAAATCTAAAAAGTAGCAATTGAGAAACTGCAAAGAAAGATACTTTTCTCAACAGTATTTGTTCAAATACAAGCAGTTCAAATGACATTCAAATATTTTATGTGCCATGTAGAAAAATTCCCAAATTAAATTTTCCACAAATTTAAAAGTCCATGTGTCAGATGGCCTCACAATTTATGAAATCATAAAAGTGTGTTACATGTGTCAAAATAACAAGAAAAATATCACAAAAAGAGAATAACTGGCAAAATAGAGAAAGCAGGTAAGGTAGGAAAATTGACTTTAGAAACTTTGCTGCATATTAATAGAATTGACTGCAAAGATAAATTTTCGCTTTTATAAAAGGTGGTAATAGCCATAAGTAAACGCTGGTAACCAATTTTATAAAGTTGCTGCCCAATAGCTGCTGCTGCCCCCAGGAACGGATTAAAGCAACAATGATTGGGGGGGGAGAGGGGGGTGTTAGATACTAATTTGATTTTGGTGCCCAAGCTGTTATTTTTATAAAGACCTCTTGTAACCGCAAACTATCTGAAGAAAGTTTCCTGTGAAAATAGTTTGGAATTTGTGGTTGGAAAATCTCAAAATTATGTTGTTGAATTCAAGCAGGAATAACCAAAGCAAAAAACGAAATTTCAGATTTCCTAAGTAACTTTTTTCCATGATTAATTCAATTCATAAAAAGGAATTCACTCCTTCATAAGGCTCCCTAGACCTGAAGCAGTGGTCGAAATAATGGCCGGTGATCGATGAAAACCGACGGGGAAATGCAAAACACCGACGAGACACTGGCATGATTTTTGAAAAAAAACCGACAGAATATTGTGTCTGAGTGGCATTTTGTCCAGTGGAGTTTTGTTCGTGACATATTGTCCAGTGATATTTTGTCCTCGTGCGTTTTGCCCGCACCCGCCCCATCCTACTTGACATGAGGGCCAATACATACTTTTTTTATAAGAACTCTGGTGGCTCTAAAAAAACATCTGAAAATCGAACAGCGCCCCCCCCCCCATTCCTCAGCTGTCTTTGAACTCGTTTCGCGAGTTTTAATTTTCACCGATGACACAATTTTTTTTTATTTCGACCACTGCTGGAGGCCCTGGGGCAACTTGCTAAATGAAGCGATTATAAGAAAGACTGATTCCAAAAACCTCAATTATGTACAAAACAGATGAATCTATAGTGTTGTTAAAGAGGTGAAATAAAAAAATTCTTGCAACAATACATATGATATTAGAGGTCAGTTCTTTCTGTAAAGTCTGCATTAAAATATATCTCAAACACTATTACTGAATTTGCTTCTTTTGCCAGAAAAGCTGGACCCCTTGAGACCCACTAGCACAACTTGAGCCCCACTAGGCTAAATTAGTTTTGATCTATTTCAGTGTAATGAGGCAATTTCCTGTAAATATTTTATTTCGTTCGAAACTGTCTAGCTTTTTGCAAAGTGTAAAAAACTGCTAAACTATTTATCTATGGTTGAAAGTTTCCTGTGAGAAAAATTTTTGAACTGTGATTTTCTTGTGACCAATGGTAACACAGTCACAAGGAAAATAACACCCTGTTTGTGCCACACTCTTCAGGTCACTGGAAAATGATGGAAACGCCCATTTTCAAAATTTGGTTTTTAACTGTATGGTAAAGAAGATAAGAAGATATATAATGTAAAATGTTGGTGTTAATTTGTTGCTTCTAACTACAAAAAATGATTTTTACCGAATAAAAGGAAAATTTACAAAAAAACACAGAAATATTTGGGTGTGTCACACCTCCTACACCCCCCCTAAATCCACCCCTGCTTGCTCCTTAGGTTGCCTCTGAAATCTTGATATGGTAGGAAATACTGGCCAAGGGGAATACCATTTAAAAAGTGAAATCCTCAATCATTGGTTGAGCTTGTTTAAATTTGTCAAAGATGAAACAAAAATTATGTTTGAAACTATGAAAATGCTGAATGTTTTATTTTGTTTATACATCCTCACCCCTGGCCAGCATGCTACAATTGCTTAACACTTATGTTGCATTCACAAGAAACTCCTCAAGACAAGAAATTGTTTCTCAGAGACGACAAATTTCTTGGATGATGATAACAATATCAGATTTGTTTAAAAGCTACACATAGGAAAAATATGAGAACTGAAGATGCTACATATCAAGAGTTGCAAAAAATAACAAAATTTTGGAAAATGGTTTTCTATCTTTCAGGTCAACAGCTTCTACACCTAATTTTATTACCTACAATGACTTAACAGAGAGAATACAAAAAGTATTAGATTCACAGTGTTTTACCAGTAGGAAATACAGTAATAGCAACCTACCCTAACCCTATTGAAAATCTTCCAAATTTTGGGAGGAATTTTGAGAAAGAAGGGAAAAGTAGCAAACAAACTTGAAGATACCTTCTCAAAGTCATGTGAGCCATGAGCAACTCTCCTAGTCCTGCCATCTTCACCTCTATCTCTTCCAGAACTTTTTATAACCTGCACATCTGTCTTTTTCTACATAAAAGAGTGTCAATAAAACTTACTATTTTTAATACAGACATATATTATACCTATTTGAGGTAGATTATATGATGAAACATTTGTTTTGAAATCAGAGAATTGGCAAGTGAAGAGAGAGATTTTTCTGCTGAGTAAATTCAACTGGAAAAGTTTTATAAATAGATATCAACATCCTTGGTACTAAGCAAAGTTTCAATGTTGCAAAATTTGGGATTCCCTTCATACCCACTTTCTCTGTTTAGTTTAATAAATGTACCTATCTTTAATATCCTCGAAGGGAATTGTTGTGGCATTATTTGGTCCATAACTTCATATTATCATTTTAAATGATGGTAGAAAAACATAACAAGTATGTTTAATCCTTTGACATATTTTGTTTTATCACCATAACATGGAAGAAATTCATGATTTGTCTTCTTATTGACACAGATGAATTCCAAACAGATATTTAGGCATTTTATTTCTAAACTCTTTTAAAAAGATCCTGTCACTAATACCCTTCTACCAAATTTCCTTACTTTAGAGAGCAAAAATTGTATGTTATTTTTTGGGCATCAAATACAGGCCTTGTGATGAGCAAAAAGCAGGTGCTTGTCAAACTCAGAACCTTCAACTTTCTAGGTGCTCAATTGAGCATCATCAAATATTATCAATAATAATATTTGGCTTTCTGCATTTAGTTTTTAGACAGCTTAAACATGCTAGGTACTCGATCAATCAAGCTCCTAGAACTTTCTAGGGGCGTCTGGAGGTACTAAATGGAGCTTGAGCACCTCTTCTTGCAAGGCCTAATTGAATAGAGCATTTTACATACTTGAACACAATGGTAGAGTACTTAGGGCTATTCATACTAAATGTGAGTCAATAAGTAAATGATACATTTGAATTATAAATATATAGTTTGGTAATATTTTATTTACTCATCATAAACAAATTTTTCATTAATTAATATTCTCAAATACCTCAAATGCAGTTGACATCATTAAAATTCTGTTGAAATCATCTTTTACTAAAAATCAGAAATAATTTTCATATCAGCATCTAGACAACAACTTTGAGTACAATCAAAATGGAAAGAATTTGCTTCTTTCGAAAACTCTACACACCATTCCCAAAAAAATTAAATGAAGGATCAAATTGGGAACAAAAAAGGACCAATCACAAACAATGATTAGCATTACAGGTTCAAAATGAAGGTAATAAAAATAAGTGCAAACATTTCTGAGAAGTTTAAAGTTGTTTCTGGCAAATCAAACAGCTTCTGTAAAATGGTTTTGGCCATTTTCCTACCAATTTCAATGCAATAACAGGCTAAGGCTGTTTTCATTTTGAAACATTTTCAATGTGTATTTCCTGATCTTAGAAGTAATGAAAATGGAAAATTGAAAGAAAGTCGCACCCAAATTTGATAAATGATAACCATTGTTAGAAAGGTGAAGTGAAATTTAATAGGAGGGCAAAAACTAAAACAGCGAAAATATATTGACATACTGTCGTCAAATTTGAAAATGGCTTTGAAAAAAACAAACATTTCACAACATACTATAAGTGAAATGAATGTGAAAGTGAAAGGAATGTGAAATGTTTGCTTTTTTCAAAGCCATTTTCAATTCTGTATCGCCAAAAAATTGTCCATATCAAAATTTATTTAACAGACTTATTCTGAAAATAAAACCTTCTTGTTTAAAAATAATAAACAATCAATCAATTAATCAATTTACGAACAAAAAGAAATAACAAATTTGAACCCTAAAAATAATCTAGAAAAAAAACAGAAACCAAGTCCAGGAAGAGAAAAATCAACAGGAGAACAGAAAGTTATAACTTATGACGCAGCCCTAGCCCTATACTTAATGACTTATGTGTAGCTCATGTGATGTAGAAAGCAATTATGGAAATAACAGAGCACCTGGAAACACATTGATTTGTAATGTATTCATTGCACAGATCCTAAGTATAATATAGGTTTTTCACTGGCAGTAAAATAAATAAATAATTAATAAAACAAATACCTATTTAAGTAAATATCACCAAATGTAAGAATAGTCCTTATTATATTAAATTAAATTAGGCTAGAAAAGATGTAATGCTATATTTAAAATGCCATTACTACACAACCAGCAGGATTCAAGGTAAATTTGTAGACTTTGGGTGTACATATATCAAAACTTATTTATCCACAGATCCACCACTAGTTCAGAACATTATTTAGACTGTGGGCAGATTTTTTGAAATATTTTAAAAGGCCCTGGCTCCTCTGTCTAAATAAGAAACTAATCAACGATAGTCTTATCTTGAATTGCTAGCTAGAATGTTTAATGATACTGATAACAGGTTTTCTTTCACACTAACACATACGAAATTCATCGACACAGTGAATATTAAATGGCAATATTACTTTATACATACTCCCTTTCGAATCCCCTGTTTAAAGCGATGTTTACTTAAAGGAGCATATTTAAATAAAAGAAACCTCTTTTATGAATTCATACTGTATTACTACTACAAATTTGTGTGTCTCTCAATCCGAACACAGTGGCCTTACAAGCAACCCTACTACAAAAAGATAGATCAGGCCTAAAACTAACGTAACATAAAGTTTTTATTTTATCAATTGATCCTTTATTTTGACTTGAGACAAACTTATCGAAAGAAGAATCAAAGAATGCCCAATAGCTTGTAATATACAGTCTAAAACATTGAAGATGATGTCGTCCTGATCTCTACGTGAAAAGTTTACAAATTCTTACCTCGACCGCCATATTTGATTCTTGGCGAGACAACGTGTACGCATGCGTTCTAGCCGGGCACCAGAAGGCTTCAAGGGGCCAAAGGACGTCCTCTTTTCCCGTCAAATCGAAGCAGAGCAGCTGTCCTGTGACACGCGGAACCTAAATTTCTGCATTTACAGTCATTAAATACTCAGATTTTCATCAGAAATGGCAAACAAGTCAGGACGCACCATCGTCTTACCAGTGGATGCATCAGATCACAGCGAAAGAGCATTTAACTGGTATTTGAGCAACCTAAAGCAAGATGGCGACCGTTTGTCAATCATCAGCGTTGTCGAGCCACCAAAAATTCCAGCTTCTTTCTTCAGTCCTGTGGTCGTGTCAGATGAGTACAAGAACGATATCGAAGATGCCATCAAAGTAGCTAAGGAAACTGTAAAGAAGTACGAATCAAGATGCCAGGCTGCCGGCCTAAAATGCTCAGTGACGACTGAGACCTCAGATTTCGGCCCAGGTGAAAAGATCTGCGAAATTGCAAGGAAGCAAAATGCAAGTGGTATTGTGATGGGATCCAGGGGATTGAATATTATCAGAAAGACCCTTCTTGGCAGTGTCAGTTCGTATGTTGTCAACCATGCCGATGTGCCAGTTGTCGTGACACCACCTGGGGAAAGCAAGTAAAAGACTGCTGCAAAATCGACATTTCTTTATCACCTAGGACTTGAAATTATGATTGACTAAAGTAAGGTTGTTAATTGAAAAGTAAGTGTGGTACTAAAGAACAAAGCTAATGAAATTTGTAGCAGTTTTGTGTGATAAAAATGGTTACTTTGAGATAACGCAAATTCTATAGTGTTTCCTTTTTGATGTCCTACCTCCTATAGATGCACATCTGTGCAGGGAAATTCATTCAGTGAATTAATTGATGAAAGTATGAATTTTCTCGTGAAAAAGATTTGGTTTGTAACTTATTTTCCGAGATTCGAAAGGAAATAACAGAAGTCTCTGCACATGCTGTCTAGCATACATCGATTTTGGACAAAAAAGCATCTGCGAAATGGAACAGAGTCATGCTGATGGGGTTCTAGTTTGCTACTAGTTTCTTGGGATTAGTTTTTAAAAATTTAGCTCATGAACTGGGGATAAATTTCTAAAAACATGATACCTTTCCTGGAATAAAATCCAGGAAGCAAATGATTCTATAAATTTTTAATTTCTAATAAAAGTAGCTAACTTTTATGCTTTTCTGATGGTTTGTTATTTTTATGACCATTCTTACAGGAACTAAAAAAGGAACTATAAATCTTTTTATTACAATATCTTCATTTTTTCTGATCCTCTCTATTCTAAAAACTTATTTTTTAAAACTAAAAACTAAAAACTTAATAACATGATTTTGAGCCTACTATCATTCTTAAAAGGTAAATTCAAATATTTGCAATGTCTTTCTTCATCACGAAAACATTTAAGGAACTAAAACGTACTAGCAAATTACAAGCTTGAAGTGTGCAATACTTAATCTTAAATCTTAGTCTTAGGTCTTAATATTTCTGATAATTACACAATGACAAGCAAAAAGTTTTACAGGCTGAGGGTCGATGTGAGGTATGCTTTCTAGTTAAAAGTAACACCGAAAAGAGGCCAAAGGTTAACACGTTCGAAGCTTGTCCAGCAAGTCAACTGGGAAGACAAGATGTCGCAGAAAAGGTTTATTTTTATGTCAGTTGATGGCTCCGAACACAGTGACAGAGCGTTTGACTGGTACATAAAGAACATGAGAAAGCCCGGAGACAAAATCGGAATTGTTAGCGTCATCGAACCACCGACCTTTCCCGCCACATTCATGATGATGGGTCCAGTTGTTGTTCCAGAAGAGTGGAATGCAGAAATCCAAGATTCCATGGATAAATCGAAGTTAATCGCGGAGAAGTACGAGAAAAAATGCCAGGAAAATGGTTTGGAGCATCAAGTACTGATGGATACTGCTTGCACAATAGGTGGGCCCGGAGAGACGATTTGCCAGCTTGCCAGGGAAAATAATGCAAGCAGCATCGTGCTTGGATCGAGAGGCCTAAATACTGTACGAAGGGCTCTTATTGGCAGTGTTAGCTCGTATGTGCTTGGACATTCGCCAGTACCTGTTGTCATAAATCCACCAAAGCATGAATAAACCACGATATGTAACAAAATGCCCTTTTTTGTGTCTCCAATGTGCAGATGTTTTTGCAGATACAAGCTGCTGTTCATTAGACAAGATAAACTATATGAATTTTCTTAATCAAATAGCAACAGGATACACTTGGAATTGAAATCGGTGTAAGAGATCAATCAAAGCTTACATTAGTGTGTTCTTCATGTAAAATAAGCGAATCTGTGTGTGAAAGGAACATGGAAAAAAATACTGTTTGTTTTTTTATACATCTGAGCCAAAGCTTGTTTTTCAATTTCAGGATTTTAAGATTCTTATAATCTACTATTCCTTTGAGTTAGTTAGTACAATGCTGTCGAAAATGAGGGGGCTGGAGCCACCTTCCCCCCACCAAATAATTGTCACACAGACTATATTTCGTTTATAACAGGGTACTGCCAGCCCCCCTCCAATATGAAGTTGGTTGTGAGGACACTGTAGTAAAAGAGGTTTCTGCCTTTGACAATACATAAATATGTTGGTACTTATAGCAAAATATTTGCAGTAGCAGATGAATTAAAGAAACAATTCTGTGACAGAGCAATATTTTAATTCTTATGAAGATCAAAATGCTCAATTATTAGTAGATTGTCTTTGTATAAGGAACATCTATGAGAATACAACACTAAGCTAATTGACATGAGTTTAAAGGCCATAGGTCACATCTAGTAGCTTAAAAAGGAATTGCATTTTAAGCAAATATTGACAAGGACTGTGCAGCGAGGGGCTAAACATGGTTTTTGAGAGGCTAAACATGCTAAAAACTAAGAGCAAGGTGGTTTTTGTATGGTTTTAAGTAAAGTTTGGAAATTACTGGGGGTCAAGCCCCCTCAGCTCAGGACTACACCCTCTGTTACTGCTGATGTTGTATATATAGTAACAAATATTTAACATTCCCGATCATGGTTTTCTGGATTCAAAGGCTATAGACTTTGGCACAAAGGGCTTTTGGGCCAGTTTTTGGTGTGTTGGGATGTGAAGTGGTTCAATCAGAAAAGCTGATAATTAAACTAATTTTGCAAACATTCTGCTTATGGTACAGGATTGTGGAAAATGATGTTTGCACTTTTCAAAGCCAATTTGAAACCAATATTATAAAGACAAAACAGTGATTTTTATAAATCTATGAATGTTTAAAACTAAAATTTCATGCCTATTGTACATCATAAGCAATCAACAGGCACTTGTGTTTTGAGCCATCTATCAATAAAGAATTGACCAATCAATATACTACATGTTACTTCTCAGCCATAGGTATTTGAGACATGGGGGCTGGGGAGGGGGGCTTCAGGCCTCCTAATCAGGCAAAAATTTACAAATTTCAGGCCTAATCAATCAAGCAATTTTATCTCAACAAAGCAATTATAGTTTTCAAACAAGACCAATCATAAGCCAAGCTAAACGCTTGGCCACTGCTATGCCCATGAACTCAGCTGCTTATTGATGGGCTAGTAGTTGATTGACAAATGGCCTAAGCCATTCATGTGTCTGTCAATTACCTTTAAAGCAAACTTTTTTCAGACTAGCAGTCATTTTCTCCAAAATACTTGTAAGGCTGGGAAAACCCTCCTTCACAAACCTTGCTTAGCAAAACCTGTTTATCTGCTTGTTCTTCTCATTTTTCAACCAAGGACAAAGTTATTTTATGGCAAGTGCTTCTTAAGTAGAAAACCATGACTGTTGTGAATAATATATAAAGTACAAATTACACCATTTTGACAATTTGTTCTGTATGCCTGTGCAAGCATGTATGATCACATACATAGAAGAGAAAGACTGATGTTGGTTGATGTCAAGTCAATGTTTGTGCAAAGTGACTGTAGTGATGACAAGAATTATAAAAAGTAGTAATAGTGCCAAAATTGTTCATAGGGAGCTAAGCTGGGTGAGGAGAGCTAAGCTGGGTGAGGAGAGCTAAGCTGGGTGAGGAGAGCTAAGCTGGGTGAGGAGAGCTAAGCTGGGTGAGGAGAGCTAAGCCAGAGTGGAGAGCAGAGATAAAGACAGCATTTATAACTTGTTGGCACAAATTTTAAAGGACCACTTATCAGCAGTCACCAAGGAATTTTGGCAAAAGGACACAATGACAGTAGGAACTCAACCTAAATTTGTCACTTGTTACTCCCAACAGGGCACTTGCAAGACCTGTTGCATTGCCTTGATTCTTGCATCTCTACCCCCACTCAGTATCCTCCCTCCACCCATCACACTCATCCATTCTCAGATTCACAATACCACTTAGGATGACAGCTGCAATTACCTTGGCATATTGTAAGCACAGATTGTAGTCCGGTCGCTTGTGTCACAATTATTGCTCCCGCTCGATTTGCGTGCCAAAATCGATTTTTTTGCATGAATGTATTTGAATATCCATCTAGATTACGAAAATCATAGGTGCCATTTTTTTAGGAAAGCGGAAGGGGTTTAACGGGGGCGTTAATGACGTGCGGTCAATGTCAGTTCCTCTGCGGAGGAGCAAACACTATCAATCGTAATAGATGATAAGAACGAGCTTTGAACGACCGAACTTCAACAAATTGCTTCAAAATGCTATCAGGGACATGTCTTTAATCACTTTCTTACTTAGAAATGGAAATTTATAGTCACGTGACTTCTTACCCCCTAAATCGATGTAAGGAGATTTCTAATCCAATTGGTTATAAACTTCATCCTGGATGAAGTTTATGAATGAACGTTATTGATATTGACGTCAAACTCATTTCTATAACTTCTAATATCGAAGCGAAACATCAAGAGGCAGGGCTCCTGGAGCATATTGGGGATGGGGGGGGGGGTAGAAAGATTTAGGGGCCACAAGATGCTGAAAGATAAGAGCAATATTTACTGTATTGTTTTAAGTACATTATGGGATTTATTGTAGACTAAGCCACATCAGCCCTCTCAGCGATAAAGAGGGGCAAAAAAACTCAAGGAATGAAGTTAAATGAATGATTGAAGTTTAGAGTCCAAGGATTTTCTAACGAGGGTCCATGACCGTTAGCATGACCGTTAGTATGAATAACATCTTTAAGCAAAAAAATTATTAAAACAACTGGGATGATATGACGTGTTAATGCAATTTTTGTTTGAAACCATAAAAAAGGACAAGCACAGCTTGTCAAAAACTGAGACAAAACAGTGTAATACCAACCTCAACCAGATCACACTGGGCCCTCTCACAAAATCTTGTGTCGTTAGGAGATCTGGGATCCAGTTTGTTGTTAGAATAGTGTACCTAGTGTACCCAACTAGATAGGGGCGTGTGTCAGTATATATATACTATACTGCTACATATTACATATATAAACATGTATATAAGTTGTCTTTTATAATTTCTGAGTTCTTGCTAGTTCATCAGCCAATCCATCAGGTAGAGCATTTCGGGGCTTATGATCAGTATGCTCCTTTACACCTGGGTGCCCCCTCACCCCTGCGCCCAGGGATGATGCCAGCAAAGGTGTATCATTGAATCGTAGCGTTGTATAGAAAAGAACGGGATTTCCACGTTCATGTGTATCCAGTTTATTCATGTAGCCTCACCATAGAGGTATATATCATGTATTCAATAAGAATATACTACGAGCTCGTAGTGCCAATGGAGGGACAATGGTTAGGCAAAGAAAATGTAATAGTGACATAAATATATGTATATAAAAATACTTGCGTACTCATACGTAAGTACAAGAGCGGTGTGCAAATAGGTATTGGGGCTATTCAGACTGTGTATAGATATACATTGAATTTGTGACATCGATACATGTATATACAAATAATCGGGTACCAAAATGTGAGTTTAGGGAGAAAATGAGAGTTTAGCAGAAAAACATGGAACCAGAAAAGTTACCTCCAACTTTAGGAGCATTGATTCCCCACATACAAAGAGCAAGTTTTATTGCTGGAATTTCAAAGAAATATACAACTGCGAATAATGAAATTCAACCTCTTGTGGGAAACGGTTGGCAAATGGATGAGGGTATGGAAGTACCGATAAAGTGCCTTGAGCTGCCAGCCCCGCAATCAGTTCTTGAACTTGTCAAATGCGGATGCAAGGTTCGATGCAAGGGACGAGGAAGCTCTTCGTGTTTGAAGAATGGGCTGTCATGCACTGAACTATGCAAATGTGTAGATTGGGAAAATATTAAATACTACGCCGCAGGTGAAGAGACAGACGCCGATTCTGGAGAGGGAGTCGAAATTCATTAACGTGTTTAAACTGTTCGTTGTTTCTTAAAGCCTGGTTTCCATATGATCGCAAAAAACGCAAGAAATACACTGCGATCCTTGCGATTCCCGCGAATAATGATTCGACTTTGGGCGCGCCAAAATTAAAATGGCTGGAATCAACCAGCAATGTCTGCTGCAATCGAGCTTGTTCATTATTATTGCATTGTTGAAAAGAGTTAGAGAACGTCGTGCAAGAAAAAAACATAGGTTTTGGGTGAGAAAATTTATTCAGAGGAGAGAAGAACACGGTTCGCTTCACACACTCACAAAGGATCTGAGGATTCACGATCGGGAGTACTTTTTCAGGTAGGCCTAATTTTTCAGGTTGGAATGATGTAACCTCGGTGCCTGTTAGTTTTTACTTCTTTAGGCATTTTCTTGAACTTTTTCTTAAAGTCCCGGCTTTTCTTATTAAAAAGGCAGTCGTACTGTTGTATTTCTTCTATGAAAGCAAGGTCTTCTTCTGTTGCAAAAGCCAGCTTGAAATTTCGATAAAAATAAATGGATGCGAGGCTTGGTAGAGCATCCTGGAGGATAAACTGACGCAAGGATCGCCAAGTTGTTAACAAGCGGTTTCCATTAAAAAACCATCGACGCAAAGATCGCAAGAATCGCAGAGATAGAAAATTTTCTATCTCAAACGCAAGAATCGCAAAAATCGCAACAATCGCAACAGACGGAATAGAGCAGTTTCCATTAATACGCAAGGATCGCAGGATCGCAAGGCTCGCAGAGATCGCAAGTCACAAATTTAAGCGATTCTTGCGTTTCTTGCGTTTTTTGCGATCATATGGAAACCAGGCTTAATACACCTATATTCTCAGCAGCTTTTCCATGTTATCCACTAAAGCTGATGTTTAAAATGTTTTATAGATTTCCCCAGTTAACATTTGAAAACAATTTAAAGTTAATTTAAAGTTAGTTTTAATCATCTATTGTGATTGGGACATTTTTCTCCTCCGCAGAGACACTTGCTTTGACCGGTCGTGATTTGCACCCCAGTAAGACCCACTTCCGATGATCCAAAAAAATGGCACCTATGATTTTTATATTATTGATAGATATTTGTAGGCATTCATGCAAAAAAATCAATTTTGGCACGCAAATCGAGCGGAATTACACAAGGATCCCGACTATTGTGAAAAATAGCAGAAGCTAGAGGCAGGTGCATTGTGGCTTAAAGAGAGCAAGAGTAGCGCTTCTAAGCAATCTTCCTTGCCGGAAGAAGAAAGTATTTACAGGCATGAAAGCACAGCGGAACAGTCTCAAAGTGGGTTGGTTGAGAATGGCATCACCGAAAATTTTGAGGGTCACGCCCTCTAGAACGCCAGAAAAAGCCTCTTTTTGAAAATACCTTCTTCTTTCCACTTTTTACTTACAAACAGTCCGATTCAGAGAAGATATCGATTACTATGTAAATTGGCATAATTAGCTTGAGGGCCATTAAAAAGATAAACAAGTTAGAAAATACAACTTATCTTTAAACAAGATAAAACACTAAGAAAATGAACAAAAATGGTTCCCAGTCAAGAAGAACTGCTACCTCTCAAGAAGAATTTTTAACCTATTATTGCAAAAATCAAGATCTGTTATAACTGACAGAGAAATTGAATTACGTAATTACATAATACTTCAAATCAAATCTGTTTAATACTTCAGTATCATGATGATACTAAATGCATTTCGAAGCGAATAGTACTAAAAGTATTTTACTCAAATGTGCAGTCTTGTTCATAAATGTATTGTCATCGACAAATATTATATAAATTCTCAACTCAGCCTAGTCAACAAAACAAATTTTCTTATTATGAATTCAAATAACTCGTCGCAATAGGGCCCTCCCCCCTCCCCCATAGAGGTTGTGATTCGCGCGTTCATGCACAATTCTTTTACTTTTCACGCATTCACGAACTGCAAAATTGGATTTTCACGCTCACGCAAACAATAAATGTTGTATCAGCTATTTCTCATCAGAGCTCTGTTTGAAAGACTACAACACTACTTTCAAACTTTGAATACTTATTTGAGATTTAACTACTATTGGTTTATTACGCACCAAATTGAGGCAATTCTTCTAAATTATCATTCGAAATTTCATTCACGAATTCACGGATGGTTAAAGCCTTTTCACAGCATAACCCAAGGAAAACTGATGATTCATGTTTCACGTAGGAATCTTAATTCACGAAATCACGCATAAAAAATCGAGATTTCACGATTTCACGATTTCACGCACGAAATTATGGCCATCATGCAAAAATATGGGGGGGGGGGGCATTAGCATATCATGTGGTAAATGATTTTTCAATAAGCTCTTATAAGCACAATAAAGGAAGAATTAGCTTGTTGGATTTATTATTGTAAAATTTTGTACCAGATGTATCGTTTCCTTGCTGTTATTTTGAAAAGCCATTGCTTTTCTTGCATTGGTTCCGGTTATGGTCCAAAAGGAATAGTGTTTCTCCAAGGCTATGATAGAGTTGGTGTAGCAAGCGAATGAAGTAAATCATGGCATCCAAGCCTGTGGCAATCTAGAAAATGAACAGTGCACAATGACTTAATGAAGAGCTATGCTCAAAACGTTGCAGTAATATTCAAATTCCATGTACAAAATCGAACTTCTGCTTTATGTATTTGTATTTATTGTACAAAGACGCATGGAGATAATGAAATAGTTTCAAATTGCGAGAGAATACATAGTTTGCACGAGCCATTTTTAAACGAACAATATATTTGAGTAGGATTTGTAACATTCATCAGGAGAACAAACAACAAAAAGGCTTAAGTGAAGTAAGAACATTTCATGCTTAATTGGTCTAGTTTTAATGCTCCAGAAATTGATGTTCTTTGCAACCATTTTCACATACTTGCTCAACGATGCAAATCATGACAAAATAGCAACAATTCTGTATTCCATGGCGTAGAGACCAGTTAATTCGTGCCTGCCTCAGGCTTCAAGTTGGCATTATTAATTAACCCCACTTACAACCCTTAGTTAGAAATGATATATTCTCTTTATAAGAATAAATTTTACAGGTACAATGGGGCTCAGAATTTGTAAAATTTGGGAGGCAAAATACCCAGACTTAAAATTAACCGGCCTTTGACTGTTTTACATCAATTTCAAAACTTGAGCAACAAAGTAACAAAAAAAGAATTACCGTAGAAAAGATAAGAAAGTTTTTCTCAACAGCTCTTGTTTCAATAAAAACACAACCACACATAATAACGACTGGAAAAGTCGAGGCAGTGTCGAGCAGGTAAAAAGTTGTCTTCGACATTTTTGCAATCTGAAAGTTAAATAAATTGGGATATTATTCATCAACAGATTTCTAAATCGAACGAATTTCATCGACATAAGATATATACAATATGTAATTCAAAGTTCAAATAACAAAACGTAAATCATACAAGTAGGTTTGAACTTTTACTAAAAGGATATTCAATTTTCAAGAAAGGCATGCAAGTAGAAAAATGACTTGCTTCGGTAGATTATGTAAAGGATACAGAAAGTCAAAAATCAATTTGTTTATGGGTATAAAGGGTCAAAAATCAAATGGATCATCTAAGAATCTTCTTGAAGATAAATAATGAAAAATGTTCTTGGCAAAGGCCCAACTTATGTTCCCTAATATTGAAATTTTTTCTTCTTCTCTGCTGAACTCTTCTAGTCAAACCTAGCTATTTAAATAACTATCGTTCACTACAGCGTATCAATATTTTTGCCAATCCCAAATCTAGGGCTAAATCAGATCCCCTTAATACTCCTTTGCGCACATCTCAAACAGCTTGCCTTGCAACAGCCAGAGGAACTGGCATTTTTACTGTTTCGATGCAAAATTTCCGAATAACAATTTCTATAATAGTATGTAAAGGCCGATTTCCATTTGACAATTTTTGTGCGCACGGGCGTAGCGCCCAAATCTGATCATGCGTAGTTAAAATCAAGTGGTCTCGATTTTGCGTCCGCTGTGAGCGCCAGAAAGTTGATAGGGTCTCAACTCAAAAATTGTCAAATGGAAATCGGCCTTAATTTTGTTCTGAGGTGGAAAATGCGGGGTTGTGGGGTCGAGAGTGACCAAGCTTTTGGTAAATTGTCAGTTAAAACAGAGCTTATATTGCTTTTGTCGGCAAAGTTGCTTTTTGTTGGAGGTTTTGCAACCCACTCCCCCCCCCCCCCCGCCCCCCCCCCCCAGATCTGAAAAATTAGTTTCCGCCTCGGATCTTGTACATTTAGATGGCCGCGAAGAAAGAGCTTGCAGCAGTTTGTCTTGTGTCACCGCAATGATTTTGTTTCTATCTGTAATTGGTAAACAAAATATTCTTGCGTAATAACTACATTTCATGAACAAGTTACAGGATTTAGTTTTAATTACCCGTTGTGTAATAAAAACGCCACTCATTTTCTTCTTCTTCAAATATGCATACTTACGATTAACTGGATGTGGATCTTGGCGAAGCAAAATCCAAAGCAAAGGCCGAATAGGATGGCATTCTCTTTGAGGACCTCTTGGGAAACACTAACAAAGGCTATTGATGCTGATGTCAGTATGATGAAAACAGGTATAACCGGAGCAATGGAATGCCAGAAACTCTGGAACAAAAAAGGTACTCTATGCGTGAAGCTGCCAAAAAGAGCATCGTAAATATGTACAAGGGCTATCAGAGGCAGGGAGGGGAGCTGGGTTTCAATAAATGCAAAATTATTACGCATTATCTTTCTATCAGAGTATTGCAGACTAAATGGACTTTATATAAGCAACTAAATGGCAGCCCTAAACATGAAATATACAGTAATAGCAAGTTATTTTGATATAGATTAATACAAATTCGAGCAGTTTGAGCTTTTACAAGATACAAAGTGTCCATTCGTTCAATTTCGCTTTAATTCTGTAAAAGATTTTTTGGTCTCAGAAGTATTCAAATTCCATCAACCTCTTGCATTATTTTTCTTCTTATTTTTTCATTTTATAGTTAGAAATGTGATTTTTAAAAACGAGCCTTTTCAAGTCACTTGAAAAGTGGTGCACCAAAATCCACTCACTGTCTGAGAACCCTGCTTCAATGCTAGTCTCCTAGTTTCCCTTTTAGTCGGAATAATATAGGGCTTGGTAATGGATACGCCCCATTATCACCTTACTCTTTAGGGCTTTATATCCAGGTCTAGAATTTCCATTCAGTAAGTTAACATGAATCGATGAGGTAGATGCTTTAAAAGGAAGATATGTATATTCATGTCCTTTCAAATTCGGTGTAGAAAATAGCGCTTGTTTTGTTACTGGTGACGAAAGATCACGTGATTAGTTAGTTAGGGAGGCAGAGATGGAGAGTTGCACGCGTTTTACGAGAGGCAATTATAGTTAAGCTTCAGTCATCGTTTTGAAATCGTTTTAGCTAGTAAAGTTTGGAAACGGGTCCTGCAATGTAGGCAGATCATTCAGATTGTGTTCGAGATTGTGGCCTTTCAAGCCGTCGAATATAGCCGTCTTTCAAGCATAATAATTTGCAAGTCAAAGAGTGACTTAGGCCAGCTTTTTTTTCCATATTCGGACAGGCCAAGCCGCTCTCAAGTTGAAGTGCCCATGCAATTTTGTAAATGTTTTTTACGCCCTATGCCAAGACGGTTAAAGTCACTTACCAATCTATTACTTTTTGCTGCATCATAAAAGTGCTTTGTTTTTCCAAATATTATTTCCAATGGTATCAAGATTTTCAATCCATAAAAGATGTGAATAACCCTAAAGCCAATGCTTGAAAAAATCTACGATAAAATTGGACGAAAAAGCATCTTAAGAAAAGTCATACGGATATTTGTATATTTTTACATGTTTATGCATAGACTTTCTAAAAATACAATGAAAGGAAAAGCTTTCAACTTTCGTTTTTTTTGCGGTCAAAGAATGATCAAAGTACAATAAGTTATAAAGAGAAATGCAAGAAAGTACTGAAAAAATAAGACAGGAATGTTGGATATAGCAGTCATTTTTGTTGGAAAATGAATATGTTCCATCGAAAAAATTTTCACAGAAGAAAGACATTTTAGCATTTGAAAACAAACACAGAACAAAGTCACATTTTCAAAAAATGTCTCTACATGGCAATAGACTATAGACTAGGTAGCAATAAAGGTAATTACGACAAAACTAAAAAGGCCCTTCAAAATACCCAGTGCTCTTCAAAACATACCGTATATTGCCAGATTTCCTTTCCAAATGTGGCATGACTAAGGCATATTCCAATGTACAAAGTCAAGAACTCATAGAAATCGAAGCTGAAACATTAAAAAATGTTTTTATGTCTCTGTAAAGAGAGGACAGTCTACCTTTTCCCGCTTATTATGATAATGCCAGCCTAAAAAGTCTAGGACTAGCCAATAAAATTGTTAGAAAGTGAAAAAGTTATTTATCTGTCAAAATTTCATGCAAAAACTTACATTATTGGATCGTGTACAAGTACCAAGATCGCGTCGTGTGCATACTTAAAGGCAATCTGTCTCGTTTTGGATTGGTTAACGAGAACAATAGCTGGAACAATAGCCTAAACACAATTCCAGCGCTCCGCCATATTTTTTACAATGCGATAAATTAAAGGGGGACTGGAAACAATAAAAATCCCTTTGTTCTTATAATCAATCAACGTCGTGACAGATTGCCTTTAATATCGATAAGATCACATCAGGAAAATACCTTTCTATTCGGCTCTGTCCACAGACGTAAATGGTATATGGCTCCGAGAAGTAATAAGCAGCCATATCACACAATATCCAGGCCACTGTTCCAAGGGGGGTGTCTGTTACCCCTAAGATACACGCTAATGCAACGGATGACATCATCAAGGCAAATGCGTCGCCCCCGTGATCTAGAATCTCACCAAATGGACTACACAAGTCTCTGAGCCGTGCAACCTTTCCATCGATGCTGTCACAAGACATCCACATAAGGAGTCCAAATGCACACAAATATCCACTGGATTGCAAACTCTAAATTAAAGGCAAGCAAATTATAACTTGCAGTATAGAAAACATGAGGATTACTTCTGCGTGTATCTTCGTGCTTTCTGGCATAGAGTTAGAAAGACTTGTGACATTATTCTGGGTGATAGTTTCTGGCAGTGGTGGCGCCAGTTACTGCCAAACCCTAACCCATTTGATAGTAAACCACCATTTTTCTGTAGGGGAGAAGGGGATGATTGATTTCACCTTGGAAATTGACGTCAGTGTTCCAAGACTTTTGGCAGGCATTGTACGTATTCAACCCCGTTAACAGATTTTTCTTTTCTTGACAAGACGTGAAAAAACCTGATTGCCCTAGGCTAGTCCAGCATACAACATGAAACAAACCCAATATTAGTTAGTAAAAATCATTTATGAATATTTCTTGTAGCTGTGTTTATAATTTTGCTTTGTTACGTGTTATTCATGTTTAAGGTTGCGTGGTATCTTGCACTCCTTGGTATCGTCTTTGTAGTGTAGTCAAGTAGATTAGTGAGTAGCTTGTAATTGTAACAGTTTTTTATTGAGTATAAAAAGAATGAACGTAGGCCACGTTGCAACTCGAACTTAAGCCTTCGTATAGGCAGCACTATGTATGCAAAAAGAAAGAATCTCTATCGTATTGGCACTTGCTAGTTATCATCTATGCAACAACCAAGTTCTAACAAGGGTTTATCTAAATTCCTGAGGAATTGTGTCGACGCAATCCCTTGCTTCCTCAATTCGGAGTTAGGACACCTCTGCTTAGCCATAATGGTTACAAGGCAATATTGGTAGGGCTAGTTCCCAGATATTTTCAACGTAACGTGTTGCTTTAGTCTCCAAACTAAGTTTGTATTGGATACAATTCAATGCATTGATATAAGTTTCATAAACAAATGAATTGAATTGTTTATATTCAAATGCAGCGAGAGACCTGTTTTCTCTTTGAGTAATTCTGGCTTACCTGATGGTCTCCAATGTAACTGAAATATGCTACGAAGGAACACGAAAGAACAACCGACACGAGGCCAATAATTGTCACCAGATTCGCTGTAACCCTGTGATGAATCTTCTTAGCCATCCATAAGTATAAAACATCTAAAAAATCCATTATAGATGTCCCCTCTACTGAGTACCGATGCTTTTTTATGGCTGCTATTTGCTTCTCGCTCAGGATCGCCATGTCTCTAGTGGTCTTCTCCAGGTCCCTAGAACAGAGACAACAAAGAAAACTCAGACAAGGAGGGAATATGAATTATGGTGTATGCTGAAAATCTTGTGCTCTGAAAAACGCATTGCCAAGGCGTCACCATTTCTGTTTGGAATCTGCTATCCTGGGTACCAGAGTCTCCATTACCTAGTCTCGTCTACAATACTTTATCACCGGATTCCCGAGGCTCTGGTACCAACGGTAACGATCTGCCAAGGGTAACACTCAGTTCATTCCAAAAATGCTTTTCTAGTTCATAGAAAGGGTGGAGCAAAGGTGTGAAGCGGCCTAGGGCACATTTCAATAAGACACCTGTGCAATAAACAAAGATTTCAGTGACCCGCAGAACATTATAAGTTGGAATCACAATTATTGCTATGAAACGATAGATCCGAAATTTGAATACTTTCCAGGAAAAAGCTTTAGAAGATGGCTCCATTAAAGATTTTTTGCCTTATAATTACCACCTTTTTAATTAAGTATTTGAGTTATCTTCTTCAATCCTTATAAAGAACTTTCTGAACATTTTACAACGGCGATTTCAACAGCTTTTTTAAAGAAGCATTTGTACTACATGCAAAAAGTTGTAACAATATACTCGCACTTTTCTAAATCGGCTAGAGAGAATTTTCTCATTGTTTCGGGTGAATTTACGAACAGAGATGGAATATCAGAAAATGAATAGATGTCAATTTAACTTAAAGGCTTCCAAAATCCAAAGAGAATCAAAGAAGCCACATTACAAACTATAAGGATTAAATACCGTATCATATAGATGAAGCAAAATATGGAACTCGACCTCCAAGAAAATATAACATTTCCAAACATTACAAATATCAAAGAAAGAAAAATTTCATCTGTAATTGTACTTGTTGTGTGATCTTTGAAAGCAATACATATGCAACATTGGCTATCTATGATTTACGTTTGGCGAAGTAAATTTAAATTAGTTGGTTTTAACTAGTTTTGATATAGCTAGACATTGTACTAACTTTAAATAAAAAAAGAAGAAAGATCTTTGCAGATTCTACTGACTATTACACAACAACTTCCGCACAAAGTGACAACAATATATTGTTAACTACTCACGATTTCTTTTTGTTGCTGAAGAATTTTTACAGAACGGCAAGAAAGCTAACATCAATTTTCCATTTTTTTTTGATAACATCATTATCACGTTGCACACATGGTTTCAAAGTTGCTTTACTGAAGCTTTGTAAGAGATCAATTTGATGTTTATCTGACCATAATCAAGCATTTGCTCTTTTAAATTATGAAAATTTTCATCATCGGAAAAGCCTTAATGAAGACAAGCATGAAGCATTCGTTTAGCTTACACAACACACACGAATCGTGCTACACACATTTTTATAAAAAACTATTAAATTTTCTTGAGCTTCAGTATTCTTAAAAATTTTATTCTGAGCTTAAAATTAATTAATTTTTCTACATCAAGGACACTTTGAGGGAAGAAACAAGAAAAGAAACGTAACAGCTTGGCCTCATAGCAATGTCCTCAAAGTTTTTGCGTCAATTCAGGCTTACCTTGTTTGCTCAAATGTACATAGATAGAAAGTCTACGTGTATTTAATATTCAAGGCTGGTTATACTTTTTTATCAATTCTTGAATCAATTTTATCAATATCAGGCCTTGATACTTTTTTAAATTCACTTTTGCAAACAATTTCTAGTGTCCCAGAGCCCGGTCGTTATGCCATCATCTAGCAGTTTTAGAATCCATCTAATAAAATTGAAAAACTGCTATTTTGTAGACAGGAGGGGTTCATTTCACCCTTGCACAACATTGGTAGAATTCTCTATAGGCAATCGATGCTGATAGTATAAAGGCAGCTGATAAACATATCTTCCTAAAACAAAAATAGTAAAAAACAGTTCAAAAAAAGAACTAAGGCTCGTATCTCTAAGACTCACGCGTTCTTCCTTCTATTTTAATAAAACCCTATTCTGCGATAGAGGTCTTAACAGAAGGAACAGATCTGTAAACAGGGGCGTGTCACAAGGGACATCCCGCATGGCAACACGCCAGTTTGCGAAAGTTGTTTGGGTGAAACAACCTGCGTTCAATGGGAAAACCAATATGGAATAAAACAGTGTTTTGTATCCGTGCTCATCGTGCGAACCTTTTGCATTTTTGGATGTTTTATGAAAGGAAACGAATAATAAAGGTTCTTTCTTCAGCATTATTACCATATTTCTTTGGATAAAGGATGGCGATACGAAAAAACAAAGTCCACTTTACGGCTAGGATTCCGCAACTCGCAGGGAGCTGTTAATAGAAATGGGCCGAAATGAAACCAAAAACCTACCTTAACGGTAAATAGTATAAGCGAGAAACATTATTAAAGTTTGCTGGACAAATTTTAAGCAATCATTTTGTTGTAGAATGTTTAATTCCATCTGAATTCACCAAGACAAACGGAATATCTTCGCCATGATTCAATGAAGCTTCATTCCCTTAGCCTAGACCAAATTAACATACATTTATCGCAATAAAAACAAATACAAAAAGAATTGATCATTGTTGAGATGGAGGCAAAAATATACGAAATTATCGAGTTGCCTTTGATTATATACGAACTTCGAAACTTCACGGATAAACATGTTCTTAACAGCTTCTGACTAAGGCATTCCTTTTTTAAAACAGTGAGCTCTGCAATTAGGCTACCGCTTGAAACTTTTCCTCCCAACAATTGATCCAATTCTTCCGCTAATTCTTCATTGATTTCATCCCAAGGTGGTGGCAAAACTGTAAATGGTTTAACTTTCTCCAAAATGCTTCTCTAGTTTTCCTTACAATCTGTAATGATCTGGTCAAGAACAGAAAACGTTTCTTTTGCGTAATACCCCTCAAGGGAGAGCACTGCTTCATTGTCTCTGTTTTTGTCAAGTGTTCTTGAAATTAATCTTCTTCAGTGATGTTGCTGAAATTCCTCTTCTGGATCAATTCCAAACTGTTTCGCAATTGCTACAGCAGCTTCAATTTCTTTTTTTCACATCATCTTCGTTTCTTATTTTCTCTAAAGCCTTTGTCGTGGAAGACACTAAACCGAGAGCATCTAGTAAATTCAGACCCTCCTCCTGAAGTTGCACAAACTGTACCTTGCAAGGACGCATTACAAATCGCATGGTTGCCAAACTGAATATAAAATTAAATGTCTTCATTTTCTTCAAAATTGCTCTAGCTTGATCTTGTGTGTTTTTGTCGCAATCAAGTTCTGCATTAGCTATCTTCTGGAGCAACTGGAGTATTATCTCGAGCGAGATCCAAACGCTGTCAATAGACTCTGACCTAGCAATCCAACGAGTTTTGTCTTGTTCTTTCTCAAGTGTTTCCGATCGTTTTGTACTGCTTGTAAAAAACTTGTACAACCTTTGTAGGATGTCAAACATAGATGAAAGAAGTTTGCTGGCTTTCGAGCTTCTTTCTACAAATGTATTCAACCTGTGAGCCTGACATGGTATATAAAGGACTTCCTTTTTTATGGAAAATCTTCTCCTATTATGTTGCTTAAGATTTGCTGGCACCCTTTATACTTTCCAGACATGCATACTGCAAAATGGTATGACTGGAAATACAGCTTTTGAAGGTCGACACCGTATTCATTAAGGGCTTTCAAAATTTGTGTTGTGTGTCCCTTTCCCGACTTGTCTTCAAGCATACGTAGACACAGCAAGCGCTCGACAGGTTTGTCATCGATGACATATCTCACAATAATGGACAACTGATCCTTATTGCTAGAATCTGGGGTAGTGTCCGCCATTACTGAAAATGCTGGTGCTTCATCTAGCTCATGAATTATACAATGTCGTACTGCATCGCCCAACAGCTTTATTAACTCGTTTTGGGTACTTTTGCCTATATAGGTAACATGGTATGGTCGCAATCTTGTTTGACTCTGCCAGTATTCTAAAATGCTACAATGTCGTCTGATTAACTGCAAAATCTCGTAGAAGTTGCTGGTCTCATCAGCATCTCCAGGGAAGGCGAGATCCTGTACAGTCAAGATACGGACAACATCACAAAAAATCAACATTATTTTGGTGTTAAGCTTCCATCTTCAGCTTCCTTAACAATTTCTTGCCTGCCATTAGAATCCAAAGGTTATCAATGTTTTGATTTGGGTTCATGTATCTTGCAAAATCACGTAATGCCTCCTCTCTGTGACTTATGCTTGTAAAATACTGCATTAGCTTTCCTTTCTTCCCTTTACCAATACTCTTCATTTTGTGCCATTGCCTAACTCCGTTAATAGTCCATGATGCTTCTGCAGATGGTCTCCCGGCACCTTTCGGAAACAAGCAACACACATGGGAATAAACTGCATCATTTTTTATGCTATATTCTAGATATGGGAAATCACTGAACCTGCTGCTTGAAAATATATTTTGCTTGCTAGCTTTAATGTCTGTATTACCTGGATAAACTTTCAAGCGTGGCTGGTAGGGACCCAAATTTATTAGAAATTGGCGTTGGTTTTCAGACAAATTTCCATTTAGATTTCCAGGATCGTGTTCAATTAAAGCTGAGGGTTCCCCTGGTTGTACTCTTTCCTTCTGCCTGTCTATTTTAACTAAAAGCCGTTCTGCCGATTTTTTTAAATCATTGCACTGGACTCCCACATCATCTGCAAACTTCTTCGCTGATATCGCAAACTCTTTAATATTCGGGATACATGGTTGTGTCAATTCCTCTATTATTGATTCTCCTCTTTCCAGTGTGGATTGAAGGTGCTTCAACTTGCCTGTGCAAATGACCCGGTAATCATCATCGTTGCCTTCGCTTTCAGAATATTCCGATTCACTGTCCCCCTAATCTTCATTTTCTCCCGTAACATTAGTTGCTATGTTTTCTATCTGAAAAGATACACTTTCGTCAGCACTGCTGTTTGATGGTTTTTGATGTGGAGATAAACAAGGTAAATCTTTTGTGATGCGACAATCATTATCTTTCCTGTGTTTAGCTACTTCAAATGGATTTGAAACGGCATCCGCTGCTCAAAAGGTACATTTCTGCCCTCATGTTTTTCTCTATTGTGCTAGAGGCGGTAATCACTGTTGAATTGAGAACCACAACCTTTCGCCTTGCACTGTATCTTTATATGCCTCCTTTTCATAGCAACAAAACAACCTGGTAAAGAATGATCAAGCCATAAATCCCAAAACAAGCTCCCGCTCAAATTTGTCTCTCACCAAATTAGTCCCCCCCCCCCCACTAGATATCTACATTACTAGTAAAAGCCCCCACCCAAAATGGCACAGAGCATTATTTTTGAAAAATGAATTAGTTTTATCAATGGTATTGTCATGGCGACTTTTATGAGGCAGAAATTGATATTTTCATTATTTGAATAAGCCTTCTTAAAATTGGCTTCTCAAAATTGTATATCCTTCCAGGGAGCTACACTCTTTGTTTATAAGAACCTGTAAATTAAGTTCAGGCTGACTGTTCTTAATTTTTTCGAAAATCTGAGGCTGGATTGTTCTTAATTTGTTCTTAAATTAAAAGGATGTAAGCGTGCTATTGCTAGCTTTTTCGCTCTAAGGAGGTGTTCAGGCCTCATTTGCCAAAAAAGTGAGTGAGACAGCCTTAATATGCTGACAAATTTGAATATTCACCAAAAAGCACCCATATATCGCTAAAAATCCTCGATTTTGAAGAAAAAACGTTGTTCAAAATTGCATTTTGCAGAAGCTCAGCCTCAGCTTGTTCTTAATTTGATCTTAACTTTTGACCTGTTTTGAGGCTCGTGTTCTTATAAAATTGTTCATATATAAAAAAGAGTGTACACCCTTTCTTCTAAGAAAATTTCATAAGAACACGATCCTCAAAATTAGTCAAAAGTTAAGACCACATTAAGAACAATCTGAGGCCGAAGTACAGTAAAACTGTAAGGTAATTTTGAACAAAGTTGAAAAAACCCTTAAAATTTCCATCTCATAAACGAGGCGTCTTTTACCATGTAAAGGTGTTTTTGCGTGAATAAAGAAAAGGCCACGATAGCAGGCTGATCGACGGAATCAAATGGGATTCTTGCGGCGAAAAAACGATAAAATGTTGTGAATAAGTAACACCGCAACACGACGAGAATGAGCAGCAACAAACACACGTAAATCAGTCCTAATAATGATAGGATCCGTCGTACATTTTAGCAAGAAACAAAGCTGAAAGCCAGAAGTAAACTTTTCTAGTTACCTGAATTTCCGCCATATAATTCTCAGGTTCGTATAATGATTTCTCCCAATCAGTGTATCCTTCCTTGTCTGTAGCAGAATTTGTTTATGCAAAATCCAGCGCAGCGGTATTGCTGCTTTCCGGATATAACACTGTTTGTATATATCAATCCGGGTTCCGGGTATACAATGCAGTGTTAATAAATCAACCGATTGAAGGTGTCAAGGCTGGTTTCCATATAACCGTAACTGCCGTTAGACTGCCGCCGGCACCTAGCTTCCATCCACAGCTGCCATGTTTACGGTACCGCCGGCAGTGAAAAGTTTAATGGAAACACTTTCCAGCTGCCATGTCGGCGGCACCGTAAGGGCCCGTAAGAGCTAGTTTCCATATAACCGTAACTGCCGTGAAGCTTGCGTTCCCATGCACCTTGATCTAAGATGGCTGATTTCTTTTGCACTGCCAGCTGGTTTTACCCATGTACAACTATACGAGACTAAGACGAAAAAGATCAAATGCTCATAGTCTTCTTTTATTTCAGGCAAGTCGCTCCTTCCTTCGCCGGAGCGAGTGCATTTAATTCGTTTAACGTATTTTGAAAAGTTCGTTCTGATGCTTTTGTACCGTGTATGGGCCTCTTCAACACCGATTCCCAATGTTTTACTTATTTCTATCCAGGCATTCCTCTTTTGTTTGGGAATTTTGTAGCTTTTGCTGGACTTGTCATTTGGACTTGGGTTCGCTGCAAGTCGCCATGTTTAATTTGATGTGTTTGTGAGTAAACAATGGCGCCAACAAGTAGCAATTTTGATTGGGAGAGACAATATCACATGACGTTAGAAAATCATTAAATGATCGCCGGTACCGCTAGCAAGTGTTTCCATTAAACTTTTCACTGCCGGCTGTACCGTAAAGCTACCGCAACTGCCGGCAAAAGTTGAACATTGCTCAACTTTCTAGCGGCAGTTACGGTACCGCCGGCATGGCAGCTGGAAAGTGTTTCCATTAAACTTTTCACAGCCGGCGGTACCGTAAACATGGCAGCTGTGGATGGAAGCTAGATGCCGGCGGCAGTCTAACGGCAGTTACGGTTATATGGAAACCAGCCTTCAGATCAGGAGTGGTGGCATGGGGAGGCAAGGGGGGGCTTTAGTCCCCCCTAAATTTTTGTTAGCCCCCCCGTCGGCAGGCAATCAATTTTTGCTTTCTCTATACCGTCGGCACTTGATGGATGTCACCCGGTTTACATGTTGTTTGAATGACATAAATAATCGAGGAGAAAACTGCACTGGCTGGTTTATGGTTTTCTTAATGGCTTTTCTTCGGCAGTTTTACTATCATAGTGTCATTATATCCTGTCGCTTCCGTGAAAGCTGTGACTTAATTTCATGGTGCTCCTTCGCATGACCCACAATACCATCGTGCTCCTCTCGGTTATAAATAAAGTCTTTAATGAATTTTCTTCTTAAGGGATTCTCTTTTCGTTTCAAGACATTATTATTGCCAATGAAAACATTTCGATCATGAGCACATTTTGCGTAATAAATTTTTCAAAAAGCACTTCTTGTCCTATTTCATCAACTATTTTTCAATAGCATTGTTCACCGCATAGCTTGCGACAAACAAATGGTTTAGAGAAAACCATCGATTAATTTCTTCCAACATAGATAGGAAGAAATATTCAACAATAGGCAATATTTGCGCATTAAGTTTCTTACAAGGCACAAATTACCGAGAAAATCTCGTGGACTCCGACACAGGTTGGAAAGTGGGGACGGGGAGGGGGCAAGGGAGAATTTTGCACCCACAACAAACGATTTTGGAAAAATGCTCTATTTTTAAAATTTTTAAAATTTTTAAAATTAAAATTGTGCCTCGTGTCCATTTCTCCTAAAGTTTCTCAGTAGAAGCATCAACTGCAATTCACTATGAGCTCCAGATTTTTCTTAACATTCATAAGGCATGCTAAGATGGAGAGAGGGATCTAAATTTAAAAGTAACTGACAACCTGGTATTTTTCGAGAACACGGCGAAATTGTTGATTTTATCTGCTGTAAAAAGTTTTGCAAAAAGACAATAATTTTCAATAGGATTAGGAGGATTGCTTTAGTGAAATCTGCCTAAAAGAGTGTATTTTCCAGGGAACTAGAAGCATCACAATTCGAAAATTTCCTGTCCCTTCGGCGGCAACCATGGTGCCGCCTCAGGTAGTAACTATATATTTTGCCCGTCCCGATATAGAGATTTGACAAGACTATTAGAAAATTTGGTCATTATCATACAGAGTTAGATTGACAAAATGTATTGCAGAGGTTTGTGACACCAGCTAAAAAGTTTCAGGCAATAATTTTTTAATCAGGTAAATTTGCATTACACAGCCCCCCCCCCCCCAACGAGGCTTGCCTCGCGACGGCCCTGCCTACTAAATGGGGCAAATCGAATTTTTTTCCTGTCGGCAATTTGACACATCCAGCGTCGGCAGTTACGGAGAATATAAACTTCGGCACCACGAAGGTTTGTCTCTAGCGCCACCCCTGTGTCAGATATGATGTGGTAATGAACAATACAACAGAAAAATTGAACCGCAGAAATTTTTAATAGGGGTAGGTTCTATCTACCCACTAAATCTAGATTCTAGATTTCTTTCCGACAAAAAAACAGTGCCTCTGTGAAAATTTTTTCAACCCCCACCCTTTCTCAATACCCTTTGTTTGTTTTGGATGCCACAGCAAAGTTTTCCCCTTTTGTTTTGCTCGCAATTTGTTGTTTTGCCTCTGTAGACACCAGAGCATAGATTTTCCGTGCCATCAAAGACTGCAATTTAAAGCAAAGGTAGTTAATTCTCCTGGAAAATTAACAATAACTCCTGGTTTTATCTCAAATGTTTAATAATCTGCTAGAATGCTGCGAAGGTCGTGAGTATGAGACATCTGCAGTCGCCATTTCGAATTCAATGTTTTGCAGTTTCACGATAGAACAGAAACTATAGGTAGTCAATCAACTACGGGCAATTGTACAGCTCTCTTACGAATATGGAATCATTTCCGAGTTCCAGATGCTGTTTTGACTGAGTTCCATCCGTGTTCCAAACAAAAAGTTTATTGTTTCAATTCATTCACTTACGAGGCACAAAATGTTTATTTCCGAGATCTGGGATTGACTGCTGTTGTCCTCCACAGCGTCTGGAAAATCGTTTCCAAATCACGACAGAGAAGAAACTGGCAATTTTACGATTTTGAAGAGACGGTGATAAAACTTAGAATTTTTAGCTTTCAATTTTTAATTTAAATATTACTTGTTTCAGGCAACACTATTTTTAGCTGTATATTGAAAATCTGACTGAGTTCTGTGCACCAAGGAACTCACTCTGAATCCGCCTCTGGACTGTAGCAGGCTGCTCGAGGGGCAGTTCTTGCGGCGAAAAGTCGATAAAAATGTAGCAAATATGAAACACCGCAATACGCCGAGAATAAACAACAATAAAAACACGTAAATCAGTAAAGGCTTTTTGAGGCGTATTGAGGTGTTTCATATTTGCTACATCATGACATGGCCGTATTTTTTAGAACACATCACAGATCTGCGTAATCATGCAAGAAGAATCACTAGTTTTTTGATCGGTCGTGATGGTATGATATATATATATTTGTTAGAAGAAAAGCTTTGAAAACGCTGCTCTGCTATTTGATGTTGAAGATCTCCGTTGGGACACTTCATTGGTTCTGACCAAAACAGATTAAAGAGGCTGTGGGCCAATCTTGCTCATTTACAGCATTTAATGGAGAGTGAATCTACCGCATGCAGCAATCGAAGTAAAATTGACTTGGCAACCAGTCGATTTGCTTTGAAGAGACATTTGGTTTTGCATGGTAGAAGATAGCTATTTACCAATTTGGCTTGAATGTAATGTAAGGAATTATTTCTGGGGACAAGATCTGGTGGATTCGATAACGAAAAGCATGACTTTCAGAGTAGCGATAAGAAATGGAAACCGAAAAGTAAAAAAGACGCTTTGCCTTCAAGCCGTAGAAAATGATCTCTGCTTACAAACGCAAGTTTACAGACAGTGAAAATCGCTAAAGACTAGTGAAACACTTATCATTGATTCGGACAAGGCTGCCCAACTGAGTAGACTATTTTATTTAGCAATGTGAGGCAGCAGACCTAGGTCTGTGTCTTGTACTTTTCATCAATTCTTTTCATCATGAAAGTGATGGCTTTGCTATAAACACGTCATCTAAGTTTGTTGTTTGGAATTTGAAATTCTAATGTTTAAAAAATGAATTTTTAACGCCAATTACTACATAAGAGAAGAGTTATCAACAACCAGCGTGTGTTTTGATAAAAATTCATCCTCCAGTTTTTGAAGTGTTTCCATCCTCACGCCGGGCGACTATTTCTGACAAAATAATAAGAAACTTTGAATTTGCACACATTTCTTTTCGCTGCTTGAACGTGTAAACTGTCCCGGCAAACTACTTACCCTGGGTACTACCCTGGGTACCAGAGCCGCAAAAATTAAAAAATAATATTAAAAAATAATAACCCTCATTATTTTTTAATATTATTTTTTAATTTTTGCGGCTCTGGTACCCAGGGTAATTTACACTGTGCCGGATAAATTTTATCCGCCTCAAAATTAGTTTAGATAGGCGTCGCGTTTACACTAGACCTACGCTATCTGCACAAATTTGAGAGCGACTATCCGAACAAAATTAGTTCACCTAGGAAAGTGGATTAAATTAGTTCGGATAGCTATGTGGTACAGTGTAAACGGTTTTATCCGGATAAATTTTATCCACATTGTATCTTGCTCGAAAGCGATTGGCTATTTCTTCCTATTTAGTTTTCACTGTCTCCCAATCAAGATCATTCGCCATCTTGGCTGCCATGTTGTCGATAAATACTCGTGTTAAAAGTGCAGTATCTTTGTCAGTCCACGTAAAATTGGCATACTTGTCAGCTTTCCCTACTTTCGTTGCAAGTTCAGGGCCATTTTGTTTCAAGAACAAACTATTAAAACAAACTTGGCCTAATTTGTATTGCAGGGCATTTTTTTAAGAATTTTCCACTGGTGGGGCATTTGAGAAAAGGGCAAAAAGATAAAGGCAGAATTTACAGAAAAACAGGCTTTCAAAAATATTCTAGAGGAATCGCCTATAGAAGCAGCAGTTCCAGGGAAAAATGAATTGAGATTTGAAACTTGTTCAATGAAGATTTCATCCACCAATATCTCAAATAAAGTAAAAAGTAAAAAAGTCACCGAATCATAAGGGCACTTAAGTGGTGGGGCAAACATGTTTCACCGGTGGGGCAATGAAAGGGGCTGGTGGGGAATTTCCCCACTTCTTTATATGTTATAAAATGCCCTGTTGTATTGACAATATCTTTGGATTTGGTCTAAAAGAGAAGCAGATGATTCTGAAGAGAGAATGAAGTCTTTTTACGTTGGCGGGAATTTTGTTATTATTTTGTTGCCCAGAGAAGACTTCATTTTTGGCGTTCTGTGCATGATTTAAGTCATGTGACTGCAGTGGTCCGGCACAGTGTAAACGGGAGGGCTAAGTGGACAAAATTTGTGCGGCACATTGTAAACGCAAATCAATCCGAACAAGTTTTATGTGGATAAATTTTATCCGGCACAGTGTAAACGGGGTCTAAGCTCTGTTCACGCTGTTGTTCACGTTTGTCTTGTAAATGCCGCATAACTTTTTGCATAATTAATTTTTCCAGAGATCCTGGGAAACGCTCGTACGCGATTTTGCTCTCGGTTACACCGACCCTCTACTTTCGAGTTAGGATGTTGGCAAATTTTTACAGTAATTTGCTGCCAAAGTTTTGCCATCAAGGTGATTTGTCGGCAAATGTTCAAAATTGACTCGCACACAAAAAAATTAGGCTCGACCACTTCGTTGGTAAACAGGACTTGAGAAGAATAGTTAGCAATAAAATAATATGAAATGAAATCTAAAACGAAACAAGAGCCTGAAATAAGCACTGATCTAATCTAAAAAAAGACTTTTTTGAGATCAATGAGTGGAAATAAAGCCTTTAATTTAGCGCATGCGCTGACGAGCGGCAGCATGGCTCTGACAACAACACAAGTGGCCTGACCTTCGACACTTATGGTTCATCATGGAGAGTGCAAAGAATGGCGAAGAAACGGGGAAAGGACGGCTCATAATGTTGCCAGTTGATGGTTCTTCTACATGTGAAAGGGCTTTCCAGTGGTACTTAGATCACCTTCGACGGAAAAGTGACCGTCTTGCAATCGTCAACATCATTGAACCACCAGTAGTCCCAGATTCGTTCATTTTGATGGGACCAAGCATGATCTCTGAAGGTTGGAAACGGGAAGTAGAAAAGAGTGTTGTAAAATCAAAAGAAACTGCTGCAAGGTTTGAAGAACGGTGCAAGAAGGAGAATGTTCCCTGCAGGGTGCTCACAGAAACTTCAGATGCAGGGCCTGGACAGCGAATTTGCGAACTGGCAAAGGAGGTGAACGCCAGCGCTATCGTCGTTGGGTCAAGGGGACAAAACTTGATACGAAGGACGTTGCTTGGTAGTGTTGCATCATACGTTGTTGATCATGCCGATATTCCAGTTGTGGTGACGCCTAAAGTTAATCAGAATACCACAAGATGACCCTTGATGCATTGACAAAAATGCCCATGCTTGATGCACAATAATGCACGCAAAAAATTTCAGCGCACAATACAGTATTCAATACAGGTCAACCATGCAAAGAGAACTTATTTTTTTAAATATTCAAACATCTCAAGCGATAATCGCTTGTGCACGAAATCTTTTTATAAGCTTTTTATCAACATCCACAGATATGTTCATAATAATGGAACCCAATGTAGCCTAATCTAGTGTTCTGTTTAGGCCCTGCACCAAAAATTTCTCAAAACTGTTACAGAAAAATACGCCCCAGCACCGTTGCCCATTTAGAAACTAACAAGAAGGTTCAGTACAACTTTAAGCACAACATCTCTGGCTCTGTTATCAACCTCTCTTATTTCAATTTCACTATTTTAACTCTTAATTTTTGTGTACTTATGGGTAGTTTAGTCCTTTGTACTTTCAAGGTCCAAATTTGGCCATACTTTTGCAAGTAAAATTTGCTCCAACATATAATAAAATCATCATCTAATCTAGCCTTATTCCCTACGTCAAATTAGCCAAATTTTATTGATAGGATTTATCTATGATACTACACAGCTCAGTAATGCCCAACAAATACTGTTTCTAGCTTTTAATGAGCGGTTGATACTCCAGTTCATCTTGCCATGCTGTCTTTTAGGGTACCTGAAAGTTTTTTATCTCTCTAGTTTACCAAGAAACTTACAGCTGAAAGGAATAACAACAATCAAGGAATTTACAACCACATCAACTAATACTAGTAATAGGATTTAGATAATAAATTCTTTAACATTTAATCAAGGATTAATTTTAATGAGAATTGATTCAAAAGTCAACCTTGCTTTTTTCTTGCCAAAATTATTTGAATAACATAACAACCTTGAACGAAATATTAATAGATGCCTCACTTGGTCACAGGTCATTTTGGACCTGCTTATTTTCAACTGCACCCTTTCTCAGTTATTGAAGTCAAAAGACAAAGTCTGTATGTCTAATTTGCCTTTCACCTGGGGGGTTGATGTGCCTGCAAACAGGGTGTCGTTTTTTGGTGAAAACTCTGGGACAGGATTATACATTTTCTCTCTTTTTTCCTGCCACAGGTGATTGAATATTTTTTGGTATACAAAGATATCTAATATAGTATACAAAGATTGTCAGAAAATTTGTCCCTTTTGCCCCCATTAAAATTTGATTGCCATTCTGCCCCTGTAGCTATTTGTTGGTTGGTATGGCAGTATGTTGATATATCATCATGCAGTTTTAACTGAATATTTTCTGACAATAAACAAAAATTTTGTGTTGCTTAATAAAAACTTCTAAGGTCCCTCCAGCCAAAATTCTTTCATTGTCTAAAGTAGATATCTTGGGCGTGTAAAATTACAAAATTTTTGCAACATTCCAATTAGTTATGAATCAAAAAGGCATTGAAGTTGCACCTTTCTGAGATGAATCTGACACAAACCTGGTTAGGAATTGCTGGTTTGTTGAATCACAATGCTTGACCTCATCTTAGCTGTGATTTTCCTATGACTTCCAACAAAATATAGAGTTAAACACTATATTTTGTCGAGTTAGACTTAGAAAATTAGAGTTAAACAGGGCTTTACAATTATATTTGATATGCCTTGCAAATTTAGTAGAAAAAAAATGCTTTTAAATGCACTGCTATAGTTTTGACGCGTTTTCTTTAATTCTAATGTTCAATTGTTGCTTTATTTCTATTTACCAATGCCTTGGATTCTTCTTAGGGTTTTGGAATTTTTCTCGCAATTATAGCTCCATGAATTGTTCAATTCATTTAGCAGGTGATCAAATATATTTTGTATTTTTGTAAAATATGACATTTGTAATGCATCAAAAATATGTCTGATATTTCAAATCATTTTATTTGAGTTGTGCAAGGATTTCTATGTTGTTTATTGTTTATTGTTTTATTTGGGTCTAAATAAATGTCAATTTACACTGCAACTTTGATATTTCATTTAAAACATATTTTAATTTTTATGGAATTGAAGTAGTGTCTATTTCAAATATTTATTTCCTATTTGTTTTATTCATGTTTGTTGTATTGCAAATGTTGTTTGTGAATTGCTTACACTTGTGAGTTGCCAGCTTTATTCAAAAATTGCCAGCAGGAGCTTCATAGACATATTTATACTTCGTGACAGGGGGCCAGCATGCAAATTGGTAACAGGCAGGGGGGCATAATGATTTTTATGCAGGTCCGTGGGTAGTGTAGACAAAAGGAGAGTGATCTTAGCACAGTGATCGTATTCAAAAAATACCAGATAATCTATTGAACAGGGAATTCTTGATGCATGGCGTGGTATATGAAAATATCTAAATCTTTCTTTTTTGCAAATGTTTTTATTCAAAACTAAAATTAACAAGCTTGATGTTCCCTCCCTCTCTTCCTAACCCCTTCCCCTCTTCCTAACCCTTCTTCTCCTCCTAACCCCTCCCTCTATTTCTAACCCCTAACCTTTTCCCATGCCTTTCCTTAGCGTCACCAACTAAAAAATTGTCAAAAATTGTTAGACATGCGGTAAAAGCATATGACAAGAAAATCGAATATAACAGTGTTTCCATGATGTGAAGCGTAAAAGAGGCTAAAGAAAATCCTGTTTTGACAGTAACAACTCATTGTCAATGGATAATGAAAGAGTCAAACTTCATGTAGACTGTCGGGGGATTTTTTGAGAAGACTGGTTTACTGTTCTTTTCGGAAATTTATCGAAATAAAAATGGGTTGGATGATAATGTGGTTACGCGAAATGTTTCGAGATAATGCCAGAATTGAGTCAGTGGCAAACTTCCGTTGCATATTTGGAGGGGGTCGTGAAAGAGTAAAGGGGTCTTTCTCTCGTGGCCGCACCCTTATATAAGACTTCGGCAACGCAAAATCTTAGCACCGTGAGCGAAGGATTGTAGAAGGCTTGTATTCAGTTCGTCAAGGTGCATCTAAGGAATCAAAATAGACCGCATAAATGTATGTGAATTATTCAAAGAACTGCAACCGCAATTGTACACGCATCTATCCGAAAGCTGGAGGCGTAAAATGAAGCAGCAAGAGATATACTGAGAGCTTACAAAGGAGAAGCAACAAATTATAAATGATAAACCTTTGTACTTTGCGTGGTTTTTGGCTCAAATCTGCAGCAACCAAGTTCGACAGCACCTAGAACTTCCACATGTGGTCTGTCAGAAAAACACGATTCATTGCGGATGGCGGAAAATTAAGACAACAATGGAGCTTTCAATTCAAACGTAGAGATGTACAATGTAATACATTGAAGAGGGTAGCTTTTTTTAAAAATAGCCACAACAATCCAGGGCGCAGTATCTGAGGGTAGTCGAGCCTAAAAAACCAAATTTGTACTTAACCTGGACTGGAACATCGCATAAGATGAGGATTTAACCTGGACTGGAACAGGGCATAAGTTGAGGACTTAACCAGTGGCGTCGCTTGACCTTCTAGACCAGGGGGTGGAGGGTCATCAAAAAAATTACCAACGAAGACGTAGATGGAGAAGAATTTAGATGCTATTTCATCTACTGATAGATGATTTTACTGACAAAGTAAGGATTTTATAGACAAACTGATGATTTACCAACGGATTAATAAGATATTGGGGGTGTAATACCCCCTAAACCCCCTAGCTATGCCCCCTTGACTTAACCTTGACTGGATCATAGCATAAGATGAGGATTTAACCTGAACTAGAACATGGCACCCCGGTCTAAGAATAGAACTCTGGGGTGAGATATGATTTGGGTCGAGGGGCAATTCACTCTTGCAAAAAGCGTACGAGATTTTCTTTGAGTGATTTGCCCCTCGACTTGGGTCTATATCAAAATTTTTTCAGTGTGTCAAGCTGCTGTTATTTTGTGAGTTTAAACTTTTTATGACCTGGCGGTCTCCGTTTATGGCCAATGATACATTTAGGGGTCTGGATCAGCGTACCCCAGTCTAATGTGAGAGGTGCTTCTATTTATATTATTGAGATGGTAGAGCAAGGAAACACACTCTTTACATTTTCATATCTTGATAATCATTCAAGATTTATAACTTAACTGAACGAGGATACGAAGATAACTGAACTACGCTTTACAAAGCTTCGGATTAAATAGTACATGTCACGTGATTATAAAAGGTCATGTGATCTGGGGAGCGTCCTACTACATCCTCCCCCTTCTTATTTAAAAAAATACAGCATACGTATTTTTTTTTTACAATTTTTTTTTTTTTTTGCGTTAACGTTAATTAAGAAAAACATACTGAAAGCGACAATATCCATGTTAACGACGTAAACGAGAAAATTTGTCTACATCCAATGAGAGAACATAGATGCCCCCGTGTGGAGCACCTTCTAAATGTAGAAACTGACATGACTTAACAAGACCACGGAGTCGCCCATGTTTAGCTAGGATTTCTCTACTAGGTGGGAACGACTCGTAAAGAAATTTACATGCTTCTGATGCTACAGCGGACTTGGAGGGTTTACACTCTAAAAACGTTCCTAATCGAAATGCCACATCGGCTAAGTCCTTATTTGGGGAAGCAGGGTGTACTGGAGTGACACTTTCCTGTGACGAGTCTACGTGCTCGACTGTAGCTAAAGGAGAAATATCAGACGGTGTTGTGTCGGGTACGACCACAATCTTTTCTACATTAACTGGATGTGACCAGTCTTGTCCTGAGGTGGCATGGCGCAAATTTAAAAGATCCTGGCGACCATGTGGATGGCCTGTGACGATGAAAGGACCATCGAAGTTGCGCAGAAAGCGAGATTTTTGGCCGCTTTTGGAGGGAGCGGACTCCTTGCGCATGTAAACGAGTTTGCCATCTGGCACGTGTAAATCGCGCGAAGCGATGTCGTACAATTCGCGTTGGCGGCGGCGCAAGTCTGCTTTTATGGCGCGAAATTGTTCATGTGCTTGTTGCATTCTGGCTACAAGATGATGTGCATAATGATCAGCAGGCAAAGACTGAAGTGGAAGATCCAAAGATATGGTTTCAGGCGAGGGAGCATGGCGTCCAAAGACTAGAAAGAATGGTGTGATGTCAGATGTACCTGAAATAGGCGCAGTATTATGTGCATAAACTGCAGGCTGCAAGAAATCTTCCCAGCGATCCTGATTCTTTTCGCAAAAAATTCCGATAGCGCTGTTAAGAAATCGATGTACACGTTCTGTAGCGCCGTTCATGCGCGGACGAAAACCTGAAGTGTATACTTGACGAATAGAAAGCAAAGATGTTAACCTATGCATAACTGCATTAAGAAATTCACCACCGCGATCGCTTTGTAAAACTGATGGAAATCCTAGTTGAAGCAGTACCTGATCTAACAATGCGCGTGCAGCTGTTGTTGCTGTTTTGTCCGGGACAGGTATAGCGCGAAGGAAGTTAGAAAACGGGCACACAGCTGTAAGAATCCATTTATTTCCCGATGGTGAAGTTGGGAGTTCACCTACATAGTCCACGCCCAGGGTGTGGAAGGGATGTTCAAAAAGTCTTATCTGCATAGGACCGTGTGGCTGATTAAGCGTTTTAAATTTGATGCAATCTGGGCATCGGCGGATCCAATTGCGGACATGCTTGGACATATTGCGCCAATAAAAGTCGCGGGAAAGGCAATTATAAGTTGCATCTCTACCACGATGCATTCCTATAGGACTGTTATGATATGCATATAGCAGATGGCGCTGAATGCTGGTATCCGATGGAACAAAAATGCGTAAATGATCAGGTTCAGCCATAAATTCATCTGAATAATAAAGAAGACCATCAATAACTTTAGCACGGTTAGCTACGGTCATCACCCAACGTTTAGTCTGTTTATCAAGGCTGCTGATACAATCAGGAGAACTGTTATGGACAAGAAAGAGTATAAGGGGTCCTAAGTATTTATCCTGTCGTTGTAGTTTAGCAAAATCAATCCTGTTGAGGTTCAGTGGATTGAGAAATTTTAAGTCATTGGTCCACTCTGTTGTAGATGGCTGAGCAGTAGTGACTGTAAGATACGTATGTGTATTGTTGTTGGGTTTTACGTTTGTGGAAACTTTATGGTGAGATGTAACTTGTGAATCGTTTGTAGAAAGAGCTGCATTGCAGGCCAGTGATAAGCAATTCAGGTTATCGTTGCAGTTTGTCTCTAGATATGGGATGTCAAGAGAAAGTTCTGTAAGAAAAAAATCAACTGTTTCTGCTGGAGGAATGAACAACATATCTGCAGCTACCGAGGGTAGGGGTAAAGGAGCACGACTTAAAGTATCTGGAACAACGTTACCTTTACCGGGGCGGTGTTCAATCGTGAAATCGAATTCTGCCAAAGATAAACACCAACGTGCCAACTTCGAATTTTGTGGCGCAATTGAAGAGAGAAATTTCAAGTTAGCATGGTCTGTAATGACTTTGAATTTGCTACCCATTAGATAGGGGCGAAAATGCTCTAAAGCCCATTTGACGGCAAAAAGCTCTTGATGAGCAGTAGGCCATCGAGATTCTGTAGGGGTAAATGACCTAGAGGCATAGCGAACGGGTCTAAGCTTGTCATTTTTGTGCTGAGCGAGCATAGCACCACACCCAAATTTGCTGGCATCGGTATGTACTTCAAAACTTTTGTCGAAATCAGGATGAACAAGCATAATATCAGGAGAGATAAGCGCATTTTTAAGATTTTGGAATTCTGCCTCGTGTGGAGGTGTCCATGAAAAGGAGGCTTTCTTAGACAATAATGTACGCAAATGTTGTGTCTTAGTNGGGGGGGGGGGGGGGGGGGGGGGGGTCGCACTCTCATATTGGATCACACCATGATGTGCAGTTGAAGTGGCTGGGTTTTTAAAGAGATAAACCTGTGATTGGGTCGTTTCATCATAAAATCTAAGTGGGGTAGGGAATATTTAATTTTGGGAATATTTGGTCTATGGATGGATCTGCCTTTCCAGAGGTGCGGCAATGCAACCAAATACAAACATAACACAAGCGCCCCCCTCCGGGTTAATTTAGTGGTTCCCATTGAATAAAAAAGGCGTGGCCAAGATGAAAGTGGTTGGGAAAGGGATGGCCATGTTTAAGTCATTTTGGCACTTTTCATTTGCCATGATGATGCCGTAAACTAACCTTTTTATCTCCCCCAAAAACGTTTTTTCATGCAAATTCAAACTCTTGTATAGGTCTTTTTACATTCACATTTCATAAGTCGCAAAACTGTGGCAATTATTGCCAAAGTCCCAAGAAATAGACTGATTCTGAAACAAAACTGTCAGAATAATGTAGAGTGCTGATGACTCTCTTTGATTAGATAAATAATACCCAGATAACAAGAAAATACAAAATTTCAAGTACATGACAAGCATATTCAAAAAAAATATGTTCGGATCTACAGTGATAAATTAGATTAAAATGTAGATAAGGAGTGTTGCGGTCAGTCAAGAAAGGCACAAAAACGAAAATTAAACTATTAATCTGATCATATATGCATATTATACTTTGGTCAGCGAAATTCTAATTCTGATATTCAGAAAGTTCATTGGATGATCCTGCCCCTGTAGCCTTGCAATTCTTTTCTCACTGAAAAAGGCTTCTACAGTTTAACTCTCCATTGAAAATCCTTGAATCTTTCCGATAAAAAAGTGAGAGTTAAGCAGTTATATCTGTCTGTCATAGCTTGAATGGTTTGTTGCTGCTTAGAACCAACGAGCGTTCATTGGAGATCGGTGTTGTCCCTTGTCTTAGTTTAGACGTTGTATTTAGGCCATGTTAAATAATTTTCGTCTGTTTTCCTAATATCTTTCACAGTGTATCTGTTGAAAGACAGGTTGAGAAAGGCAGGGAAGCGAATATACCTCACCGTTTTTAACCATATTTCAAAATAGGGAAGTAGAATAAGACCTTCAAGAAAGTATTTTCGAACTGAAATAAATGTTTCCTTTCCTTGCTGTTATTTTGAAAAGCCATTGCTTTCCTTGCATTGGTTTTGGTTGTGGTCCAAAAGGAATAGTGTTTGTCCGAGGCTATGATAGAGCTGGTGGAGCAGGCGAAGGAAGTATATCATGGCATCCAGGCCTGTTACAATCTAGAAAATAGATTTTGCAAAGGTCTGTATAAAAATGGTAGAAAATGTCGGAAGTAGAAATTAAGAATAGATATGAAAAAGGCCTATTTCAAATGGAAAAGTTGTCTAAGATCTGATTAAATTGAACAGAATTCTCAAGTAATATTCTCAACCAAAGCCGCCGAAGGGGGGGGGGGGCAAATTGCCCCAGGGCCTCGAGGTCTAGGAAACCTTGTAAAGTAATGAATTCAATTTTAGAAATGAAATGTATCAAGTATGTTAAAAACATGCCTAAAATTATCGAAATGTTCTAAACAATTGCAAGAAATGACTGCAAAAATATCCTGAGATGCATGTCACTCGCTCAATATTTTAACATATTTAACTGATTTTGCGTATTTGGAAGTCTTTCTTGGTGTTCTTTAGGAATATTTGGTTAAAATTCAAAAATTCTAAAGATAATCTTTTTATGACGTCATCTCTGAGTCTCGACTGAGACGATGATATATAATCAAAACAACAATAATCTTTCATAAAAAGCAGATCTGCCTGATCATATTCTGACATGCCATTTTTGTTGAAGGCTACATTGTTTCTTGACATAGCCAGAAGTTGGATAAGGAAAGTGACAGAAATAGAATTACCGTAGAATAGATAAGGAGATGTTTCTCAGCGGCGCTAGCTTCAATCATGACACAGCCAAACATGATAACAACTGGCAAAACCGATGCAGTGTCGAGCAGATGAAAACTTGACTTTGACATTTTTGCAATCTGAAAGTTGAACAAGATTGTGTATTTATCAAAAATGGATTGTTAAAATAGACTTGAAAAAATTATTCACAGCTCAAAAATATGCATATAAAATGGCATGTAAAAAAATTTTATGCAGTTATTTAACAAAATGTTGACTGTCGTAAAAAAGTTGCTACACTCAAGTGTGACCTCTAATAAACATGTAGACGTAGTCGAGACTCTTAGGAAAATACTTGATGTGGATTACTCTCAGAAAGATCTATTACAGAACAACGAAACATACAGCACAGCGGAATATAAGCGAATAACCCTACATAGACCATGTCACTTGAATTTGAATAAATTTTTGTGGTCATTTTCAAAAACCCACATAGGCGAGGGGCGATTCACTCTTGCAAATAGCGTACGATATATTGCCTAAAGCAAAAGGATTTTTGAGGATTTTCGGATAAAACAATGGGATTTTCACAAAAGGTGTCCGAGACCCTTATAGAGTGATTTGCCCCTCGCACATATGCAGGGGTTAACGGTGATCTGCTGTGACCTCAGGGTGAAAACGGAGTGAAACAGTTGCCACTCAGACGCTATGCTTCTGCGGAGGAGAAAATGAAATATTTCCTTTTGGATACAGTACAAGATACATTATTTGGTTTAAGACAACAGGTAAGACCATTTTTGAGTACATTCTGTTGAAAAAGATCCCTTTTCGCAATTTAAAAGGTTCACGTGATCATAACTTACCCTTGACCTTATAAGGAAATCTCTTTGTTAGAATAAATCATAATAATGCTACTATAAGTATTTGAACAACTTCAGTGCATAGTTCACGTCAAGACCATGGAATTTCTTATGCTGGCTATTGCGCTCATCAAAATGAATTTTATTCATATTTCAATGTAACAAAACACTCTCTGAAAAGTGTTGATGAACGACTCTCAAATTATAATTTAGTCAACGTCGGTAATTGACAAATTGAGAATAGCCTGTTCAATGTATTTATAGTATACTTACGATTAACTGCACGTGAATCTTGGCGAAGCAAAATCCAAAGCAAAGGCCGAATAGGATGGCATTCTCTTGGAGGACCTCTTGGGAAACACTAACAAAGGCTATTGATGCTGATGTCAGTATTATGAAAACAGGTATAACCGGGGCAATGGAATGCCAGAAACTCTAGAAGCAAGCAAACCTCGTGAGACTGGAATGCTTTCGAGGATCTCATTTGTATTAAAATATCGTGTGTTTATGAAAATTAATGTAACTGAAAAATAAAAAAGCGGTTTGTGAAGTAAAGTTGTCGAAGCATTGAACAAATAAAATTATCCTAAATAATAAAAGGCTAAATTGTGATTGTGGGTGCCACTCACGTATCAATCTTTGATGGTTCTAGTCGGTATATGATTTATAGTTATTTTATCATCCCTCGTTATCAATTTGTCCTCCTTCAAATAATTTCAAGGTCAACCCCAGCTCTCCTTCTCAATGGTGGCTGTAGGGGTGCAAATTTTAGAACACGCCATTTTTTCTGCAAGATGTAAGAAGACACCAACTGGAAGCACCCATGACTTACTTTCGGTGGCGTAAAGGCAGTTTCAAAATCATAGAATTGGACCACAAAATATACTTTTCTCAAAGTGCTACTTTTCTGCAAAAAATGTTATCATCCAATTTAGACGACATGCAAAATCTATTCAGCCAAGAGCCGAGGGGGCATGCTTCCCAGTCTCCTCCAGTCCCCTCCAGTCCCCTCCAGTCCCCTCCAGTCCCCTCCAGTCCCCTCCAGTCCCCTCCAGTCCCCTCCAGTCCCCTCCGTGACACAGCTGTTGCTGCTGGTGCTGATACTAGATCTTGAATGTTCGGACTAGATTACAACAAAATTATTCATATTAAAGACAATTAAAAGAAGCATCTCACCAATCCACGGCTTTTTGTTACAACGTAGAATTGCCTTGTTTTTCCAAATGCAAGTTCAAGCCAAATGTAAATTTTTAATCCATAAAAAATGTGAACAACTCTGAAACCAACACTTGGTAATATCTAGGGAAAAGGTTTATATCAAACACTAAAAAGAACCAAATCTCAATGAGTTCCTTAATAGACAGACATGTCAGAATAAAAGAAACAGTATTTTGGTGCTGCAATCTCTAATTAGAGCCGCCATCAACGGTGCCTATGAAACACTGGTAAGGTAAATCAAATGATGATTTTATCCACCGTCAAAAAACATATTTCTAGAAATATTAAACTTGGAACTAATAATCAGAAAAAGGACAATGAAATTCCTCCAAATGTGCAAAATTAGTGACATTTATTTCAATTTTTTTTTCAATAATTGCTGGTCTCTGTTTGATTAGAGCGTCACGCTAAAGAACTCTTGTCCAGTCCCATTGTCAGTGTATTATGTCTTTGTCTTTGAAAAACCAATTTTCTTAATTTTTGACTTGTGGAAAAGCAGAAGCTAACGCTGAGGCTTTTTTATCTCATTATGTTTTTAGCTTTAATTTTCATTCGATTAATATTACGAAAAGTGGCGTGTTTCTTGATGTTATCTCGGTTGGGAGCCCAGATGGGCCGTTTACGATCCCGGACCAGGTTTGCACTAAAAATGTCTTCAAACACATACAAGATAGAAGCTTTGGCTTGTAGCAGTTTTTGCCATGACAAAAGTAACACAAGCCTTCTTTGGCATATCCTTTCTTTCCTAAGATATTTACATTTCTTGAGTTCATAAAGTTTAGCTAGAAAAGGAGAGAACGATGCTGACGTTGACAAAAGAGAAAAGCGGTCTCAGAGCTTTGTTTGAAAATAATTGGAAAATGTCTGAGGATTGCAGTTTCATTTAAAACTTTTTTACTCTGTCCTTCACAAATTTACCACAACCTAACTAGAGAACACGAGGACTTGTTTACTAAAACTTTAAGCATGGGATCAAAAGGTATACCGAACTAAAACAGTCGTTTTTATGTACGCAATCAGGGCAAGCTTAGGCCAATTCAGCCAGCTTTATTTCACTTCTCAGTAAAAACTATGTAATAAATAAAACTAATAAAAAACTATGCGATTTATGCAAAAATCCTTATTGGTCATGCATGATATGTGCTTAAAGTTGCTGTGTGTAAAATATGGGCGTCCCTTTAAAAAATAATTATGAAAATAGAGTATGGAAAACATCCTAGACAAAATGGCAGACACATACTTCTTCGTTTCAGGTGAGTTATTTTCCTATCCAATTATTCATTCATCGATTAAGTAATTGAACGCAAAATGTTTTCTTAAGTTTGATTAATGTCGTATAAATACACTTATTGAGCAAAAGTAATGCACAGGCTGAAACAGAAATGGCCGCACCGCAGCAAAAAAAATTTAGCGAACCAAAATTCAAGTTGCCATAGCAAGTTTCATAAAAGTTATAAGATGACTTTGTAACTGGAATATGCTGAAAAATTTATCAAGGTTTGATGGTGAAAATAGTAAATGCAAGAATGTTATTGATTTTTGCCCATTTTTAAACAATATCGACATGTCGTAAAAACACAAAAATTGAGCCATGATGATTGAAGCTCCTGTGAAACATTTGCAATAAAACATTTCATCTTTGCACCAATCCACGATATCTTGTTACAATGAACTCGTGGGCACTTACTTTATGCTTGGGTGTCTAGAACTGCTCATTTTCCTTACTTTTATTGGAGAATCTGCTAAATGTTTTAGTCGGAAATTTTTGGAGCCGCAATGGGCCTAATCGCAGCGGCAGCTTCGTGATATGTTGCAGCAAAATTCAATCAATAAAATGTGTCACAAATCGTAACGTCCATCTTTTCCAGCCGATTGCAATTTTGTAAAGAGAACAAATAATGCTGAAGATTGTGGAAACAACATTTCATCCTCTCATTAAATGAAAATACGAAAATTCCCGCTATAAACAGGTTTATTTGTGTACCTCAATAGCTGTAAAAGAGTGGACATAATAAAATGGCTTAAAATATGCCCTTTTCTACCAAATTCAAGGCCATTTATGATCAACTTGGTACTTCAACACCTAAATGTGATCTTGCAAATGTTGTCAAAAATTCTGAACTTATCATGTCGCGATTAACAGAACCTGTTACTAAACTTTTTGGTAAAGCTTTAGCAAGTCTCACAAAGGTTTCAAAGCTGGAAGACTGTCCAATAAAAAGTTAAAGAATTTCTAATTTTTACAAAGTAGCTTTTTTCAATTTTTCAATTAAAAGTGTTGTCAATAGTTTGAAGTTTGGTTTGATTAGATTTTAACCATAAAAAGA